GTGTGGACTGGGGGGAAAGGAAAGTAACTGGACACCATCACCAGTAACAGCACCTTGTCACGTAGGAAACCCGACTGGCAGATTGGTTATTCTTATTTGTGAAACAATCGGGATGAAGGCGAGTCGGCTTGAGTCGGAGAATAGCGCGTATCTCGCATGGGAAGAGCGTGGATGTAGTTGCTTTTCCTCCCCTCTTTCCCTCTCTATCCACATGTAGGGCTGACCACCTACTTGCGTTGGTACTTTGCACTTTGCGTGCGTGTGGGGTAGTCACCCCAAAATTTCACAGTAGTAACCTGTTTTTGTCTACTAGTACCATCACAGCATAGTCCAAGTGTTATACGCGGATGTCCTTGAGGCATCTGCAACCGGCCTGTTGTGCAGATCTCATTTAAAACCAGCAAAACCGGTGACATGGGACTGCCCATGTAAAAAGCAAAACATCGAGATTCCGATGTGGAGCCGGCATGAAACAGTCGGCACATCTCATATACCCCTCTGGTTCTATACTGTGCTATGCGCATACCTCGGCTGCAGTCGAGGAAAATATATTAATCTTCCGTAGAAGCCAAGGGTGGTGGCTTGATCCAGATGATCGCTACACCACCACCATCAGAACATCCTTGTTTGTTCTGCAGCAAAGATGCCGAGGTCTGCTTCAGTTGCACTGTCGCTCCAAATCTCCGTGCAGAATTTGCAGTATCATGATGGAATAGAGTATGGGTTGCTTTTGGATAGAGAATGTGTGTGAAGTTATAAGGGGGAGGATGTTCACTTTATGTCAGGACAACACACAGCAGCATAGTTTAGCAACGAAAAAAGCACAAAGCAAAGCAAAAGCTACACAGCACGATGCGTTACATGCCGATCACCCCTCTCCTGGCGTTCGCCTTGATCGCCATGTCCTCTGCTCAGGAAACTTGTCCTGAGATTCCTCCAAACGACGTTCAAATCGGACAGCCTGTGCCCATCGTTCCAGGCGATATTCCGAAGGGATGTTCTGCGTTCGAAATTCTGGTTGGTAAGTCTGTAGCTCAGTACCATCGAGTTTCCTTTGTCAAGAGACTGATGTGTCAAATCCAGCTCGTGGCACCAGCGAACCTAGTTTCCCCAAGTTTGGTGTCATCGTCGGTGACCCCGTCGTAAGCAATGTTTCTGCACAACTGCCTGGCGTCCAGGGGTATCCAGTACAGGTACGTTGATCCACAGGAATAGAACAAGAAAGGTACCCTAGAAATAGACTAGAGCTGACACGTACGGTGCCTCCCTGATAGTACCCAGCTAGCTCTCAGGTCATAACTGGTGGCAGACAAGGCACAGACGACATTGTCAAGCGTCTGACTACGCAGTCTGCCGCATGTCCCAATCAGACTTTTGCTCTAGTCGGCTATTCACAGGGAGCAAGTATTATGCATCGGGCCGCAGAAAAGCTACCCGTGTCTTTGTTCCCGCGGATCAAGGCAGTCGTCATGTTTGGCGATCCTCAGCAGAGGTTGGGCGCCTTGGGAGACAAGTTCCCGATTGGTCTGCGGCCAAAGGTGTTGCAGGTTTGTGCAAAGGGCGATCCTGTAAGTATTGATCAGCTTCATGTGTGGCGTAGAAGTGGGACGGACGTGTACTAATGACTCGACACAGGTCTGCGATTCGGGATCTTGCCAGTACTACCATCTAACCTATGTCCTCCCGAAACTGATGGACCCCGCTGTGGCTTTTATTGTAAGAGCATTCCAAGGATCACCACGCCTCTAGAAAAAATGTCAGCAGTAGGCCGCTTGGAAATATTTGAACGGACAAACAAACTCAATGTACATACTATCCAAACCTATCCAGATTGCAATCCCAGTATCTCCATTCTTCACCCCCCATATGCCAAAAACGCCAGCAAGCTGTACCCCCCTCTCCCTTTGTTCCCTCAAATCTCACAAAAAAACCCCCCTTCGTAATAAGGCGTTCCAGGCACCCAAAAGCTGCCCGTTACAGCCACATTAGCATACCCCCTTGTCTTCCACCCATCTGTATCGTCATCCACTAGCTACACCCCACTAAATCCCACTAAGCCTACTATGCAGCACACACCCCTGCCCCCCTCGTACCGCATCATTCCTCCCTACATGTGACCACAAACGCCCATCCAAGAAAAATCACACCAATCAACCACACCTACTCTGAACACCCCAGCCCGGTTCAAGATACCCTTGACCGGTAGAAAACTTGCGCCACTCGGCTGCGCTGGCTCCCACGCGGCACGCTCTCTCTACCCCAAACGTGCGTTTCGGTAAAATGGTGGCGCCACGTGAGGAGAGGGAGGCCTTGGCAGTAAGACGTTGCTTGCCTGGTCTTGGCTAGTAGTAAGCATCCGCTTGTTCCCCCCGCCCCCTGGTACGGATATCTGCGGAGCGGCGATCGAGGGGCATGAAGGATTGCGATAGGGACTGGGGGGGTTGGATCTTGCCGGTCTGGATCGAGGGTGTGTAGATGTGTAGATGAGATTTATGTGGGTGCGGCGGTAGACACTGTTAGTAGTTGGGGATACCGTAGGGGGCGGCTGATGCCGGCATACCCGGTGGTTTTGTCGATTGCGTGATTCTGTTTCCATTGGTGAAGAGTCGGGATGTGGGGTTGGTGGGAATATTGACTGCGGTTGTGAAATTAACTAAATATGTTTTGAGATATTCTTTGTATGGTATTAGTTTCTAGAATCGTATTAAAGCAAATATGCAATGATGCAAAGACATTGTTCCTCCACTTGTGTACTCTGTACATGATGCTCAAGGGTATCAATCGCTCGACTAGTTTACTGGTGTACGGCCGTACTAAAGTACTGGTACACGTCTAGGATTCGCCATGCGCCACGCTGGAAAAACTGGGATGCAGTCCTGACAACTGCAAATTCAAAGATGCTGGAAAGACATTAAAGCTCGAAGTTGTCGAGCCAGTGCTGAATGACGATTTTGCCTTCGTTGAAGGCCTCTTTTTTCATGCGAACAATGATAGCGGCATGCGAGTGTCGATGGTTGTGGATGTGAACTGGATGCTTCTTGAAACCGACGTTGTCTAGCGCGTCGATCATTCTGAACTGCTCTGGTGTAAGTGCAAGGGTCGGGAATCTTAGATTTGCATCCTCTTTTTGTGCTTGGATAGAATCGACTTCGGTATCAGACCCAGTTTTGTGTGCTTCTCCTAGAGTCTTATGCTGTGCTGAAGATGCGACCTCTTCGGAGCCATTGCTCAAGTATTCCTGGCTTTGTGCATGATTGGCGTTCCCGTACATGCTCTCAGCCTCTCGTCGTACTGCATTGATCATCAGTGGTATGCGATAATGCGTGTAGTCGATACCCGATCGGCCTTGCTGGTGAAGTCGTATGCGTTGGTGGCTGCGAACCGATTGAAAAACCGAATTGATTAGAAAAGCAGACACACCGATAGGGACCAAGACTGAGAGGAGCGCTACAATAGATGCACGCCCGATCACCGTCTTTGTACCTTCCGTTAGGCGTTGCGCGAATGCTAGTGGTTCCTCGGGCTCTCTTGGCGAGACTGGATGTTCTCGATCGACAATGACGTCGTCGTAGCCGTCGATGTAGTTTATTTTGACCTTGTCTAGATCTACGAAAGGGTCGGTTGAAGAGATGCCGGCCGTGTAGTATGTCACTGTTCGATCGTTGACGACGTTGGCGTATAAACTTCGGTGCTTGAATTGAGCCAGTCCCTGGATGAAGATGCTTTCCGAGTCCGCGAGGACGGCTAGCAGTGGTCGACCAGTGTCTCTGAATTTATCCACACCAAAGAGTTGTCTTCCGCTCATGGACAGTGTACGCGCGCCCAGGACATTCCACAGATGGCTGTGATAACCTTTGAGGGGTGTTCGAACGCCAAGATGGGGAGTCGCAAAGGTGGTGAAGTTCTATTAGGATTAGCATGTGGTGCCAGAATTGGGCCGAGGAACGTACTATCGGCCGTATCTTATCAAAGATGCCCCTCCGATAGAGCAATCCGATAGCATAACGGGAGACGAGGCCTCCCAATGAGTATCCTATGATACTGATCTTGGTGATGTTGTGTCCACTCTCAGCTAACTCCTCAAGCTTTCCCTCGATTTCTTGGGCAACGCGCTCGCCACCCGTATCTATGCCATCGTAGGTGAAGCTGCCCGAGTTACGCGCCGCAACAAGGACGTAAAGTTTCTCGCTGGGAAATCTCTCGCTCAGAGTAGTGCTGACATATTTCAAATGGTCGGGGTTACCCCAAAGGCTGGTGGTGGTGGTCAGCGCAATTGCTTTTTCCTGGGTGTGAATTTAGGCGGCGATTTTGTTGTGGTGACGTACCCATGGACGAGGACACAGAGGTGGTCTGGCTTCTCAGACATGGCGGTGGACGTAGTGGTGACGGTAAAGGTAGACCTGGCGAGTGTGGTGAAGGTTGGTGACAGGCAGATGGCAGTGAGAAGTGGTGTTAGTATATGTACGGCACCCCCACGTCCAGATATCGTCCGTGAAAGGCGCAGTCGTGTTCGATGCGCGCACAGCCTCAAGCCACAAACGGAGTTAAGGGATATAGGTTGGCACAGGTGCGCGACAAACTGTCCGAGTCATAACACCAGTGTCGAGAGTAATAAAGGGATTGGACACAGGATGGCTGAGGGAGAAGCCGAGTTTGAGATTGTTCAGATCACGGCGTCATGACGGAATCCGAGACGGATCGCCGCTCCAAAGTCCGCCCACGCGTGTGTGGACCCTGCATGCATCGCGCTCGGACCAGCATACGCTTGCAACAACGCGTGCCTGGACGAAGTCAACTCAACCCGTCTCTTACCTTTACCGTGTGATTGGCTTCGGCGCCATTCCCAAGTGGATCTGCTCATTCACTCATAGCAACTGCATGCTTTGATCGTCTTGCTGCAAATACCAATGGACCCGTCGACACAGTGAACGTTGCTCTGCTAAGCCGAAAGGCTGCTTCTGGCCCTGCGCAGCCTGCACTCACTTGTCAACTGTGCACTGCGCCTTAGTGTGCTTCGTCTTTTGCTTACTTTGTATTGCCTCCGTGGGTGGGTTGGGTAGAGTACCAGTACCGCTTCTCCTGCTTCAGAACCAATCAACCTCTGAGCGCATCTCACCCGCGCCCTTCACTGAAGCTCAACCAACCCAGCTCGGTACGTCGAGCACCATCTGGGCCTGCTTACATGCATACTTACAGTGAAGCCATCAATTCACAGCCCCAATAACAATGTGGCCTTCACTCCCAGCATACAGGAGCTTCGCCAAGATATCGTGTCCTTCAGGTGCCTCCTGCGCACTTCCTCACTGCATTTTCGGTCATGATGCTGCTAGTTCACCTGACAGGTCGCCCTCACCCTCTCCGGTAGTAACCGTATGTGGCCCTCAGACGGTTGCAAAGCACTCACAGCTTAATGAAAATGCACCTGGAGCCGCTCCTGCACCGAGGCAACTAGGCTCTAGCACTTCGGTCAATCCAACCGTATCCAAGGGCAAGGTGCCACCGACAAACAAAGAACCTGAACCAGCGCAACCTCTGGTGTCGAGATTACCTGCCAAGGCGACTGTGCCTACTGAACTACCGCCATCTGCCACCCGGACAATATCACCGCCTCCATCTAAGGCTACAGCAGCCAAGCCAATTGTTAATCCCGACGCGCCAGTCGCTTTGATGCCACGTAAACTCAAAAAAGAGCCATCCACCTACGCTAGGAGAATTACGCTTCTCAAGGCACTACACACGCATATGAAACCGCAAAACGATAGACTTCTCAAAGCCACCAAACCGGAAATAAAGGCGCTGCACCTCAGTCCAAATCAGTTAAACAAATTGGCAGTTGATGAGGAAGAAAAGATCGCCATAGCAAACCCGTCTGTTTACGAGAACATACTAAAACAGCGGCTAGTAAAGCTCAAGGGCATGACACCAGAGGAGTGGGTCAAGGAGAGGCGAGCAGCCATAGCTTTGGAGAAAGGTGAGCCGCCCAAGAAAGCGCCGCTTAAGAGGGTCGACACAGGCTTGAACTCGGAAGAAGAAATCGCCTTTCTCCGCACACTCAAGTGCGAGCAAAAGGGATTGGATGCATATGGTTATGTCACTCAGTTACCGAGTGATGCCGAAGTGAACGAGACACGTTTGGCCCTCGAGTCAGCCGCTGGGTGGGAAGAATGCGACCGCTGCAAAACCCGCTTTCAGGTGTTTCCGGACCGCAACGAACAAGGCGCGCTCACGACGGGTGGGGAATGCAAGTACCATTGGGGTAGAACCATATACCCCCAAAAGTCCAACGACGCCACAGAAGTGAAGAGGCTGTCATGTTGTAGCGCGGAGGTAGGATCGCCAGGCTGTAGTACGCATGAAACCCATGTCTTCAACGTCAAAGACACAAAACGGTTGTCTCTAGTCATGCCATTCATTCAAACACCGGCAAACGACAAGGTTCCGAAGACTTCGGCTGTATGCTTTGATTGCGAAATGGGCTACACCACCAATGGCTTAGAGATGCTTCGTCTTACCGTCATATCATGGCCACAACACAAGCCACTCATCGACGTCCTCGTCCGTCCATTGGGCCAAATACTGGACTTCAACACGCGCTTCTCTGGCATCACGCGAGATCAGTTTGTCAATGCGAAGGAATATGATCCGGCAAACCCTCAGCCAGTACGCAAAGACCTCCGCATCGTCGACTCGCCGTATGCAGCGCGAGATCTCTTCCTCTTACACGTCTCTCCAGACACTCCTATTGTAGGACATGCGCTCGAAAACGATCTCAACACTATTCGCCTCATACACCCCTTCATCATCGATACAGTGCTCCTCTATCCAACCCGCCAGGGCCTACCCTTCCGCTTTGGCTTACGCAAACTAGCCAAGGAGTACCTCGGCGAAGAGATTCAGCAAGCGGGCGCCGCTGGTCACGACAGCTATGAGGACGCGCGTACAACGGGCGAGTTAGTGAGACACAAGATCAAAGTAGAGTGGAAGCTGAAAAAGATCGATGGCTTCGAAATCAGAGATGGCGGCGTGCACCCACCAATGCCACCTGGGGCTCCCCCATCACAGGTTCCAAATATGCGCCCGACGATACCAACGGCAGATATGACAGGGTCGATGGGCGCGAAGCCGGCCACTAAGAGGAAGCTGGAAGATGAAGGAGAGGAAGGCAGCGGTGAAGAGCCGCCGTTGAAGAAAGTGGAGGCTTAGAAAGTTGTTTGGCCCATGCTAGTGATTTGTTGGTGTCAAGATTCCGATTGGAAACCATCATATGAAGCTAATTACATGATAGTCTCTGAAGCCTTAGCATGGCGTTTAGGGGTTATCTGAATTTCTCGAAACAAGGCGCGTATCTCGCTTCCAACAACGCGTTAGAGATACACTCCGGAGTTTGGGCTTCCTCTTTTCCCAGTGGGAGCGAAAGGGGTGCTAAATCATATTATTAGCACTCCACCGCACCTTGGAGTACGTATACCCGCTCTCAATCCATGCTTTTACACTTGCTCCTTCTCCTCTGCTTGTCTTGCGCCCAAACAATGGAATCTTGACTTGTCCTCTTGAACATTCGCTTCTATATCAAACAACACTGTGTCTTGCCACCCCACTCTACTTCATCCGACCTTACTCACATCCAACCCCTGCACGCCCTCCAGCCCTTCCTTCGTAGGTTCATGCACAACATCCGTATCCAACTCCTTCATAACCGCAACCACCACACCTGCGCTTTCTACAAACCCGTTCACGGCAACGCGCAGCATGCGGTTCGTGGTCGCCGCATAATCGACTTGCAGTACGGATTGCTCGGTTGAGCCCGCGGGTGTGGTGAGTGAGAAGGCGCGGCGTACGAGCGGCGAGAGTTCGGCGTCGACGGAGAGGGAGAGTTGGGCGGTTTGGGCGAGGTGCGCGGTTGGGAAGGGGATGTGGAGGGTTCTGCGTGAGGAAGAGGAGAGTCAGCGAGAGTGGGTAGGGGGAAGGAGTAGGGAAGGGAGGGCATACAAGGTACAAGGGAAGTCTTCATGTTTCCAGTCTTTAGGGGATGACATTGTTGGCGGGGAGGTGTGATTGTATGCAGTTTTTTTTGGCAATGGCGGGAAAAATATGATGCAGAAGTGATGCTGCGCCAGGCGGAAATTACAATCTCTTTCTTAGAAAAGAACACGTTGTGCAGGGCTAGTCAAAAGTATGGGGGACGTAAAAGAAGGCGCGGAAAACGTCCGCCCATGTTTTGCGGCGTGAGGCTCAAACGTCCGAATTGTGGGGGAGGGGCACAAGTGGTTCTGTCGGCTGTAAGAGGCTTAGCGCCGATTAGCCGCAGGAGCACTGGTACCTGATTCGAAAGCGTCATACATCATCATTGTCCAACGCGTACCATAGTAATGCGTCATGGCTCATTCGCTAGCGAAGTCACATACCTCTGTCTTTTCTCTTCCCTTCTCTTCATGTCTGCCTTGACTTATTCTCATTTCCACTTTTTCAAGCATCAAATCAATTGCATATATAATTCCAACGACCAACATCTCCTTGTATTTTGATCAACTAGAACGCATAATCAAACATCTCTCTTAAAATGTTCCGCACCACCTTGACCAGGTCGTCCACGCGTCTCCGCCTACATGTTCCCTCCGCCCGTACTTTCTCCCTCTCAACCCCCAACCGCGTAGCCCAGTACCCCAACGACCTAAGCACAAACTCAGAAACCAAAACCGATCTCTATGACAGCGATAAACCGCATGCAGTTCAGGACAAGGTTCGCCAAGGCGATACGCATAATGTGCACGAGAGCAATGCAAAGGCTGGCATGGAGTGAGTTTTAAACCTGTTTGTAGCTGGTGGAGATGGGGGAGAGAAGAAGTAGAAGTGGCTAATGCAATACAGCAGCGCGCACAAGGATGGTAAAGGCGGTCATGCGACTGAGCGGAAGGATTCGGCGGGAGGGAAGACGACGGCGAAGAAGGAGTTTCCTGAGGCACCCGATCCGGCGATTGGGATGCAGGACGAGAGGGGTGGACGGGGTGGTTGAGCTGGGCTGGGTATGAGAGATGGGAGATTTTGGGGTTATAGGGCGTTGAGAGATGGCAGAGAAATTCAAGAGTTAATTGCATGTTTTGATTGGTAGTATTTTGGCTGGACACTCACCACGCAGTATAAGCATCAAATCAGCCCTCATCTTCCATCTTAAACTCCACCCAAGGAAACCTTTTCCTCACAGCCACAACCTCCCCTTCCCTGATAAACCGCCATCAACAACCGCACCGTATCCACCACCTCCAGTCTCCCCCCTGTTTGAAGGGGGGAAAACCAAAAAAACACAACATGCGATAAATGCTTCAATGCTAGAAAGCCAACTTTATCATATCAAAGTTACAAAAGAGAAAAAAAAAATCCAAAATCAAACTCCATAACTTGTGTATATTGCAATTTAAACTCTGATCCATCCCCTTCCCTTCCTTCCTTTCCATCACCTCATCGCTCTCAGTCTCTCCTCCCCCCCCCCTTAATATTCATACGTAAATATCCTCATGGCACCAATCCCGCCACAAGCATAAATATCACCGCCACACTTAACCCTGCAGACAGCATCACTGGCCTCTGTCAAATGCGGACTGAGGGCATTGCCGCAGTAGCAGCTGGTGCCATGCTGGAGGCCGAAAAACCTTGAGCCGCGGCAAATGTGCTTGCACTTGTAGGCCGTCATTTGGGGGTCGTTGATGTGCAAGTCGGGGATGAGGGCGGGGTTGTCGGGGGAGGAGAAGAAGCACTTTTGGAGTTTGAAACGGGGGGATTTGTAGGGTTTGAGTTGGGCTTCGAGGTCGCGTTGGGCGGCGAGGTGCGTTTGCTCGTTGGTTTGGCAGGTTTGCTGCGAGGTTTCGAGCGTCGTGGCGAGGTGTTGGGAGCGGGCGGATGCGAGGTCGAGATCAGTTTTTAATTGTTGCTCGCGCGAGAATGCGAGGTCGAGGGCGGCCTTCAAGGACTGTTCGCGTGCCGAGGCAGTGTCAAAGTCTGTCTTGAGTTGCTGCTCACGCGCGGCTGCGTTTTCGAGATCCGTCTTCAGCTGTGTCTCGCGTGCGGATGCGTTTTCAAACTCGGTTTTCAACTGCTGCTCACGCGCTGTGGCGAGACCGGCGTTGATAGCCAGCTGCACAAGACACTGCTCCTTCTCTGCATCGCACGTACCGCACGACGCACTTCCCTGCTCATCCGTAGATAGTGTCTGGTTGAAGCGGATACCGTTGGTACAGGTGCAATCGCAGCTTGGCTTTGTAGTTGTATCAACGCATTCTACGGAAGGTGTGGCACCTATCGTTACATTAGTCTTTTTTTGCTGCATCATCAGAGAATGCAGAGTCGCACACCATTGTCACACGTGTACGAACTACCTACAGATTCGGGCGTGCCGATGTCGCGTGGCATGGAGCCCACAGCTTGCGGGGCCATGTAGCCGTGCGCACTTGCGTATAGGGTGAAAAGGAAGAGGACCTGAGAAGGCTTCATCGTGTGCGGTTACTTGGTGCTGAAGTGGATTGCTGCAAGGATGGATGGGTAGCGAATAAGTGCTTTATGGTGCAGTGATCTTATATGCCATTTTTGTGTTACTTTTCCGTGTCATTGGCTGTCAGTAATCCTTTTGTATCTCAACATGTTTCTGTTTGGGTCGAGGTATTGCCTAGACGCCGAGTTCTGTTAGTCGCAGCAGCGCATCGTATGCATCGAAACCTTTCACAACCGACAGGTTCGCCTTGAGGTGCAGCATGTGGAGATCTGCATTGCATTAGTCGTTAGCTTGTAACGCACTGTTGAATATTCGGTACAGTGGTCTGCGTATTTTCGACAAAGGTTCTAGCTCCGGCACGGTTCAACGGATGGTAGATAGACAGCGAGTGGGGTTCGGAAATGTCAATTACATGGTTCGCATGCGAGCCAGTAGCTAGTGCAATTGTTTGACAAGTTACTTGTGGCTATGCATTTGTGGGAGGCTAACAGAAGTTGAAGTCATCTGGAATGCTTTTTCGAGACTTGGACCTCACCCCATACCTGTCTTGGACAATGGTACTAGTCTCTCGTTCGCTTTCAGATCACTCAGAGGTGATTGATTTGTATATCAAACGCGTTGGTATGAGCGACCGTATGAGCGTCGATTTCCGTGAGAAGGCGCAGTTCTCAGATGTAGAGAAGTCACTACCTGGATAGTCAGTCTTGCCAAATTGGGTTTAGCGTAAATCGAGCTTCACTCAGATCTACTCGAGCTCATCATTACCCACTCTTACTTTTTATCGGTTTGTATCATCGTTATGATGGAAGCGGAATTGTAGGTGTTTGATGTTGGGGATGTTACTTGAAGTTTTTTTTCAACTGCCTGGGGGCACTTTTGGATAATGCTTAGTGGTACTATGAAGTGAGAGTGCATTGTTGCCATTACTAATGTCGAATGTGTCGAAATCCGCAGCAGCACCAGAAGATTTTGTTTTTTAGCTATCTGCACGTTTGGAAGTTGGATATGCTAAGTCATCTACTGTGACACTGTGAGTGACACATCAAATACTCCAAACCATCGCATTTCGTACACGAACATGTTGCAATCATTGGTCTCAAACAGCCTCGCTTCATCTTTTCCAAATACTCCATATGTTCTCCAACTACAGCGCTACGTAAGCCACCCGAAAACAACCCCTCATATTACACGGAACCAACTTCCTCCTCCCCTTTCCTCTCCCACCTCGCTTCAGCCCAACCACCCCTCCCCCCAAACATTTCGACCATCTCAAATCTTCTTGGAATACAAACTAATGTGCCAACCGCCGCCACACATTGCAATGCTGCCCTTACACTTGGTATCGCAGTTTCGGTCTAGAACTTTATTCGTGGGGGCCTCGAAGGTGTTTCCGCAGTAGCATTCGTCGTGACTCTCGAGGCCATAGTACTTGTATTTGGTGCAGAAGGCGGCACACTTTTCAACTGTCATGTCGTCTGTTTGGGTCTTTAGGCCGTTGAGTACGCGCGTTGCCGAGTCGGTGTAGCAGCCCTCGTATCCCCAGGTATTGCTTTGACACGTTGCTACTTGATTTCGAAGATCTCTCTCCGTTTCCAAGTACTGTTGTTCCTTCAACAGGAAGGAATCCTTGAGTTTGTCCATTTCGATTTTATGCTCCTCTTCCTTCCTCATGTAGGATTCTTTGAGTAAATTAAAGTCATTTGCAAGTTGCTGCTCACGCAACAAGCATTCTTCTTTCTCGGCCTGGCAGCCGTCCGGGATGGGGTTGCCGGAAGAACCAAAGGAAAGTGGCTGGTTGAAGTGAATGCCATTGGAGCAGGTGCAGTCGCAGTTTGCCTCTGACGACTGAGGAACACATTCTAGAGAGGGCGTTGCACCTAGGTTTTGTACGTGAGCCTTGATGAATACTCAATCGCATCTTGGAGGCCCTTACCATTGTTACAAGTGTATGATTGACCGGAAACATCGACTGAGCCGAGTACATGCTGGGTGGGGCCTCCGACTGGTGGGTGACCAAAGGCATGGATTCCTACGCAAAGTGAGGGGATAAACAGGGCCCAGGAAGCTCTCATTTTGTATTGATGGTTGATTTTGGAGGGCGTAAGAGGAATGGTGACGAAGTGATGAAGTGATGATGATGATGAATTGTCTGAGTGGCTTCCATAACTGAGCTTTTATATTGTCTTCCCATGTGCCATAGTCCTTAGGTTCAGTGCTCAATAGTCAAAGCTTGCACTACCTTTGGGCCAACGTACTGCCTTGTCACCGCTAGTAGCAGTGTAGTGGCGGTTGTTGAGTTACCTAGAGTGCTTTTTCGAACACTGGCCTCGCTCTATACCCGCCTCGACCAGTGGGTAGTGTTTTCTGGTTCAGGCTGAACTTGAGTCACTTGAAAAGATCGGTGAAAAGAAAACGAAGAACAAACAAGGTGTGAGCATAGAGAAATCCAGATTAGAAGGGACTTGAAGACTGAAGAAGATGATCAAAGAACACACGGGTGCACAGAAAATCAAATTCAGGGTACAGAATGCGAATAAGAATAAGTCTAAGCTAACTCTTTCTTGGATGAATAGACAAGGCCAGTTAGATGTGTTTCTTTTCCCTTTGCATACAACAACAAACGCCGTGAACCCCTCCCCGCTCATGCTATGCAAACATTACATTTACAGAATCCGGACATGGCTTCATATCCGTTACCCATTCAACAAAAAAAACGTCGTACTCATGCTATGCGGCCCAGTCATCCCAATCGCCCGTCTTCTTGGAGGGGCGACCTTGTTGGCTAACGCTCTTTTTTCTTTGAGGGGCAGGATCCAAGAAACCCTCAGGGATATCGTTCCAATTCGATGTTACTTTTGGGGGAGGTGCTACCACGGGTTTTGTTTGCTGGGGTTTTCTCTGATCTGCGGCTTGTTCATCACTGGAAACGTCGTACTCATCCTCTTCATCCTCTGAGGTGTAATTGTATGGGTCAAACTTCTTTCGTTCGATTGGCTGGAGCTGGACGTCATCATCGGCGTACATGCCACGATCTCTTCCTAGGATCTGGTCGGCTTTGCTTGGACTTCTCCGACCGTCAATGGGACCTCTTACGACACCGTTCGAAGTGGTGAGGTAGCGGGTTTGCTCGCCATGGCGGACTGCTGACTGCCACTCGGGACGTCTTGCGGGTTGTGCGACGGGCTGACTACGCTGACTGGGCATCCATCCGTCAGGACCGCGAGTGGGGCGCCTGAATTCGGCTTCAGTGGGAGAATCAACCCCCCAACCGGCAGCGCGCTCACGCTGCTTTTGCAATCTTTCTTCTTGTTCCCTCTCTCGCTTTATGCGCTCACGGACTGCAAGCCACTTTGGACTGGGCTCCCAAGACCAGCCGTCTCCCGTGGTACTAGGTATGGGCACGAGCCATTTCAAGGGCGAAGGACCGAAAACGTGGGCGAGATTACGTCGCCAGCCCAAGTCGAATGCGTTGGGGAGCTGCTCGTTGTCGCGTTCGTCGAGGTAGTTGTCGTATCGATCCTGGTTCTGCTGACGTTCACGGTATTCGTACGATTGCTGATAGGAGTGGGAGAAGCCGTTGGTCTGACCGGGAACAGGGGAGCGTGAAGTAGAGTGCGAAGGAGTTTCGCCTTCCTCGGGTCTTGTGACGCCTGGCAGTGCATTGGCATGGATCTCGCGTAGCTGATCGCCTACGCTCAGTCGTCCGTTTGCTTGCGCATCAAGGTAGTTTCGGTCATTGAGCTGATGCTTCATCGTGGATCGCAGGGGGGACAGGTAGCGTGTCTTTTCCAAGCTTTCAATGGTTGTCTGACCCTTGACTGTGAGCCACAAGTGCCAGGCGGTGAATCCGGTGATGACGATGCCAATGATGCCGGACAGCACGGCGAGGAGGACGTAGTTGACGGGCATAAAGGACTCTGTGTATTTGCCGTCGCTGAGTATCTCGCTCCAAACCCAAGTAGCTGACGTGGCAAAACATATCCAACAAAAGACGCTCAGGTATACGAGGAAGAGGACAAAAGCCTTGTAGTTACGGAGACCAACGCAGGTAGCGAGCCAGGGACAGTGGTGGTCCATTTTCAGAACGCAGCGCTTGCACGTGGAGCAATGGTGGGAGCGATCGGGTTTTTTGGTCTGGCACTTGTTGCAGAAGCGCAGTTCTCCGGTCGACGCTTTTACGGTAAAGGACGTGTAGTGCATGTCGCCGCCCTCCTGCGAGGGCAGATGGCTGTAGCCATCTTTGATGTTGAGCGGGGATCCGGGGTCGGTGAAGACGGCGGTGGTGTAGCTCCAGTTGAGCATGAGGTAGAAGAAGAGGCCGAGGGCGGAGGATGTTTTTCCTGGTGGGCATGTGTCAGCATGGGCGTGGGAGTGTTGTTGTTGTTGTTGTTGGCGTAGCGGTGGTGTCGCATAAGCAAGGGCGACGACGACGACGACAACATACCCGTCCAGGCATTCTGCGAGGGGACTAGGCCGATGCCAGTCTGCACCCATACGGCCCACGAGGTGAGGCCATAGACGAAGACGAGCGGGAAGTAGGTGACGGCGACGCAGCAGTAGCGCTCGACCTTGCGGGCCCAGCTGCGACGGCGCATTGTTGTCGAGGGAGAAGACGGGGGCGAGGGCGAAGCCAGCGTGGCCATTACGATTGGGGCAGCGAGTGGGCGGGCATGTGGTGCGCGTGTGGCAACAGTATGCGGGGGGCGGAGGGTGGACGAGTGCGTAACGTATGCTTCCCCTGTGGCTCTGTCGAGATGGGGAAAAAGGGTCTCGGGCAGGGTGAGATGCGGAGGAGGAGAAGCCGGGAAGGGTGGACGCCTAGTAGTTTCAGGGCGCAGCGGCGCACACCATGTCACAGACTACCAGCCTGGGCGGCGGCGGCGGTGGCAGCAGCAGCAGCAGCCTGCGACCAGACACGACATGGAGGACCGCGTCGCAGCGCAGTAAGCGTGTGTGGTACGTGAGAGGGTACATGTGCAAGTGTGGATGTGTGTGTGTGTGGTGTGTGCAAGTATGCGTGTTTGTGTGTATCCATGGCGCTACCACGGGCATTGACTGAACACCATCCATCCATGCTGTCGTCGCGGCCTCGAATGCACGGCCCCCTGGCATCCCGTCTGCGGTCGGGCTGGATGGAACTGCAACTGCGCTTGGCTACGCCGTCCGCGCGACGATGCGGGACGAGCAAGGCTTCAAAGAGCGATGCGGCCAGGGAAACAAAGCCGCCGACTGGCTGGCGATGCCAGGGGCCAACACGCTGCATGCAGCGGAGGCACATGGGCCCAAGTACAGCCTTATATATAGAACTACACAGTACACAGCACGCCGGCCATGCTTCATCCATGGTGGCCCAAATGACGACAATGCCCGCTGCGGCCGTGGTAATCTAAAGTAGCCTGTTACAGCCGTTACACGACGCCATGTCTGTGCTAGCTCCCGTGGGATGCGCTGCGACATTTAGACATGGCCGCCGCCCGCCCGCACGCCTATCTCGGTCCTGCCTCTGCTCTGTCGCCGCCATCCTTCCCTCCCAATGCCGACCTCACGCTCGTTTTTGTTCTTGTGACCCCCAGCGTCGCCCCTGTGTTTCCTCCCCCCGCGGACATGTGCTATACCTCCACACCAAGCCCACTCCACACGGTCAACCTCCCCAGCCCCAACCATGCTTGCCTCGAGAAAGCGCCCAGCACCGCTGCTGATCTTCATCCTCCTGCTCGTCGTCGGCCTCTGGTGCCACAACAGAAGCTCCGACAGCGCCTACGCACAATGGCTCGCGTCGGCTGAGTCGCACTCGGCAAAAGCCCCAGCAAACAGCACTCTGGGCTTCGGCACCGTCCTCGTCGTGTCCAAACAAGGCTCCGCCCGTCGAAGGCCGCTAATCCAAGCCGCCAACGTCACTGAAATCGACCTCACCATCCCCCAGCAGCCAGAGTGGACAGAAGGCGACGTCCAGCGCTTCATCAACGGCCACTCCAATACCCAGAAGGGCTCCATCCTGGCCTGGCTTGGCCATCACAATGCCCTGCGCTGGTACGCAACCGCCCCCAATTCCCCCTCTTTTTCTTTTTCTTTTTCTTCTTCTCCTTGATCACCACCTGCTGACTCGCTCCCCAAGGTTCCTGGATTCTGGCCTCGAGACGGCACTCATCCTCGAAGACGACGTCGACTGGGACATTCGTCTGCGCAGCGTCCAGATACCGCTGGCGGCAAGCGCGACCCGCCAGCTCCTTCCCCCGGTACGCTCACGCCACCCCAACATCAACAAGAACCCAAACCGCACCCAGTACTGGGGCGACCAGGATGGCTGGGATGTTCTCTATCTCGGCCACTGCGGCGACTACTTTGATGTCGTCGAGGAAGACGGCCCCAAGACCGATCGCCAGTCGTACAACTTGAGCGCCATAGCCCACAAGCTGTACCACGACCCCACCATGCCCTCTTGGCTCGACCTGCATCCCTTTACCCAGGCCCTCTTCCGCCTGTTGGGCATGCCCGAGCGGACCCGCGTCATGCACCGCTCCAAACTACCCCTCTGCTCCTTTGGATACGCCGTTACCCGCCAAGCTGCCGAACGGCTCCTCAACGATCTTGCACCCCCAAAACTCAAGAAGAACGGAGCCCGTGCCTTTGACGTCGCCCTCTTGCACGCTTGCAACAAGGGAGAGAACACTCCCTCGCCAACCCCCGAGTGGCAGCATCCTAAGAATTCGCCCGACCCCAAGCTACGAAGCAAATACCCGAGCCCCGGACTGCGCTGCTGGACACTGAATTCGGAGCTGTTCCACCACATGCCTGGTATGAGCGAGATCGACATGTTGAGCGCACTATCCGGCGAGAAGCCCGGTCTGCCGCCGGTAGATCGTGCAGCCCAAGCCCAGGTCGTCTCGCGAAACGAAACCACCAACATCGACTGCGGTTTCTGGAGCGGCGCCTTTGCCTTTGACAACAACGACACAGAGCGCCTTCACTTCCTACAAGAAAAGGTTGGGCGGCAAGGTGTCTGTCTCAAAGACAAGAGACAGCATGAAGACGCGTTTTATCAGCCACAAACCGCCCTGGACTAACAGGACCAAGAACGTCATGTACATGTATACTATATTTCATTACGAGCACACACACACACATATATACATACAACTTAGCACAATACCCAGAGTCCATGGAGCACATGGACAAATGATTACGGGCGTTTACGGGAGTTGCAAGGCACATTAGCTACGAACCAATCAGACATACGGCGCATACGGACACGTTTCTTTCTCTTCTCGATTCTGGGCGAAATGCCATTCAATACACGTGCGAGTGGCACATTTGCCTGCCGCAATCTCTTCGGGCTTCTCTTTTTGGACGGAGATTCTTCTTTTCAACCACTTCACGACGGCGGGACCCTTTGATACCACAGCGCAAACCCCTTGAGATTTTCACAAATTCACCCCCTTTTGGGCAAAATAGAGAAACCCTGTTTGTTGTTCATAGAAAACACGCAGCTTGTCATTGAATAACAGAGAAAATAAATTCAACATTACCACCGAAGTAGCACCTCGGCAAGATTGGCATGCCATGACTCTCCTCCCGTTCATATTGTACATATTTAACCCATTCTTGGAAATGACATTCGTGCACCCTCCCCCTTTTTCCCCCACGCGCCACGCAACTCATTCCAACGCGTGTGTGCGCACATCCAAAGATAAGAAAAGGAAAACAAGAATCCCCGCATGGTTAAATTGTTAATCTTGTCAGCAAAACAGAAAGCACAGGCCATGGGCTATACAGGCAAAGCGAGCGATAAGCAAGGCTTGCCTTGCTTTGGTGTCTTTTGTATCGGCCCGATGGAACAATGCCCCAGTGGGCTTAAAAAGGAAGGGAAGTTTTGGGGCCAAGATGGTAGTTGTACTAGTAGTCTTTGCACAGTTGAGAGAGAGAGACAAGAGTTTACCTTGTTTTGCACTTGAACTCGCATATATGTACTATCTACAATAGTTATCTATCTATCTATCTATCTATCTATCTATCTATCTATCTATCTATATACATATATACATATATATAGTTATATACATTTATTGGTGTGGATCAAAGGAAGGGGACGTCTTGGGTCAGTTAGGAACCGGGTTTTGTTGGGGTATGATTGGGTTTATTTTCTGGGGTTATGCTTAGGCGAGGTAAGATTGTGTCCTTGTGCATTGTGGAGAGGGAACAGGTGTTTGGTATAGGCTTTGCTAGGGGTTAGGGTAAGTAGTTTCAGGGTGGAGACTTGAGTTGCTACATAGTGGTTTGAATGTTCTTCTTGGCTATGCTAGATTTCCATATTGGCATATTACTATGCATTATTTTTTTTTTCAATTCGTTTTACCTGGATATACAGTGTGTTATCAGGTACATCACGTCATCTTCATCACAGTCCGTATAACTACACGGTAGTATTTCAGCAACTACTCCATAACTAACTATTGCATGTGACACAGATTGAGGAAATATTCCAATTGCAGCTATGCAACGTAAATCATGGGGTAGTTCAAACCCACTCTCACAATTTAGCTTTCTCATCCAACAACGGTATACCAACAGCTTCTTCCAACTCCATCACTGCCTCCTTTGTCTTGCCCAGATTGACCTTAATAGTCCTCAGTCCCGTCTTCTTCGCAAACTTCAGATTGATTCCAATATCATCCAAGAAGAGCGTATCACCCGCTGTCACTTCTCCCATGCCCTTCTTCTTTGCAATCTTATCCATCTCCTTTACTGCCAGCTTATATGCCTCCGGATCAGGCTTCCGTACACCAACGGCAGCCGAGCCAAGAAAAACGTCGAAAAATGAGGTGATGTCTACGGAATCATTTGCATACGGATTCGGCGGCGGCGCATGCACTATTTCCTTTGTGAAGAGGGTGCCTTCATCGTCCAGGATACCAGTGGGAAATGTGACGTTGTTACTGAAAGCGCCAAGTACAAATTTCCCGCTCTCGCCCAGCTTGCGCAGCGCAGGGTACATGTATGGATCCGGTGTGCGACTGATCTTCATCATGCGCCAGAACAGCCTCTTGGCATCAATGTTCGGCACTGCCGGTGTTCCTCCAGCAACACCCCGACCGCCCCCTACGCTTTGCTTTTTGGCCAGCTTTTGCAGATATTCAGACCATACTTCGGGGCGGGAAAGTTGCTGCTTGAACGATACGAACCAGGCGTCATTGAGTTCGACCTCGCCCCGTTCAATCAGCTGCCATGCGCCTGTGTCGTGGGGTCCTTTTTGAATCGCATAGTTGATATAGCCGATTGGGATCTTGTTCTCGATTTCGTAGTCAAGAATCGCTTGGAAAGGGCTGACAACCTACGTCAAGTAGAGACGTTAGCATACACGTTTGTTGTCAATGAGAATGATTGCTGGCCACTTACCACCACACCGCCAATGTCGAAAAGGATAGCCTTTGGGGGTTTGGACGGGCCTGACATGTTTGTGAAGGAAGCAACGAAATGTCAAGCCTAGTTATGACGATTTCATGGCGGTCTGAAAGGCGCCATGGCTATTGTTAGAGGTTGTGGAGATCGAGGTACCTCGGCAACGGATAAGCTTCCCTGAATTGCGTTAAGCTTGTTTCCGCTAGCGCCGATTGTGGAGTGTAGCTGCATCTTGACACTACGGAGCCGGCTCCACAGACTATAGACATATTAATAACTGTAGATGTACGTGGAGCTGTGACGTGACATGCTCCAGTACCTGAAAGAACTCAATACTGGCTGCATGGTTTATGGTCCTGCGAGCCTCATATCGGTATGGGTAACCATAATAACGCTGACAAGCGAGGGAGGATGAGACAAGAGTACCGTTTCTTGTCTAAATTTCCAAGTGAGCTCTGATCAACTGAAAAGCGAAAAAAAAAAACAAAATTCCAAGACCCGTCTGACACATCATCTGCAAGACATCTTCGTGAAGACAACCTTCTCCGTCCGAGACATAAACCCCATTGGCTCAATTTATTTCCTTGATAGCCGCAACAACATCTCTGTTCCCTTGTACACATTTTTGGTTATCTCAACATTTGCCCAAGCGATGTTGCTCAAAGCTTCACGGAGGCTTTTGGATGCACGTGCATCTGGCTCGTTCCGGAGACATTGCTTATGCCGCTCATACATTTCAACGACCCGTGCAGCACCCCTATCGTGATACTGAAGCAACTCTGTTTCAATAAACAGATCAATGTATCCACCGGCGGGCTGCAAGTTTAACACTTTGAACTTGACAATGTTATGCAAGATAGCATCGATCCAATCAGGGATTTGCAAGGCCCAGATGCTTTGCACGTCAACCTCGTTGACGGGCTCATTCCGCAAGCGACATTTAATCTTTTCACAAAGTGCTTCGGCTTCTAGAGCATCGACATGCATTAAGCTGCGGTAGATCTTGACGTCTTCACTAATGGTTCTATTTACCGAGACTGTATCGGTCTTGAACGCACAATTTCCCATATCTGGTATCTTAACTACGCTATTCAGACAGGTTTTCTTACGATCGAGGATTGATCGTTCTGGGATTCAATTAAGCAGCGACATTCGGTATTCAGAGTTGTGTGTCTTGGGTAGTAGGAAGAAGGATGCTTATTGGGAAATCATTTTATACAAATTTAAGGGGCCTGAAATTGTGAAGAGGAGCGCACAATGTCAGCCCATGTAAGACAGATCGGATTATTAGACCAATGGAAGTATTTTTTTCATCCGCAGAAGACGGCAAGTGTGTATCGTCTGAAACGATCCAATAGACTCTGTATGGTTCTCTGCCCATTGCAAACGTCTTTCACTGCTGATGTGGTATTCAATCTTCACATGCAGATTTAGGTGCATATCGAATCGATAACATGTGCATTCGTAATATGTCTAAGATTGCGAGATTGGACCTCTTGAAGATCGTTCGCAGCTGGAATTCTGGACCAAATCAAGATTCCCAAGTAAGCTCATAGGCAAAAACCGTACGGCGAAGGAGCTCATCCTACTAGGGTCAGTGATGTCTCTGGATTTGTAAAATGACCAGACTTACTCCTGGATCTTCCTCGAACATGACCTTTTCCATGATCTTCTCAAACATCTTGTTTACGGTGAATCCCGCATTTCTGGCTAGATCAAAGAACGCCATGTCCTTTTCATACAACCAAGGTCGGTAGGGAGAGAAGAAGACAAAGGCTCGAGAGGTGGGTGCCTTTTTCAGCGTCAACTCCACCGTCTTGACGAGCTTTTCATGTTCCGAGTGGTTGAAAAGAAGATCGGCTAAGATTAAAACATCAAAACCCGAGTCATTACCAAGATGCTTTATCAGATCTTGGGTGGGCGCGCCCCATAGGTAGCCCTGCGCACTTGTTAGTGAAGTCCATCAAACCTGAAATCAGCTACGAACCTCGGCCACAATCTTTGGCGGCTTAGAGAGTAGCTTGCAATGGTCGATATTGTATCGTAAGTTCCCGATCAGATCGGCATCAGGATAGTCAGTGACTACCGTCTGAGCAGCACCTTTGAGCGCACAAACGAGACTAGGAAGTCCCGCACCGGCACCTAGCTCCAACACAGTCTTGTCTTTCACAAGTTGATTTGAATTTTCTTCCAGATATGATGAGATTGTCCGCCCTGCATTCCATAAGAAGTGACCCTGATTGCTTCAGTGAGTGTACTCTAAAAGGGTGGGGCGGCCAGAAAATGCGTAGTGTGGACTGGCAGGTTGGGGGAAAACATCCAAAAGAACCATTTCTTGACACCAAGCATAGACAGGAGTTCCTTGCTGTGTTTGAAACCATTGCTGCATGAATGGGGTCTTACCCACAATGGATTGTGTCCCACGAGCCGGACAGTAAGGTCTTTGCCGGAAAGCAATTTGTGAGAGGCAAAAGTTGCCTGCTTTTCTGGTTGGTAGTAATCAGCGGGCTCCTGGAATAGATCCAGGCCCTCATCTTCAGCGTCTGATGACATGGCGAATCAAACGATGTTACAAAGGGAATGACTTGGCTCGTGATTGAAATTCGGGTAATCCAAAGCAATGAGCCACAGGCAAAGTCACGTGTCGCACTAGCCACTCCAGCCACACTAGCCATCCGAGCCACTATTTTGTCTTCTGACTGGGCAGCTTTCCAGAACACTATCGTCTGAACCAACAGATGGCCTGTAGTCATGGCGTCAGGGCGGTTTCAAGCGCATCATATAATCTTTTCACCCCGAGCGAATCTCGCCTGCTGTTGCATCCAGTGTCACTCGGGCTTTTGGGTAAGTTTGGGGCGGCTCGAGTAGCGTGGAGGTATTGGCGCCACGATGGATGCGCACGCTGCCGCCCAACTCGAGGGTACCACCTACACACATGACCATGGTGTTATCGTGGTGCTCAAGTGCAAAGACAGGCCAAAAAATGCCCCACGGCACAGCGACTCCATATCCCCACGTTTCAGTCTGATACCCGGCAGCCGCGATTTGGTTTCCATAGTCCCACAAACCTTCACCGGCAAAGCGATCCTCTCTGTGCCACCTGGTCATTCATCGCCACTTGCACGCGCCCCGTTGCAACCGGCTCTCTTCCTCTTCGTAGTCCACCAAACGGCTTATTGGCCGGCGTTTTCCTCTCACATATACGTACCTTCCCTATCTACCAGTGTGAAGCAACTAAGGCCTCTTAGTAAGAAACTTGCTCACGCTAAGACACTAAACCCAATCCATCTTCAGACGACCCTCCCATCCACACACTTCACCACAACCCTTTGAGCGCCAACCAGAGATCTCCTGCGCCTTGACGCCGTGGCTCCAGGGCCATCATCGGTACACCACGCGAAAAACTGACTACTGTATCTGTTCTATGGCCTGACGGTCAGGTGCTACACGCCACAACCCACACTGTATCTGAGCAGGCCAGCCACTCCCGGACAACTTGTGCTGGGTCAGTTACTTGTTAACGTGGGTTATCAGTGCTCTACTTCCGTTGCTTTTCCTCGGTACATCTGGCCCCATTGCATTGCTCCGCTCAACCCCGGCGTAGGCCGTGCGTACCGACCCGGCTTTCAACCGCTTCCTGCTCACAATCGCTTCTGCTGCATGAAGCACCACCACAGTTGCTTTTAGTGGCCGCTATCCGTCGGCAATTTCCAGGATTATTGACCCTCCAGCCATCCGGAACTGGACCCTTAACAGATCACACATGCCAGGTCAGATCTGGCATCCAATCTACTTCCTCACATCCGGACGGTCAAGCTGACCACAGTCGAGCCCGTTGGCTATTGCCCCAGTTGACAAGGGTCCCTTACGCAGGGTTCTTGGTTACATCCCGGGCCACACGCTACTGTACCCCTCTGTAACCCGCTTGCACGTGTGCGTGCGTGGTGGACGTTCGCTCTTTCAACCCACCAGCAACTTTTGTTCTTTGATACCGGATCGACGGTGTTACTGGCCGTCACTTGCTGCAGACTGAGCAAATTTCCCTGGAATCATTACAACCCCCGTACCATGTGGGCCGAAGTCAACGGAGAGCGTAAGAAAGTGGCCTGGTAAGTTTTCATACCTCTGGGTGCTTGTTATCGCTTTTTCTTCCTGAAAACTCTGCCTGCATAATCTCTTGCATGCCTGCAACCTGCGCTGAAGATTCTCTGAACATGCAACATTCCATCTCTCAGGCACGCGGCGTACCCTTTGACAGCACCCCTTCACCGCGAAGAGATACTAACCTAATATAGTGGCCCGTGCATCCGCGGTCATCGCTCATCGAAATGCGACCACAGAGACCGAGTACTGGTTGAGGTTCGGAAGCCTGGTCGACCTTTGAGTAGCTGCCCGCATCCAACTGGTTCATGTAGCTGCGAGCGTGTTGTTATCAACTACACGATCCCCAAAACCTCACAGTGCGCCTGTCCGTCCGAACGAGAAGCGCCCACAGCTACCATCGTTGGAAACAGTCGAATCTCAAAGGGTAGACGAAAATCTACGGCCGTCACACCCTTCTATCTAGACAAGGCTATCCGAGCCGGTCTAGACGCCGAAACCGATACCTCTTCGAACACACAAACCCCTTCCGAGACGAGCGGCAGCAATGCCCCATCACTACCATCAAGTGCAAGCTCAACTCCGCGTCTACTACCTGCTCAAAGTGACTCCATCTCGAGCTGTTGTAAGCCGAAGCTGGCGTTGGCGCCAGTTCAGACAGGAGGATGTTGTGGCAATAAATCCAATCCAGGCCCAGAGCCACCAGTACAGAAGAAGTCTTGTTGTTCTGGGTCATCAAAGCAAACACCCACAAATTGTCAGCCGAATAGTTACCAACATTCCGGGCAATCGTTCCAGTTCCCTCCTCAGCCTCCAGGAGTATTGCCGCCGCAGTATCAAATGTTCTCTCAGGCAATGTCGCCGACTACACCAAACCCTTTTGGCCTCGGTACCCCGATCTATAACCATGCGGCAGCGGCTTATCACCAGAACAACCCAGTACCAATGAGTCCAGGAGTGAATACGCCCATGTCACCTCATATGAACACTTCTTCGGTCGGCCAGCATGGTCCTGAACACAATTGCCACTGCGGTGAATCATGTAGCTGCTTCGGATGCGCCGCTCATCCGAACAATGCCACTATGATGGAGTATGTCAGGGTTATGGCTCACTTTCAGTACACTGGCGGTTTTGGGGGAATGGTCCCACCTCTTTATGATATGCCAACATACCCTCATCAACCAGGTTACGGAGCTGAAGCTGGTCACAGAATGAGTTACGACGCAATGTCTCAAGGCATGACAACGCCTACCCCAACACAGATGAGCTTCCAGGCCGGTCTCAACTTGTCGGCCAAACCCAACCAATCCATGCCGATACCCGGAAACTGGCAACAGCCCCTTAACACAGTACCCGACCTGTCACAAGCCTCTTTTATAAGAAACATTAACTATGCTGCTTCTACTGCCATCGCCGAAAACCACACACTTTTGAAGACAGAAGAAGGGGTAGGCTCACCGGCTGCTGATAGCCCTAACGACAGCAAAGATGAAGATACCCCCACACTTTCGCCGTCATCATACTTCTGGAACGAGATGACCTTGCCAGGCTGCTCAGACGCCTCTGGCACTTGCCAATGCGGGGACGGGTGCGCATGTGTAGGCTGTCTAACACATGGCGGACACACTGGAGAGCAGCTTGAGGATGTCTCGACCGCGGAACAAAATGCTTTTCCCAATTTTACTCCTGATCTTGGCCTCAATATGAATGATCCAACGGATTTCATGAACTTTCCAGTAGGCCCTAGTTCAATCATGTAAATGGGGTATGCGCGCTTTTCTCGTTGTTATCGACACAAGTTGGTTCATGTGACCGGTCGCTCTGGGATTTCAGACTCTGCTACTCACATCATTCGAAACGCAAATCTCACTTTCTCCACCTTCATGGATTCATACGCCTCAAACAGCTTACATCCTACTCGAGAAGTCCTCGAGGCCGTCATACATTATTAGCAGTAAAGAGACCAATGACGGCACATGACAAACTTATCAAAAAAAAGTCTGCTCTGGTCTTGCACTTAGTCTAAAAGTCTTTGCCTGCATGGAATCCAGGAACGTCCAGACTGTACGACAAAACATGGCATCGGAACTCGGCCTGGCAATCCCTACTGCGACCACCTCTCGACTCCTTCATACTTACAATACTTTGTTTGCTTCCTGTATATGTTTATATGTCACACTATTTTGAAGTGGCCACGGGTTGGTTTGTATGCCTAAAGAACAGAGCATTGGACGCAACTTTGTTGTGCGTGTCGGAGGAACTTGTTTTTGAACCTACATTGTTTGCTTTTTATCTTCATAACGATACGATACCCTGCGCGTTGGGCGCGAGACGTGGGAGGCCGACATGTTGCCATGTTTTTTTTTCGAATACATGATTTCTATCTTTCAATTTAGAACCCAATCGCGTCCATCTGCTTTTCTTCTCTGCGAAACATGACTTCACATGCAATGTTTCCCATTCGATGTAAATTTGAAAGTTGGCTAACTAGTACCATTCACTACAGAAGAGTCATATCACCAAACCCTACCTTACTAATCACTAGCGATCGAAAGACATCCATTTTTCTCGAATCCGAAATGGGCCGTTGCCAAATAGCTCATCATCTACTCTCGTGGCTAGCCCGAATAACGTTCTTTTAGAAGAGAAGAAACTTTGTACATGAAACTGATGAAAGAAAGCATATCTGTCATCCTACCTCAAGAGAGCTTCAATTCCTCCAAAAGATCCCATCAAGATAGTTCGTCACAGTCTCTTGCAACTTTCGACATGGTGGAAAGTATGTTGAACAGAAAGACATGAGTCAGATCGGTGACTGATGCCACAGTAGTAGAAAGATGGACGAGATATCACAAGAAGATATGACACTCTCGTGAATGTGTAGAGGAGGAAATGATGGCGAGAAGCCTGGGTCGGTACACGAAGTGACATTGGGTGTCACTATCCTTCCGAAAGTACCACGGTAAGGTCTCCGTGCGTGATAGCGGCCTGGGACAAAGAATTAGTTTCATGTTGAGGATAATCAAGGTGTGGCCTACAGTGCAGCCACGATCCGGATCTTCCCAACACTGGTCACCCTCACACCACTGGTTGGTGGCGCTCTTGTACCTGCATGCCGAGACGACGCCATCTCCGACGAACGTGATGTCGTACCCGAGCCGTTCCTGCTTGCACAACTCATTTTGTTTCAAGCTAGAGAAACCCTGCTGGACAGGACCATCATCAAATGAAGTGCCGAAGACTGCCGGTGCCCAGTTGCCTTTACCTCCCATTTCCGTGCCCCAAGTGCAGGCTTCGTCCTCAGGTACGCCTTGCTTGTTAACGTAGTACTGAGCCGAGGTCCTCTTGCCCTGCCAGAAAAAATACGTTTGCTGGTCGGGGTTGGCAAGAAAACCTGTCTGGCCTGGTCCAACAGTGACGGGAAAGGTCATTGATTCAGTACCTGTTCATGTCAGAATCAATCCGCTTCTGCAGCAAGAAGACTGACCTGGATAGTCGGTGCGACAGAACGATACAGTCTGTGATAGATTGCTCTGCACCTTTACACTCATCTTCTTGGAGCCTGGGACGCACAACGTATCGGCAATCTTGCCGTCAGCCATTTCCAGATAGCCGTCTTTATTGCAGTGTAGGCCACCCACAGTCTGACCGTGTCTTCCTTGAGTGGATGGGAAGGAAGCCTTGAGGTACGGGTTTGGGCATCCATATGAACAGTACCTCCCTGGTTTGCAGCAAGTCCCGTCCGAGCATGAGCCCTTGACAACGGTCATAATGTCATCGAAGCCATCGGATCCCACATATTGCGGATCCTGTATGCCAGACCATCCACCCAAGCCTTCATGATCGATGGGTAATGCGCCATACCCGTGGGGAAACTCGGTGCAAGCGATTTCACCGTTCGGGAATACCTTGTCGCATTCAGCACAATGCCCATTCTTGTCGACCAAGTCAACCCAAGGGTTCGATGGGGCATCTGGCTGTTGTACGGTTGGTGGATCTGGAGTAGTGACACCGTTCGGTGGTTCCTCAGTTGTAGGCCCTTCCGGCTTAGGCTGGGGATTGTCGATAGGCTCTGCGGGATGGTTGTCAACAGGCTCTTCGGGGTAATCTTCAACAGGCTCCTCAGGATGGTCTTCGGCTGGCTCGACTTCTACAGCTTCTTCGACTGCCACACCAGGACCAACATCCGCAGCTTGCCCTCCGTGTTTGTCGGTTGGAGGCGAAGTGGGCAATGCGACATGTGGATCAGTTGTTGATGACAAGACGTTGCCTGATCCCCACATCAAAGTGCCATTGGCGATACCTTCACGAACCTCATCTTCAGAAATCGCATGATCATCGAGCCAGTACACGATCTGAGTCTCAGTCGCGGCCGGAGCATAGACAATGTTGCGTTTGACCGAGTTTTGAGAATAGGCCCGTTGGTGCAAGTGATGCGGTTTGGCTGACGTGACTGCAGCAAGCGCTGTAGCAGTAACGACGTACTGAATCTTCATGTTTCGGTCTCTTGCAGGTGCAATAGTTTTGCGACAAATGGCTAATCGGCCCAGCAATTGGAGGTTAGTTTTGCAATAGAGTTGGGCAGTGTGGTAAACTAACCTATTCTGTCTCTCGAAAGAAGCACTCTAACCCAGTACTCAAATCTTGCGGTATGTAAAGCAATGTTTGTTCGCTTGGGTTTTGCTTTCGTCAGCGTGTAAAGCGTCAAAGTATGCTGGCAGTGCTTAATGAGTGGAATGGAGGTGGAGCTCCAGGTGTGGGCACGAAAGAATGGCTGTGGCGGAGCGAACGACTCAACTGAGTGTGAACGATGATTCGTGAGCAGGATTCGTAGGACGTCTGGAACAGGGAGGTAGAGGACAAACGCGGTTTGTTTGTATGCCTGTGCCAAGACACGCCTTCGCTAGTGAACTACTCTGTTTGCATGGGAAGCAGTAACGAACCAAGCGGCATACGATAGATGGCTAGTTCCCCTCTCGGCCAATTGACAGTTGTCTATTTGAAAAGTGGAAAGGAGCGGTGGGTGTAAGAGGCCCTTACCCACACCTCAAACAGGCGAAGGGGGGGTGACGCAGATTGTAGAAGCAAGCGGGATGGAAAGGACGACAAAAAGAAATTTGACTCTTGTCTGTATAGACCTTTTCATATGTACATCTGAGCTTGTGGGTTCGATGTATCTAGTGCATTCTCGGTCTGTCAGACTGTGTGACTGCCGAGTATATAATTCTTGGCTGTAAAACCATGGTAGCATGGATTCAGGACTAAACACCGGCTTTTCGCGTAATGAGAGATAAAAACTCACAAAATAAAATTATCCTATAGGACAAAAGTTAGTTTCCGTGTGTAGCAGTTCTTACGTGGATACTCTGTGCAACATCGCCCCTGAGCTAGCTCATGCCCAGCCACATGCACGTATATTCCACGAGCGTGGATTGTCACACCAGCAACCGTCATAGTCAAACTAGTCTATTTGTTCTTTGATGCTACATCAACAGCATTTTTATCTCTCAATATGGCGACCACTATACTCATCTTGCATATCGGATGTGAACGTAGGCAGCCTGACGCTTCTCTGCTACCATTTGGATACGTCTTCTTGATAAAGATAATGGTAAAGGGGGTGCCATTAAATGAAAGTGCCTTTTTCTGCCTGTACACATGTTACAAAGAACGTGGTATTGCGCAACTGAGTGCATGTGCGTTCAGTTCAATCATATCTCTTTGAGTCAGCATGCGAGCCAGTCAATTGAGATCAGCCCAAGCTGAGCCGCGATGAAACTGTGTACTGAATCAAAACTACGTGGCCAAAGGACTACCAGGTACTGCTCAAAGCCAATGTGCCGCAAACCTCGTGCTTTCATGTAGCCCTGTTGTTGTGTCTTGCAAAGCCTTGGCATATACCGTGTTAGGCAGTTGCAAGTGATAAGATGCTACATTATCGGATACAGCATAACACAATCAAATGTGATGAAACTCATGATAAGAGAATGAAGAAATGTGAATGGGTGATCCAGGGTATCATACAGTCCTCGAATAATGATAGATTTTTGAACTATGTACAGAATATCAAGCCATGTTGGCGACAAAAGAGCGCCATTTTCTTTGCCATCTTGACCCTAATGATACAACGAGCCAGCTGCTCTATCAGAAAGTGCCCATCCCTCGGACTGATACAAGGCGAGTGGCCTAAACTAGATGAATGTAATTTGCCGGAACACTCCTTACAACACCATCTTTTTCTACATCTGCCCACCCGTCGCCAGCGTCCATATTAATGAGCACGAAACGGTCCCCTTCTGCCATGGAATGCTCCACTTCGGTTTGCGCAGTGTAATCGTATAGTGCTTCGACATATTTTAGCTTCTTTGCCCCACGTTTTGGCGCTACAGCTGGGCCCTTCTTCTTAACAGGAGCTGCCGAGTTCAAATTTGATGTCGACGCAGAGGATGCAGAGTATGTCGAGTCTGGGCGCGCTGATGAGAATGTAGAGGCTGTAGTGGGTGGAGTTGCTGCTATTATCTCAACATACGTTGCAGGAACAAGGCCTTCTTTGAAGCCAGCGCGAACCTTGATCCATCCAGATCCGTCTAGTAGTAAATTATTAGTAACTTAAGTGTAAGTGAGAATCGCATTAGACATACCATCAGGTTCTAATATAGTGACATCAGTGCCCTCAGACACGGTCACTTCGCCATCACCGTTTTCTTGATAGGCATACAGCATTCTGCCCTTCGGCTCAGCAGATTTAGATGTGGGAGTCGGGATGTCGTCGTCGGCCTTGATGTACTGGGCAGGTGGGGGTGCGACCATCCGGTTCCTCCTAGGACCTGGTGTTGGCGCTGGTGCTTTCTTTTCTGGAGGCGGGGGGGTTTCTTCGACGGTTGGCGACATGGCTCCTCCGGCTATCGATCGCTGTGCGGTTGCTGAGTAGCCAGAGCTCAGTGTGTTCATCGAGTTCACTGTATCGCTTCTTCCTAGACGCGGCATCTCTGCAGCCGAGCTCGTTGTGGTACCGTTCGTTGCGGTTACAGTGTGCGCAGCCTTCTGTCGTTCATCCTTCAGTTTCTTCTTCGCTTCTTTGGTCTGTTCTCCAGGACAGTCTGCAGGGACCTTCATCTCGCACTTGCTATGGCATGTGTAACCACAGTCTTTACAGTCGAAGCCTTTTGCAGATAGGCCCCATATCCGATCTCCGCAGAGGTCGCAATTTGTAGGTATCTTGAATGTTTGAGATTTGAAGTTGTGGTTTCTTGCGCCAATGCTAAGATCACCCACAACGGAGGTAATTGTAGAAACTTCGACTTGAGCGCTGACTTTCTGGCGCTCGACTTCATGCATTGCTTCCTGTATCGCAAAGATGGCGCGAACAATTTCCACCTCGTCTCTCTTATCCTTCCCTTCTTTCACTTTTTGTCGTACCGCTTTAGCATTCTCTACCTCCTTGCGCTTTTTTTCGAGCTCCCGCTTATGCTCTCCCAATGAAGACTTTGACTTCGTAAGTACGTTGCGCAAGAACACGGTCGCTGGCTCGTCGACGGCGATATTGGCATCGTCCAACCAGACAGGACTGGGCTCGAATTGGAAGTCGCCTGGCTCTTGCCATGGACCAGCGTTGTGTCGCACAAACATCATAGAGTCAAGTAAGGGGTTGTTGCGCGGAATCTCGCCAGCCAGATGCTTCATATACTCCGTACTTCGGGTAAGTGTTTGAGTCTCAATCTCTGCTGCAAGCGACCATATAGTATTTAACTTGTGAACTCGTGTTTCGGAAAGATCTTGCAGGCTCTGTGATGGTCAACAATGCCTCGACTTGTCCGCGAGGGTACTTACGTCTAGTAGCTCAGGGACATACTCATGGTAGTACATCTCCTTTTGCTTGTTGGTCACATTTATGCTAATCAGATACGTGTTCTGTGAGAGATCAGCAATTGAACACCAGAGCTTTGTGCGCGTGACCTGCCTTGACGTTGCGCATTTCGACTTGCTGTTGCTCAAATGCATTACGAGCCTTTGCTTTGCCATGATCGAACGCAGTGTCAACCTTTTTGCGCCGACTCTCGACCTCCTGGCAGACGCTATCATATTTCCCCTTTTGTTTGCGCAACTCTGCATATTGGTTATCCCGTTCCTTTTCCAACTTGACTGCATAGTCTCCGTGAAGTTTGCGCAACTCTTCGGTCCTCGTTCCAAGCACCTTGAGGGGATCAGCCAGTTGTGTAATGAGGGCGCCGGCGAATTGTTCATGTTCCGCTGCGCGTGATTCGAGAGTGCTCAACTGGACTCCCCATGTGGTCATGGAAGCGCTGGGAGTCGTCGTTAGCTGACCTCATGCCATGGCAGCGAAAGCCGTACCTTTCCAGAGAGCCGGGAGTAACCGTAGGGTTGTCGCCAACACTCAAGCTGCTCTGCTTCTTTGCCTTCTTCTCGTAGTACTTTTTGGCTAATGCGCTCAGCTTCGCCGAATACTCCTTTTCTATGGCGCTTCGTTCTCGGTAGAATTGCTGAATGTCATCTAGCCAGGAGATGCCGCCGGAGACCTGCAGCCTCTCATGTTAGCGACAGGAACGCAAACCTCACAGCGCGCACAGTTAATGAGCGCGCAGAGCGGACATAATGGGGTACAGGCAACATACCCAAGCATTTACATTCTTGAAGCCATCCTGGAGTTCACAGTTAGCACACGTTCGGTGGTGTGGCACAGTCGCGTTCGCATACCTTGAGTTCAGCGCCGAACTTGGGCGCAATATCAACGTCCATGATTCGTGGAGAGCTATGGGTCGAACGCTGCAAGGGCGGAGATGGGCACCCCGGACATAGAGGGTGAAGGGCTTCTGGGGTAAAGACAACGAGGGTTACGTGGAGTGTATGTGTGTACAAGGAGTCTTGGGTATGGGATGCCCAAGAGTGGGGCAGGAGGAGGCAGGAGGAGGCGGTGCTCGCGCCGGGCAGGGAAGGCCGGGATCCGATCCGATGACGTTGCTGCAGCGTTACGGTCTTGTGTTTGGTATATATCACTATTCTCTACTGTGAACAGCGCTTAGTGTAAGCTACACAGGTCTGCATGCGCATAAAAAAGGTGGACGCTTCGCTCGGTCGCGACAAGATGCAGTAGGCTCGTAAGATACGTACATATGTACTTACGTACGCCGGGCCCTGTCCATGCAACGCGGGCGCGGGCGCTAAATCCGGCTAGCGCTATAGCCCCGCCAAAGGCTGCTCTCTGGAGCTCTCACAATTTCCAACGCGGTGCCTTGTACATACTTCAGCAACAACAGCATATTCTTCCAGTCGCGTGTGTCCACCGATGCGACTATATATCTGTTGATTGAGTTGCCTCCTAATCACAAAGAACTCCACCCATATAATAACACCGCCGAGACCCCCAGGCCGCGAGATACTCAACTTCACCGCCCGCAACGCGAACTACAGTAGCCACCAGCCATGTCGTCAGCGGAGGAGACACCCATCAAGCAAGATGCTGCTGCCGGAGAGACACCATCAGACTCAATCGAGCAATCTCAGGTCGATGGCAGCGGCCCGGAGGGCAATGGCTCTGAACTGACCGACACTAAGTTCAATGTCGAGGTCAAGCTTGCCGACTTGCAGGCTGACCCCAACAACCCTCTGTTCTCAGTCAAGTCGTTCGAAGATCTACAACTGTAAGCTGGACGCGCTCGCTGCCTGGACATACTAACAAATGCAGTTCCGAGGCACTCCTTAAAGGCATCCGCAACATGAACTTCCGCAAACCGTCCAAAGTTCAAGAAAAGGCTTTGCCTCTACTTCTGTTGAATCCACCAACGAACATGATTGCGCAATCTCAGTCCGGAACTGGCAAGACTGCCGCCTTTTCGCTCAATATTCTTTCCCGTATCGACCTCTCCAACCCCGAACCCCAAGCGTTGGCACTCGCGCCCAGTCGAGAGCTTGCTCGTCAGATTTTGGGTGTCATCACTCATATGGGACAGTTCATGGACGGACTCAAGACCATGGCTGCTATTCCTGACCCGTCACGCAGGGGACAGCAGTTTAACGCGCAGGTCTTAGTTGGCACACCAGGAACAGTCCAGGACATGCTCAGGCGGCGGTTGATCAACTCCAAGTACATCAAGATCCTCGTCTTGGACGAGGCGGACAACATGCTGGATCAGCAGGGTCTGGGTGACCAATGTACCCGTGTCAAGGCACTGCTACCCAAGGATATTCAGACTGTTCTCTTCTCCGCTACCTTCCCGCCCAATGTCATCGCATATGCGAAGCGCTTCGCACCTAACGCAAACACGCTCACTCTGGCACACGAGGAGTTGACCATTGAAGGTATCAAGCAACTGTACATTGACATCGACAAGGACAACGACAAGTACGCCACTCTGCTCAAGTTCTATGGCCTGATGACACAAGCTTCGTCCATCATTTTCGTGCGTACACGAAAGACTGCTGAGGAGCTGGAGCAGCGCATGGTGGCCGAGGGCCACAAGGTCGCGCAACTGAGCGGTGCTCTCGAGGGTCCCGAGCGTGACCGTATCATTGACCAGTTCCGTTCTGGTGAAGCCAAGGTTCTCATTACTACCAACGTCCTCGCGCGTGGTATCGATGTACAGTCCGTCACCATGGTTATCAACTATGTAAGTCATAACTTCATTAACTTTGGCGGGCCAAGTAACGGCACTAATTAAATATCAGGATGTTCCGACCATGGCGAACGGCATCGATGCAGACCCCGAAACCTACCTCCACCGCATTGGTCGTACCGGTCGTTTTGGACGTGTCGGTGTTGCTTTGACCTTTGTACACGACAAGGCAAGCTGGCAGCAACTGCACGCGATCGCATCATACTTCAGGACCGACCTACACCCCATCGATACATCAGACTGGGACGCTGTCGAAGAGATGATTCAGACCGTTATCAAGTCCTCACGAGCCGGAAAGACGACGGAAGAGATGACGGAAATGATTACCAAGGGATCATAAAATGGTTTGGGCATGGAAGAATTTATGACGTCAGGACTAGGTTGCAGGTGCTTGTAGGATATATGTGTTCGATCTACAGGACTGGCACAGGTTTGTATCTGCAAGAGACGACATTTTGCGGTGAATGCATATGTGGGAGTTCGGACGAAGAAGGAAAAAAGGAAAGGCATTACGTACGAGGGAAATGAATCAAAGATACCCAAACTTAAAGCAAGCAAGCAAGCGAGTTTACTGAGTCTTGTCTCCCTTTTCTTGATTTGAATAATCAAGTCTCGAATGCACCGGGTGCCGTGACCAAGATGACGACCAAACTGCTTGCTATCAGCGCGCCTGAAATGGCGCTAACTAGAATAATGCTCCCTCTCGAGGCAGGAAACTTGCCCCGTATAACATAATGCTGCACCTCAAAGTACCTGTGAAACCCAATCAACAGCATCACGACACTTATCCCTATGAACGTCGCGCCAAGCGGTTTCCCCAGCTGCCGCAGCTTGACCTGTTGCGGCGACGAGTGATCTGGCGAATTCGCCAGTGAAGTATTCAGCCGGAAGAGCTGCGTTATCGCTATGCCGATGCTGGCAAAGGAGAGCGAACTACGGAGCCAAGCGAGAAATGTACGTTCTACATTTCCCAATAGTATCGCATGTCAGCGCGTTTGAACGGTTGCATGTGTATGTAAAGGGAAGAAGGGAGAGGAAACGCGTACCCAGTGCCAAATGATCCCTAGCTACACTCCCCTTGTTATCCAACTCTACGCTTCCGTATTTCTCCCAGAACCCGGTCCACCATCCTTTTTCGCGCCGTATGGTGGCTGCTGCTGCTGCGGGCTCTGGTGTTGTTGCTCTGGGGTCGGTGTGGAGTCCGTTTTCGCCTCGTATGCTGTTGGATACGTCGGTGGTGCTATCGCTTTTCTTGTGCTCTCGCGCAGGCTGCAAGTTTGATCCCCCTGTGCCTTCTTGCTCTGCGCCAGCGACTCCGTCGCTGGTTGCGGACGGGCCGGACGACGGGTGTGCGTTGTCGCGAGCGCGCATTTCGGGGGATAAGGTGTTGTAGTCTTTTATCGAGCCGGGCTTGCTGGACGAGAGTATGGACGATGTTTCTGTTGGTGCTATGGGCTTTGATGACGTTTGCGTGTCTGCGCGCGAGTCTGGGATGCGTTTACTTGGGCCTGAGATCGATGCCATTGTGGATCCGTGGGTAAGCTGTATGCAATAGCCTATTCTTCTCTGTACTCTTAATCCGAGGGCAAACTATTTGGATATTACAGATGGATACGTTGGGAAGTGTGAAAGTACTGGAATATATTGTGGTTGATGGAATATTGACTTATTTGACGTGATAAGCAGCTGCATGTAGACATTCCTCGGGACTCGGGAAACGCCATACTACTATAAGCACGGGAAGGCGACTTGAATGTTCCTGGCGCACGTTGAAACGATCCCCACGGGGGAGGAGATAAGGACTCAATATGGCCTGCATGATGTAGCTGGAGGTACATATGTAGATTATTTGTTGAATCGATCACATCAAAAGAACATATCACCATTGTCGTAATGGTCAGCGAATTTGTGGAGCACGTCCCTCAGGCCGCGATAGCTAGCCTATCGGGGATGCACATTCTCCGCAACGAAATAAACAGCGAGTTTATCAGATGCCAATGGCTGAGCAGCTTCCACGTAACATACATAACCGTTTCTTTTACCAGAAAAATCAAGTATCTGACTGAATGGAAAAAAATCTGTCATGTTGGTATTTCAAGTCTAAAAATTGCTAACTGGTATATTTCTTGCTCAGCAAGCCATCATACCTCCAGAACATGGTTGCCATAAATGCGCGGCGGTAAGACTCATGATTGCAGTAATGTCTTCAAGCCGCCCTTTCCAACGCCGCCCAATGACCACTGAAACGGAACAGCCCCCCAAAACTTCAAGAATTTCGCCGTTGGCCTTGTTACTCGTTGTAGTGATACACCTGTAGTTGCTGTTAGTATCGGGATGCTTGTAGAGTATCGAGAAAAGGACACGTACAAGGTAGTTGGGTAGTCCATAACTCTCCCAATTTAATCGGGCGGCCATCTTGGCAAAGCCCTCCGTTTCAATGAGATGGTAGAAGGAAAATGGCGGGAACATAGCACCGTCTCGGTGGACCTCGGCCTTGACGAGTAATGTAGCACCTCCTACACCGTCGAGCTTAACCTTTGCGTGAGGATCCGCCGACGGGTCGTACATCTTGGCCATCAGGCTACGGTAGGTTGGCATTTCTGCATAACCTTCGAGCAGGATATCATCCTTGCCCATCTTCTTGCCCAGTTCCTGTGCAGTGCTGCTGTCGATCCAGTTGTTGAAATCATATTCTCGAATGTCCATGGCCTTCTTTTCCTCGTTGTAGTACCTCTGGAAGCAGTTGGGCACAATGATGGGCACGTTGTAATCAGCCAGATCCTGAATCAATGTGGGTGGAGTCTCAACAATGTCACCATCCATCCATAGAACCCAAGAGGTCGTGGGACCCAACGTTGTGAACAAGAGCGAGTTTCGTGCCTTTGCCATGGCTGCCCTCCGCGCCTTCTGGTTCTCCATCTTGTGACGCTCGGCCTCGTTTTGCGATTGTAGGGGGGACTCGGTGTCCTGGCGGAGAATGGTAACGGCAGCGAAGCGCTTCGATTTGGTACCCGATTGCGTCTTTGCTACCTGTGCCTGCAATGCAGTGTATGCAGCATTGCCCTCCTTTGTCTTTGGGATTATGAATCCAAGGGAGATGAGGTGGTGGGGATAGGTGAGTTTCATGAGGTTGTCCCAGTACTCCTGGTAGAACCGAGCCAATGGTGTGAGGATGAGAACCGCTTCTTCGTTCTCAGCAGGCGTGCGGGAATTGGTCACATTGTTCATGTAGTAATGTACAACTGGCGGCGCGACCTGAGGGGAATTGGATTTCGACTTGCGAAAAGGCAATGATGGCGGAGACAGTGGGTTGGAGGCTACATCGCCGCCGCTCCTGGATACGGAAGGGACATCGCTGCCGGAGAAGAAAAAGACAAAGAAGCCGATGCAGAGGATGCCTGCGAGGATTATGGTGATGGGATTCGAGCGTCTGAGCGAGCGTGACATGGTGGCTAGAAGAAATTAAGGGGTAAGGCGAACCGCGGCTGCCAGAGTGGAAAAGGGCCTACGGTTGGCGCATCAGAAGTTGGAGGCGGTAAGTGGTGGTCGTGGTGAGGGTAATTGGGCGCAAGGAGGTGCGCGAGACGTGGCCTGGCCGGCGCTCGGAGAAAGTTTTGGTGGCGTGCACAGCCACAAGATGTGCACTGGAGGCCGGGTTGAGGGTAGAATTGAGGAGGTTAAGGATGAGGGCACGGTGGGAGAAGGGTGCAAGAGTGGTCGTGGATAGATTAATTCCAGGAGGAATCTCCGTATTGTCGGAGCCATACCCCGTCGCGAATGTCGCGGTTCTGCTTACGTACGCACCCTAGCGTCGAGGCGTCATGGATGTCCATATGTTCAACACCACTTTCGTCCCGCGCCGTCGTCAATTGATCCTCGACAAATGCCTCTGCTGGTTGCCCGAAAATGGCCAGTTGTGACGCGTGCTTCTGCTATTCTGCGCAGTCGGCGCTCTCCACTGCGCTCTTACACTGTACTTCCATCAACCACCGACCTCAATGAAGCAGCCAAACGAAGGACCATCTATGGCGGCATAATCATTCCAGATTCTGTCCACGCTCATGTGAGAAGTCCGGAACATAATCGAACGCCGCGTGCTTACGACTTCGTAGCCCCATGACCTTTTCAATTCCGTCAAGCCACTCCCAACTGTCATTGCCCACAAGAAGTCTTTCGCCGTCTTCTTTGTCACTCCTTCCTACGCACATTTCTTACTCGACCATGATGCTTTCCTTCGCAACGCCCTTGTACAAATCTACAACAAGGCAATTGAAGCGCCACATGTGGACATACATGCGCTTTGTGCTGTCGTAGACAAGCTGCCGGTTCCGCACCCGTGGAGTGGCAGTACCTTGGAGTCTCAGCTATCACGGCGCAAAGTGGGCACGCCCGTTGCGGGAACAGGCTTTGAAGGGATAGCCTATATCTCTCTCCCGTCCAGCGCTTCTATCGAATCCGACGAGTATTCCCTGACATCGGATCAAGGTACCATCGACTTCATCACCTCGAGTCATATACTTAACGATGACATTTGTCTTGACACATTGCGGCTCCCCCTTGCCAATACTGTATTTCAAACAGGAATGCCGACAACGATGATTAGTTCAAGATGGGAGAAAAACAGCACAAGTGGTGAATTGACCAAGGTCATGCAGAAGAGTCCTTCTCACCATACCATTCGATTAGCTGGTGATGGTCCCACTCCGGACACTAAATCTGCTCTTAACATCCCATTGCTTCCGCTTACTTTACCTAGAATTGTAGAGGGATGCATGGGCAACATTATTCGTCGTGTTATCGACACTGATGGCAATAGCATCCAGGCATCCTCGGAGCTTGAGAACGTGGTTCCTAGGTTCTTCTTATCTAGGGGTCAACAGGTGCAAGCCACAGTTGCTTGGGCTTTGGTCATACCCAAATATCTGAAAGACACAATCACGGAAAAGACTGAAAAACTTTTATCTAGCGTTCCGGTTGAAGAGAAACCAACTTCTATTAGCCCAAACCAAGCTTGGGAACGTCTGTGGCGCAGCGAACCACCTGTCTGGAATACACTTGTATCTGAAGCCCTCTCGGAAGGGGCGCGTCTCCACCGTGTCCTAAGTGGAGGAGGCGGATGGGGGAAGAAAGCAGGTCTGCTGTCGTTGGATCCCGTTCCAGTCAATAGATCTTCTGGTCCAGGCGCTCCAACCAGCATTGATAACACAGGAAACTTTGAGTCAACCCTTACACCAGTTGTACAAGATGGTGACTCGATACAATTCTTCACCTTACCAAAGTCTGAGCTTGCTCAAGAGGCTCATGAGGCTGACAACTATGGGACGATCTCAACACTGTCGAAGGTCAATAATTCTTGGGGTTGGGAGCTAGGTACCATTCCTAGCACGATGGATTCTATTCCTGGAGAGTCCTGGCAGCACACGATGACTAAAAAGCATCGTTCTACTGTATTCCAGGGCACTTTCGGCGCCTTGACAGAGGGTGCCTTGACTATGATACGCCGCCGTGGGAAAGATGTGGGCGAGACTAACTCAGTCTATACAACTAAGCTTGACGTCCCCTTTTCGCGCCTTTGGACCACCAACCTAACTAATTCACATGTCGACTCCACGACACGTGAAAACTTGGAACAGGATGATAAGGACAAGGACGTAGGTGAGCCTGCTTCGGAGTGATCTTTACTCAAGCATGTGTTCTGATTCTTAAGTAGCAAAATTCCAATCCAGATAAACTGAAATCTTTATCATCACGGAACATTCTGAACTCTTCTCCTCGTCATACAGGAAATGTTTTAGTTGAATCGCCTTCAAATTATCTGCGGAAAGTTGGAGTCCGACGTATCCTAACTGTTGCCCAGCCATTGTCTATATGCACATTCTCCAGCTCTGCACTAAACTCAGATACACAGTCGGCGAATGCAACCGTGGATTTGGAAGTTTCAACTGTTGACACCAAGGCATCCCGATCTGTACACCAAAGACCCGAACTGAAGGAATCACGAAGAGAAGCGAGTGGATCATATCTAAACGCAAAGGCTCACCCACAGTCTTTGCCAAGTTTGACGATACCAGAATTGGTGCGTACACTTGGTATTGCTGGTGCCAGTACATTTGGCCGGCTCAGCTTTCGCACAGCAAAGCGCATACTGTACGGGCTTCAAAGGAGATTTGAGAGGCAGAAACTCGAATATCAAGCGGTAATGTCAAATTGTCGTAGGCAGGGTTCCCTAAGAGAACGGGACAATGTCAGAATCAGTAAAGCTATCACTAGCAAGAATCACAACTCTAGAGGAAAAGCCACTACGCATATAAGAAAACAGAGAGAGGTGAAACCTAGCCCCAAGGTAAAAAAGTCAAAAGCAACCTTGATCCGCAGATTAGCCATCCCAACCGAGCACGATCCCGAAGCACTCAGCAAAACATTCCGTATCCTAGCCTTCCAAACCGCCCGTCTAGCAGAAGAAGCCGGTGCAACCCTCGCCAGCATCCAACCCCACCGATTGCGTACACAAATCCAGCCCCGACACGCCCGCCGCCTTTATGCTCCCCGCCGCAGGAAATTCGGCACAAAAATCCGCTACCACAAGAGCAATGTTGGCGCAGACCCCACGACAAGACGATCTCGCTTTGAGCGCAAGTCCTTACCCGTAAAACGCAATCTCATACCCAAGCAGCGCAAGCCCACGATCAAGAAACATACTTTACAGCCTAGAGTGAGGCGTGTGAGGCCCCCCGTCTCCATCAAACGCCATGAATCCTTCTTCATAGGGACGATACGGTATCCCGATGGTGCGAGGGCGAAACTCAAACGCCGTGTGCCATCTCGCTCGCGTGACGAGGCTGCGCGGGGGAGGACGAGGGGCGCGGTGCTGAGACGGGTGCCGCTGGAGTGGCGGGCTACTGGTGCGGCGGTGGCGGTTAAACGGAGGGAGGAGGCGAGGCGGCTGGCGGCTACGGTGGAAGGGTGGCTTGGTGGTGGAGGTGAAGCTAAGAAGTGAGTGGTATTGTCGAGATGCAGGTGGAGACAGGAGTGGTGTGGAGTGGGATTTGAGTTGAAGGCGTAATGTAAGAGGGTGGTGGAGTTGATGCTAGATGTACTATATACATAGATGAGTGACGAAAACATCATGTGCTTGGAATGGATGGGCTGTGCGATATATCAATGAGTCGGGTGTTAAGCAGATGCACTTGCAATCGACTTTGACTCCTTTTTTTGCTCTCATCCTTTCGTGACGTCTCAATGTCATTTTTTTCTTTCATAACTTCGACAAAAAGATGGAGTCCCAATATATCGGTATTTCCTTTCACACAAAAAATGAGTACATCAATGGTTGCATTGCCTCTTTGTCAGAGAGAGGGAGAAAAAAAAAGATATATAATGAAAACTTGGTATACGCATCCACCAGCCACGAATCCCCTCCGGTTCCATAAAAACAAAGAGGGTTGCTGATATGCGAAAAACCACCCATACACATCCATCCAGCCCTTTTTAAGATAGAAATAGCCCGTATCTAACTCCGAGGCTCGTTGATAACTAGAAGTTGAGGTGAGGAACAGTGGAACGAAAGAAGACATGAGATTATCCCCCAGATGTTGACCGCGTCACGTCCAGACAGGAGGGATAGATCTCGCATCTTGACACACAGATGCGAGTCTTGCTTGTGAAGTAAGCGGCGGAATGCTGCTACTCGGGTCTTTGAAGAGGATGCGGTAAGATGGTTGGAAATGGCGCATGAGGCATCATGTGTGTGTGATTGTAGATCAGGACGTATTGATCAAAGATAAGATGGCTAGACTGTAAAGCGGGCTTACAGGTCCACCTTGGAGGCCGTGAAATCCCATAGCATCTTCACAAGGGAGTCGGGTAGCGTGTACAGGTCGACATGGAACTCACCGTCTATCACATGTCAGTGTATCTCATCTCATCTGAGCGGCTGGGACAACTTACTCTCTACATCATTCTTCGTGTACGTTTCACTCGTCTTGTTGTCGTGAACCATAGTGACAACGTGCAGGAGGTCGTCTTCGCCAAGCTTTTGTAGGCCATCCGCCAGCTTCTCCATATCGACATTCTTGTCCTTTCGGCTCTTCTTCTTGGCAGCATCCTTGTTGCGCATACCGTTTGCCTCGGCGGAACCGGACTCTGCGAGGAGGGCGAGGAGCTCCGGCTTGGGGTTCCGGAAGGTCTGGCATGGAGTCAGCAATTTGGTGGCTACGAAATATTCGGTGCTAGCGGTAGACATACCACCTGGTGCTTGGCTTCATAGCGCTCAGACTGGAAGTTGAGATCATGTTCGAGGGTGTGGTCGCCGCCTTTGCCGACAGCGGTCAGGACAATGGTCATGTCGAACTCACCCCAGCCCTTCTCCTCGATACGGAAAGGGGGCTTCTTGAGGACTATTTCCGGGGTCAGCAAAGCTGTAGTCAAGGCAAGACTGCATGGAACACGCACCATGCTTGGGCTTCTCGAATGACGGGTGGAGGTTGTAAACAGCCTTCTCAAAGACGTTGGGCATGACCTCGTTACCCTGGTCGTCAAGTAGCCAGATCTCTATACTCCATGTTCGCATGGGAAAGCCCTCGACAGGTGAAGGCTCGTCACTGTGCGCGTGTTAACGGGTTGCCTTGTGGATACGCGTCAAGACAGCGGTTGCGACTGCGCGCAATGCAGACGTACATGGGCTTTTGGTGGGTAATGAGCTTGACCCATCGCTTGGCCTGCTCGACTGTTAGTGTTTGTGCGATGGGGTGCGCATTTGTCGAGGGTTCAACGTACGTCTGGCATCTTGGCTAACTTGCGCCGTGAGGATTGAGTATAATAGAGTAACTAGCTGTTGAAAGCTGCCGTGTTTCGCACAAGGTATGCACCGAATGCAGGCTAAGACGGTAGTCCAGATGTATGCGACTTTGGTAGTGTGCCTCTGGCGATAAAGTTTGAGAGCGTTGGGCAGAGAAGAGGGTTGGAAGTGCAGGCGGTGGCTGGTCTGGTCGCTGGTCGCGAGCTATGATTTGGCGGAGGCTAGGTGATGCACGTCGCGGCGGGGCGGGCGGAGGCTGACTACTACTCGTTCGATCTTCTGGGCCTTGGCATCAACGGTCAAGCTCTACAACGGCTGCACCATCGCAAGGCTGCCCGACAGGGGTTCTGGCCTGGTTTATTTCATCAGGTGAGAGCCCTGCTGATACCAGAACCATGGCCCTTATTACACCCCTTTCTCACGCCGCCAGGTGAGAGTGAGAGTGAGAGAAGGTCTGGCACAGTGCTGGTATGGGTAGAGATAATATGGCACTGGCAATTTACATGGAAAGCCGACTTGGGGAAAATGCCATTGACTTTATTAGTCAGGCTGCTGAGTTACTATCTAATTGTTGTGCTGAGAATGGGGCACGTCTACTACCGCCAGGATATAATATCATCCCAAACCGTTCCTCGCTATTCGTGCAATGCATGCTCATGCTCGTCCATCGTCCATCGTCCATCATCCCTCGGTACCTTTTCCTCGGCCTTATCGTGACCTCTCTTACTCCGCCTTGCCGAAGAGCGCCTCGTTCTCTTGCTGGGCCTTGATGAAAGCCTCCTTGAACTGGTTGGCGTCTGACACAAATGGTTAGCCTCCTTTTGTCATCTAAACAAACAAATCGCTACTTACTCTCACTGTTGGCAAAACGGATCGCAAGCGTCTGCGCCTCAGGCTCGCCCTCACTGACATCGGCTGCGGCGTTCCAGACCCAGCTGCGGTCGCTGCCTACGTTGGGTGACAGCTTCATGTCGGGAACAACTATACACGTCTCAGTATTATCATCTCATCGTTCCAATTGAGTCACTTCATACCGTAGTGGTTGGCGCAAACCTTGAGGGTCTTGTCTCGTCGCATGACAAGGCGCGTCTTGCCGTTCTCCTTGTGCTTCAGTAACCGAACATCGCCAGTGCCTCGCTCCTTCCACTCCCGTGACTCCCTGTCAAACTTGAACAGCTTGGCGCGCATCTTGAACACTTGCTCCTCAAGCTCCTCGTTGGTCTTGGTGTCAACCTTCTCGGTAAGGTGGACGACGGGCTGGAACTCAACATCAGGCTCCTCGTTCTCTGGGTTCTCGTCCTGGTGTAACGTTAGCATAACTTCCAAACCACTTGGACAGAGATACCGACATCGCCCTTGTTCTTGGAAGAGCCTGAGGGCTCGTCAACGTCATCGGCCTCTTCCTTCTTCGCCTTTGCGGGTCCGCCACCAAACATGGAGAAAACGTTGTCCTTTACCGCGCCTGCCGCCTCTGTCGCCTTCTCCGTGAGGGGCTTATTGTCTGTGCTCTCCGTCGTCGCCTCGGCCTTGTCGGCAGCCTTGTCAGTTGTCACCTTTGCAGTCTCGTCCTTGACAAGAGTTGGACCAGGGTTGGCGGCCTGGTCGGCGGCGGGGTCGGGCTTGGCTGCTTCAGACATGGTTGTTGTACTGGTAATGTATACTAGGGGCTGGTATGTAGTGGCGAGACAAAGTCTTTGTGTTAGGTAGGTACAGGAGTGGGTGTTCAGTGTCAAACAGTCTGCCCACAAATTGAGCAAGTGGGATGCATGCCCCTCCCTCTCGCGCTTTACCTCTTTAGGCCCTCTGACGTGCGTGCCACCCCTGCCCAACATGCTATTCCGTCAACGTCCTGTGTCACAACCTTTCCTGCAGTGCACATGCTGCTTTCCGTGCACTAATGTACAACATCAAAACAAGTAAAACGCAAAATCGTTAGCATATGTACATTGGTACACCAAGTCTGAGGCGCAAGGCTTCATTCGGCCAAAGTATCACTGTGCTAAATACATTAAAACTGTAACCCGACTTCAGCAACCCATCAGCCCAACGCCCCCATACAAACGCCACGCGCCAATTCGCCTCAACCAGTTCAGTGTGCACACCGGGTATCATGTTCATAACTCCACGCCCTTGTGTCCATCAATAAATGCTGTTGCAACATATACATATTCTACCCCTCCAAAGAAAAACTCAGAAGCAAACATAGTATCCTCCCACAGTGTTTCCCCTATGGACTTGAGTGTCTGAGTACACTCTATCCAACCCCACCTCACATATTCCCCCTCACTTTAGAGCATGCCCAGCTCTGCTTCTCTTCGCCATCTTTTCCAGATAGTCCTGTAGCCATTTCCATCTTGCATCGAAGGCGAAGTGCATTCATCCTAGCTCTCTTCATTGTCCGTGACGTGCGTATCGGTGCTGTCGCCTCGCGTAGACCCACCCATGCCGCCCCAGGTATCTCCTTTGCCAGACGACCTTTCGCCTGCAATTGCTCCTGGAATTTCCGCCGGACCTGTTGCATCTGCTCAGAGGCACTGGCGGCATCGATATTCCGCACATCCATGTAGGTTTGTATGTGTTGAGTCGCTATCAAGGAAACGTTTCGCAAAGCATCTTGGGTACTCATGAGACCAGATCTGGCATTATCCATGAATTGTTCCAGCATCGACTTGTTGTGGCCGAGCATGACTTCAAAGGACTGTCGCAGAAGGGGCTTTGAGTGAGTTGCAATGCTGACGTTGAACTTGTCGTATGGATACTTGTGTTCGAGGTCAACAATGTATTCTCCAGTTATGGTTCGATTGTACCGGATAGGAACCTGTTGCGAATGGCGAGCAATCTGGATTTGAAGTTGAGGTCTCTTACGCCTCGAAGAAAACGCCTTTGAAGGGCGAAGTATGAATTGGTGATCCCCAGTGGCTTGGAGCTCAAAGCTTCCAGTCTTTCCATCTTCTGTCTTTGAATTCTTGCCAGGCTGCTTCAGTGAAGCTGGTATGACTGTAAGAGCTCCCATTGCTGTTGGGGTAGACAAAGAAGAGATGGGTGTCACGAGTCTTGAAGATTCCGACGCAACAGGAGTAATGCTTGGGTCAATGTTTTCCACCTCAGAGAGGACTGATAATGCTGATACGCTTTGTGAAGCCTTCTGGAGTAGCATAGGGGCAAAGGCTGCGCCCTGGAATAGGGCGGGTATCAATACACACAGAACCAGCGCAGATATGAGCATTCTTGCCGAGGGTAACTGCACTCCAATCTTCTTCGTGAACGTCTTGACCTTACCACCAATCCATGATGTCCGTGCCTTCGTGCTGTCTTTTCTGTCTCGTGCAGTCACGAGGCGAGGGCTGATGTAGGCAAGGTGACGATTGAGTTGCGATGGATCCAATCTACTAAAGCCGCGATGATTCAGGGGCAGAACTGCTTTCAGCTCGTAGTCAGTGTTTGGGTCGTCTCGGCCCTCAACGTGCACTTGCAACGCTGCCGGGTCCTCCACGAGCGATGGAATACCATGGGGAATGACCTGAGCAAGTTCGATACATGGTATCTCGGCATAGGCAAAGATCGTTCTGGCGAAATCAACGGCCTCTCTTTCAGTAGGCGAGTGTGGCTGTGTTCGATGACACATGATGACAAGATCTGGCCGGTCTAGAGAGTGAGCGGCTGTGCTACGGCTGAACTCGAGCTGCGTGCCACCCTCTAGTTTGGCCAGAATACGTGTTGGCTTTCCACGTGAGGTCACAACCTCAAGACCAGTGCAGCGAGAAACTTGCGGGACAGGAACGTATGGTTCGACCTGCCCGCGTACCATGACCGACTTGGAGAGGCTAGGGTAAGCACCGAGTGCCATTGCAATCTGGGTAGTGGTGATGTCTTCTGCCCATCTCTCAGGCATTCCAATGTATAGTATCTTGTACGAATCTGGAGGGGGCAAGGGGTGTTTCGACAAGGCTGCCTTTACGGACAGCCTGACCTCCTCACAGCCGTAACGGCTGAATACTTGTGGGAGCTCGTCCGTATAGTCAGTCGAGCTCTGAATGACATTACCTCCCTGGACAACCTCATCATTGTCCGTTGGCTGCTCGTCTAGTGTGATGCGCCAGGAGCTCTCACTCCCAGACAGGTATGACGGCACTTCGGTCAACGTCGAGTCCTCGCCTGTTAATGCGGGGCGTGCGTCGGATTGCTGCTCTGGGGGTTCGGCTTGCGATGAATAGATGCTATCTTGTAAGCCTCGGTCACCCATCTCGTAGTCGGCCTCATCGTCAGTGAACTCGTCGGATGTGTCATCGGGAGTTGGAGCGTCGGTCGAGGCGATCGATGCCGTGTGAGCTTCATCGTCCGAGACATCCATTACCCCATCGCCGAGCATATCATAGTTGCTATCTTCAAGAGCGCTGCTTGCCTCTTCCGGCTGCGGGCGTTGGGTGGACCGCATCATAAGCGTTTCAAGGTCAAGCCTTGTCAGTGATCCGTTCACTCGCACGGGAGGAAACTTGAGATCTGGAGAAGCAAGAGATTCGCTAGAAGGCATGTCAGCTTGAATTCATGTAGGAGACAGTGTGTTTGCAACTCCCCAGGTGTGGAGGAGGAAGGTAAGTAGATGGAGGGGCAAGGGTGGGAATAGGTAGCAGTGGGCACCTGGTCGCCGCTGCCTGACTAGCAACGGGCGAGGCGCGTCAGGGTGCCTTGGGGCAGGGTGGGGCAGATACAGAGCAAATGAAAGCACATGCGGGCTTGCTTACTGTGAGAGTGTGCGATGGTTCAAATGTTTGCATTCAATCCAGGTGATTGTTCAAAGTACACGCAAACAGCGATAATGGCACGGCGCAGCTGGGTGCATGGTGAAGGCGGGATGATGCCAACGGGGGTACCCCGCATAGTAAGCGATAGGGTACGATACATGGTTCACATGAACAAAGGGGGTGGGGGCGAACACCAAATCCGCGACAGAGGAACAGTCATAACCGCTAATAAGGTTTACTTCCAGGCGATAAGTCTACTCATACATTTTGAAATGTGGTTCGTCTTCGTAGATATATGGCAATTCCGCCCACATGCAGCAACCGAGGCGCACCGACAACGCCCGCATAGTCCTGATGATCCTCTGCTGGAAGGCTGCCCAACAGACATGCAATACCAACACCTTACGCCTTACTGAAACCAGTAGTCAATGCTAATGCGCCCACAAAATGCTCACTGGAGGCTGGTAGAAAAGTACGCAACACGAAGAGACCACGGTTCTGGTGCCTAGGGCGAAGCCCAACCGCCCGCCACCTCGACCCACTCGGGGAAGCAAGATCCCTCTTTGCCTTCCACCTCGACGATATCCGTGTCACATTTACAGCGGCACCCGACGCCATTTTCTTTGACAGGGTCTGGCGTCGCCCAGTACTTGTCTTCCTCAATTCGCTCCTTCTCGTTCTCTGTTGTCAGCTCCAGGTAGGGATCTCTAGGCAGTTGCCGTGCAGGGGCATTGGCGGGACAATGCTGAATAGTAGTATGCCGGTACCCAAAGTCGCGGAAGTAGTGGATGTCCTCGGGTCCAAGCAGTGCTCCCACAGCTAGCGAGTGGATGGGCGCGTCTCCCCATCTCTCCATCCAGAAGCCACCGCTGCGATCCATCAGCTCGAAGAAATCGTTGTACTCTTGGCTGCGGAACCAGTTTAGGTTGGCAATCTCGAAGTTGCTCCAGAAATGACACATGTTGTACGATTCGCCCTCCATGTTTTCGGGGTGGATTTCAGGCAACGCGTCTGAGCCAAACTCTGAGTCCATGATATCTTGGGGAAAGAAGGCCTTCTTCGGCTTGGGCTCATTCTTTTGTGCATTCTCGTCCTCAGGTTTAGGCTTCTCGACGAACATTTCCCACATGCCCTTGGAAGTGAGGTTGTTGTTTCGTTTGTATGCTGATGCATATCTCCAGATGTTGGGCACTGTCTCCCTCAACTCTTTCACAGCAATTGTAAAGCCGTACGTCTTCTTATTCCGAATCATGTGGATGAAAGGGTCATACGTGATGTCGCAGAAGTACTTAATCTCCGGCTCGAGACGCCAGTACCAGTCGTATTTGGCAAGTAGCTCGTGCTGGTAGAACTTGCTGTGGATCGTCAGCCTAGCCTCAGTTTGCAGTGTTTTTTTCTTCTCGAACCTACCCTGAGTAGAACCGACACATGTGATGATAACTTTCCATGCCACCGTACATGATGGCATTGTCTCCCTGCTTTGCGATGCCCTCTTTAGCAACATCAGGGTCGACCCAGTCTGGGAAGCCCCACTGCTCTGGCGGTATCTTGCCCCACTCGACCGGAGCACTAACATGCTTCAAGACCACCTCCCTGAATGTCTCGTTGAAGTCGCCGTCATTGAGGAAGACGTATGGGTAATGGAACCACCGATTGAAATGCCTCTCGATGGATTTAATCGACTGGATGACGCCGTCTAGCTCCTTATTTCTTGCTAGCACTACGAAGGCAGCGTTCGCTCGGGGTCCGTTGACCTGGGGCTCCAGACAGCCTACAGCGAAGGGCTTGTCGTATTTTTCGCTGATCTTCCTGTGAATTGTTAGCCGCCTAGTGGATGCTGCTGTAATTGGGGCGATGGTACCTTATTGACGGCGGGGTGCCCGCAGGCATGTTCATAATACCCTGAGAGTCTGGCGACCTCACGAAAAGAATTATGATAATGATTATTACAAGACATGGGAAGAGGAGCACCAGGCCCAGTGGAATGGAAACGGACGAGGATCCCTTCAGTCGCACCCGGCGGCGGAAGAAGGACAATCGGGGAGTCGTCTTTTCAGCGCGGCGCGAGATGTCGTCGAATCTGTCCAGGCTCTCTTTTGTCGTTGGCAGTCTCTGCGTCATATCCTGTAGGAGGCCCATGGTTGCAACGCTACGATAGCGGCCTTGGAGAAAGACGTTACTGCCAGTGGCAGTTCTTTGCTAGGTGATGCCAGTCGTAGGCGGCCAGATATGTGTTTTGATACGGCCAGGGTTGGGGCGAGTGAGGAGTGCAGGTGTCGTTGGGTGGCAGTTCAGAACCGGTATGCGACCATCAATGGGAATCTGGGCTCTGCGCGACACTCTGTAAGTCGAGAGGTCGGGGGAGTGTCGAAAGGGGAAACCAGGGTTGTCGAGTGTAAATTATTAACGGTCGGCGATTGCGTATGCGTTTTGAGAAGTGCTAATTGACAGGGAACATATCGGTGGAGACGCGCCAAGCTCACTAAAGTAGGTAGAACGCAGCTCGATAGGTGCAGGCAGATAGGTGCAGCTAGCCAATGCAGGAGGCTGCAGCTGTGAGGGCTGGATCTTTCACGCACTAGGCCCGACACACAGCCTCTGTACCTGTACCCTGAGCAGCCTATCAATAGGGAGTCGCAGAGAATTCGCTCCATTTCTGGTTCAGGGACACGCACGAGACTCTGAAGGGGCCGCACGGGAGACTGCCGCTACGTAAGCGACAGAGATACAACATCACTCCAGCCCTGCAATCCCATCCAGGCTTCGGCATAGAGTCCTGCATTACCAGCCCTTGCACCACCGACCTCACCATGAGCTTCAAGGCCAAGGACCTACAGTTTGGTGAGTGCGCCAGCAGAAGAGTGGAAGCGGTACTGATTAGCGCAGACAGCTCTCAGCCAGCCTTCTTACAGCGGCTACGTGGGCAACTTCAAAGTGGGGATACCGCTCGTCATGAGCATCCCATTGCCAGAAACAAGAGGATGAACAAGGATGATGATGAAGATGATGCGCCGACATACGTCTTGGAAGATACTAACCAGTCGTTGAGCAAAGAGGAGTATGATGCGCTCGTCTCTGGCAAGGACAGCAAGGGCGAAGAAGACTCGGTAACAGATGAAGCCGGGCAAAAGGCAACCAAGCAAGATGAGTCGAAACCCAAAGACAAGATTGCTGAAGTTGGTGCAAATACAAAGAAGCGCAAGGCCGCGAAGATCATTGGCGACGATCAAGGCGATGGCAGGAGCGAAATAGAAGGGGATGCCGAAAAGCCTACCACCAAACCAGCCAAGAAGCCAAAAAAGAAAGCCAAAGCAGTCAAGCTTACCTTTGGAGACGAAGATGAAGGATGAGGGGGGTCAGAATCTACATTATCTTCACAGACACGTAATCCTGCTTGGTACGAGGCATGTCTCAGCAAGAGGCCTCACTTCTATCTTGATCCTTCGGTTCAAATACCCGAATGGGAAATGCTAGTTAGGTTGCCCATAGCCTATATGGTCTGGTAGTCCGACTAACGGTGTCAATGCTAAGCCACACACATCATACAGCACGGACACAGCCTGGCTCCTCCAGTCCCTTGGATTGGGGATTTATAGGAGATAAAGCTACCGGATGATAAGGCAAGGACAGGAAGGTTGCGTTTGTTGCAAGCCGATACTGCATGCACTGGCTTTGTTGGACTAGTGTTGGGGTTTGTTACTACTTCTCCTTTGTTCCTGGTACGAAGACTAGGTCAATTTTAAAGAAGGTGTTTACAATGTTGAAATACACTGGTTCATCTGCCAGACTTTGGTGCTGGCCAAACGCATCGAGACCTCGTGTTACACAGCTTTGAGGAAATGAAGCAGGTTCCGATCGGAAGTGTGTCGGAACATTGCTAAACAGGGGTTTAGCTTGAGCCGCCTGCAGTTCGGGAGTCCGCAATCTCAAAGTCTCCTGCATACGACCTTCCTTGCCCTTCACACTAGCTTCATCACACAACATGGCAAGACTATCGCTCGATGTAATTCACTCGGTTACCTAAATTGACAAACAACTTATTCACTTACTAGGATTTTGACCAACATATTAACAGCCTACGCGTCCAGCTGCTATTTCTCAACGAGACTCTTGAGGCGACAGATCACAATGCCCCCGACTGGCTGGCGACGGATCTTATATCGTTGCGCAACAAATCGGGTAGACTGCATGACGACATGAAGAGGTTTAGGGACCAGCTTGAAAGCGAGGGATTGGCGGAGAAGAAGGTACGCACGCGCATCGCCTACGCTCATAATGCATCCTTACACAGAAGCAGGTCAAGACTTCAAACAAGCGACTCAGCCTTGAAGGCGCAAAGTACGCTTCGCCGACACCCAACACCCAGACTCACGCATCAAGTTCGCATGCGATATCCCCTCTCACCGGCCAATCACCCACGCCACGCGCAAAAACAGCGCAAGCGGAAGGAGCCCACATAGTTCAGCACATCGATGTTACAGAAGAAGTCAATAGACGGCTACAGGAGAGCCGTTTGCGGCGCTTGATGCAGACTCCTAGCACTGCACAGAAGCGAAAGTACGATGAATACGAGGATGCGCCCAGCTCAGGCGGGCCGGCCGCGACAGAGGAAGAAGGCTTGAAGAACCAGCAAAGTGGAGGCGAATACGAGAAAACACCGACGAAACGGCTGAGGAGTAGTGGTGTGTTTGAGCAGACAGGAGAGAGGAAAGATGATGGGCCTGTGAGGTACGACACGGAGCGATTTGACGACAGAACCGACGTAAAAAGACGAAAATTTCGATGATGATGCGCCGTCTCTCTGGCAAAAGGGTGCAAGACCCTGGCAGCATAGCACGAGCTCTGCCGGTGCGCTGGCAGTGTAGCGAATTCGTGCCAGGCAATTGTGGTCTCAGATTTAAATTGCCTCAGCGTCACTTGTTTTGGATAGAAAATCGGTCCCAGTAAGACACTGGATCGCATTGTTGTTTGGATATCGCGAGCTGGTTTGTACTGTACATGCGCTCTCCGCAGCCCTTCCGCTCTAGTGGGGAAGCTGCAGCCGAGCGGAAGCTAACCGCTCGGTCTTTGCATCATTGAACTTTTTCGACCTGACATTCACAAAACTCCCCGCCACGCTACCCTAGAAACTTTGCAAACAGACCAAACATTAAATAAACACTTCATTACAAATCTCCCATCTTGTGCTCCGGTTCTACAGGCAGCCCTAACGCCGCCGATGGCGACCCCGAATCCCATACAAAACGTGCCCGTCCCACCAGAACAACGCCTAGCCCTAGAACAACAACAGCGCTATGAGCGTATAGTACGAAATCTGGCGATTGGAGGGCTTGTGATATGTCCGATAATTGCACTGCTCCCACCGCGAAAATTGGACCTCTATACTTTCTCGCTAGGAATCGGGTTCTACTTGTCCGCTGACCACCTAATCACCCTTCGCACCGGCCGGGGCCTCGTACAGAACCTTTCACCCATGCGCGCAATGGAACTTCCCACGGACCGAGCGCGAGAAACACAGAGGATACTGCAAGAGGAGAGGGAAAAGGGCAGGAAGGCGCTCGAGCGAAAGGAGGGACAGCAAAAGGGCGTACTAGGAAAATTGTGGATGGGAGATGAAGACGAGGGATGGAAGGAGAGGCGTCTAGAGGAAGAGAGGAAGGCGCTTGAAGAGGGCAAGGGCTATGGAGATTTGATCATGGAACAGATTTGGGACGTGTGGAATTGGGATAAGAAGAAGGGCAAAGGTAATGAGGACAAGAAGGAGTGAATATGGCGTTCTACTTTTTTACGAGTTCTCACATGTATATTAATATCGTGTAAATTATGATGAACGGCGCACCAGCTTGCACCGATGAGGAAGGCAAGCTATTCCATGTATGATTATCTGGTATTCCTACGAGGAAAAACATGCTAGGTACCGCTACAAGGCGACAAATTTCCATAAATTCATGATTTGTCGCATCAAGGCAGCATTAGTGAAACACTTCTGAGATCAAGACTCAAAAACCAGGTGAACGAACACGGCTTCTTGGAGGATCTGTGCACTTGTAATGGAGTTGACTCAGACTAATTGTATCACAGCATGACATGTACGGCAAAAAAGATCAAGATGTACACTATGAAATGTTTAATCATAGTGTGCTGCACAAACAATGCTCTAAAATATCTAAGCCCAGGCTGGTCCACAGCTCAAGGGTGTTTGCCTTGGGCCATGCATCAAGCAGCTATTCCATGATTCGCTCACCGCAGTGTGGTCAACAAGTCTACCAAGCTCTCTTCAGCTATATGTCTCAGCCCAGACCAGCCCATAAACAGCTTGACGACTATATCTGGACGTCGATCACGCGGCTTTCCACCTTCTGTGCAACATCCTTCCCGCAACTCCAGAATTTTGTGCCACCATCGATCACACGCTCTTCCTACCACTCCGAAGCTATTGTGATAAATTGGGATAATGCGCAATGTCTCAGTCAAGCACGCCATTCGATGGAGTCACTGAAGATCCGTTTCTTTCGTCTTCAAATCAGGATCAGTTCTTCAAGGCCGACTTTGAGGAATTATTTGGCTCTAGTGGTTCGGATGGAGCCATCTTCTCTTCGAACAATAGCGAAGTGTTTGACGGCACTGACTTCGCATACGGAGATGTCTCACGATTGCCTGCCGACTCATCAAGCTCCTCCGTCATATCGACGCCTGAACCCTCAAATCACAGCTCTAATCGGCACTCATCAGCGTATCCTACTCCAGAAGCGGACAAGCCGCATCCTCATCCATTAAAAACTTATCAGCCTTACGAAACGAGTATACCTCAGCCCGTCTTCAATTCTCGACCTTTTCCCATCAAATCACAGACGAACAACGTCCAACTCTATTCAGCACAGCTGGTGCAGCCCGGCAGTCGCCGAAGATCACTCAGTCATGGCGACATGGACCGAGTCGTAGCAGCAAGCATACCGAACCCAACCTTCATCCGTCTCCAAGCACCACGTGCCAGAACTATACCTGAAGAACTACGGGGGAGAGACCTACACTCGCACTGTGGAAGGGGCTCATGCCAAAGTCCCCCAACTAGAGACCGGCTGACGAAGCCTACAAGCATGCCGTACTCGCTACAGTCTAGCCCATTGGTAGGCGGTATGCTGCCAACCCCGATCGGAACGCCGTTGAACGTAATGGAAAACACCGACTTCGACACCAACACGACTCATCAAGATCACATCATAGAAAACAACAATCCGTTTTTTCCTTCCTTCCCAGAGGGCCCTCTCTTTCGACAAATGTTGCGTCCAGAAGAACTTGAGAGAAGCCGGCAGATTATCGAAATTGGAGCCCTTGCCGTCACCAGCCACGGTAGTATTGACCCTATGCTTCAACCATACACTTCTGTATCAAACCAAGAGCGTATCTTGAAGAAACTGATCGATATTGAAGAACACTTAGGGAAGAGCGGGGGCGCCGAGGCGCTTCGCAGTTGCAGAACAATACGGGAGGCCTTGATCGGGAAGACAGAGTGTGAAGAAGAGGCAAAGGGTGTGGATAGAGTGTTGGAACATGATGGAAACACGGCAATAAATACCCCTAAGGAAGCATATTCCAATTTGTCCAATGGTTATGATGATAACGAGATCATGGCAATGCTGATGAGTCAGCATGGGGGGAGAGAAGGTGAAAATGGGGAATGATGAATTGGAAGTCGTTCATGTTAAACACTGATATTGTTCGTATAGCAAGGGCATTTTTGGTATGTTTTCTTATTTTAATGTTTGACTTCACGATGGTACGATTAGAGAGGTAAACTTGTTGGATTTCAATGGCGTGACGGAGAATTTGGCAACATAACGAAAACTGATAAGACAAGATTGATTTTGGTGGTGTTGATGTAGGTAGGCCATTCTGGAAAAAACCATTGCTGTCTGCTCACAATATTTTCCCAAAAGTAAAATAAAGTAAAGCACCTTGTATCCCAAACACGCTAAGTCGCGGCTTCACATGATACATAAATGATGCCGCCCCCACCCGCCGCGGCTGACTTACGCGCCACACCACCAACGTGTCAAGATAATCTACTTTCCTGCCTTGCTATTCGCACCTGCAAACATGAAATCGCGAGTAGCCGCATTGGTCTCGGCCATCGCATGCTTTACACTTGCCAACGCAGAAGTCGCGCCGGAAATCACGACTGTGGCTGAAGGCTACAACGTAATCGCCAAGGTTCCTTGCGTCGAGTGTCCGTTCTTGTACCAAGACACGTCGAAAGGCAATGATGCGCCATGGACGCAAAGAAAAGATGCAAATGCCCTGGTACCGTTGCCATACTATATCGCTTTTTTTAAGAGAAAATATATGCTGATAATAATTTTCGCAGCTCTTGAATATATCACTACCCTACGACTCAGCCCATCTAAACATCAACAACGCCGCACTGTTAACAAACAACAAGATTCTTCCGCGCATCTACGCCAATCAAGTGCTGGAAGACATATCCACCGATGACGTGTCCTCGCTCATTTCCTCAAACCAGCTCGACAATCTCGGCGGCAGCTACTTTGGCGCATCTTATTCGTACACGCTGGCCCGTGTCAAAGATGAGCCCAAAGCCCTGCTTTTCCAATTCGACATCATGGAGCTATGGTCTGATCTTCCCTCGCCCCCTCTAACCGTCTTCTTAGACAGAAAAGAGCAGAAGATAGTCGAGTTGGTGCTCATGCAGCGGCCTCTGCTTTCTCCAGGCGATCCAGCCGGCGCCTATGAGATTATCAAGGTGCACTTGATCGAAAGGCCGCCAGCGCGGACTAGAAGCGCCAAAGGCCCGAGAAAAGTCTCGATGTGGTTCCATGACTGGGATGCCAATGGTAAAAAGGGCACAGCAACACATATCGTCAACTCAGCCTCTGAATCCTTTGTCAACTACATCAGCTCAGGAGTCTGGGCGCTCATGGTTTTTGTATTCGCAGTCATCGCCTTGTTTGTCGTGATTTGTCTCTTCGTCATCTTCGGCTGCGGATGGTGGAACGAAAACGACTACGAAATCGCACAGCATGGCAAGAAGAACAAGAGCAGCAACCATAGCGGAAGAGCAAAGGACGTCGAGGCCGCACGCCGCTTCTTGAGCCCCGAAGAACTGGGTCTGAGAGGAAGTGGAAGAGTTGTTGGGGTGGGCAAGAGCGATTGATTGATTCGAAATTCCAAAAAAGGAAGTTGGCGCATGTACTGTGCTGTTGCACATCGGATGAATGCAAATAATGTTCGTGACAAATCCCCTCCCCCTCCCCAAACTAGAAATGATCACTCTTTCCGACAAGACCCCCCCCCCCCAAAGAAAGTCAAAGTTGCAAGTCTACTATTCCCTAGTCATATACCTACCCCACGCACACACGTACACATACCTGTATTCCCACCGCCCAGCCCCGTCGATCCCTCCCTAGTCCCCCCCGCTACACCCCCCGATCAGCGGCCCTCAGATCTCAAATCCTAGCGCCGATCTCCCTCTCCATCCCTGACAACCCCTCCGATCAACTGCACCAACGACACCACCACTTTTCCCTCGCCGCTCCTCCTTCCTCACGCCTAGAATCCCAGAGTCGGCGCTCTGAAAAAAAAACTTCCCCAAACAGGCCCAGCCCCGCCCGGCCTTAATTCCGACGCCCTGCAAAAGGAAAGGAAGAGGGTAGGTTAGTTGATTGTTTGGTCGTTCGATGTCATTTTACTTTTTTTTTTCTTTCCCTTCTTTCGTTTCGCTGGTGTCGAAACAATGAATAGTAGTCGACGTCATGCCGCTGGGCTCCGCGCGACACCGCGCATCACGCTCAACGTCACTTGTTCCAGCGGCAAGGGGGGAGGGCCAAAGAAAAAGGCGACCAAGCAAACACCGCTTGAAAGTGGCGCCTTCCCTCAAACCCCCGGAGTGGCTTATTTGCTGGCCATGTCGCGCGGGCGCAAAGTGGTTTGTGGTGGTGCTGGTGGAGAAAGTGTTGTCGTCTGTGGCTAACGGGGGGAAGCTGGCGGCGGCGGGCGCTGGGCAGGCTAGGGGGTGGGGGGATGTGAAAGGTGGAGGTGTTCCATGGCACACGTCTTTGGTTCTGGCTGCGGGGGACGTCACTGGGGTGAAGGGCTGGTCGTCATGATGGGTTGAATTGAGGGAGGGGGAGGGTTTAGCTGGGCTGGAAAGCATGGAAGTTGTGTGTGTGACGGCATAGTCTGAGGCGTTGGCGTTAGGGATGATAGGTATAGAAGAGAGGATTTGTCTTCATGACTTCTGGTATCTGTTTAAAAGACAGAACCCACTACAACCTTTTTTTCTATACTGAGACGTTGGGCTTCTTTTTCCCACATCAACTAAGATTGACACTGGTAAACTTGGGGGAAATCTTCCAGAGTAAAGGGCAAAGATGGGTATAACGAATGCGTCGGGTGCCGTCAAGGGCATCTTCTCCCTCCATGTCGTCACAGCCTGCGTCTCGTTTCTGCTCTTACTCGCTGCTCTGGCGCTGTTTGCTAAGCAACTGCGTGGTGGTGCAACCGGTCGATCACGAACGGCCATGAAGGTGTGGCAGTCGACTGGCAAGAGACACAGGTAAGTCCAACTCTCCCCAAGCCCCCAATATACCATACTAACATACTCCTCCCTCCCTTTCTCAAGTGCGACCAGCACCCAACTCTTCGTCTTAACCGGCCTCTTCTGCCTCATGCTCGGCTACGCCGCACAATCCGCAATCGTAGCCCTGCAATCGCGCCTCGCCGTCTCCCCCTTCTACATCACCTCTGCCTACGCCTACCCGCGCTACCCCGGCGCCACAACATCCGCCCCAGACCTGCGCTACGGCCGGGCCATCTCCATCCTCTCCTTCCTCTACCAATGCGCCATGATTCTCATGAACGCCAGTATCGTCGGCGCAATCTGGATCTATGCAAATCACGTGCACAGCAACGCCACGCAGCTGCGCGAACCCGGTGTGCTGAGCGTGGCGCTCAATCTCTTCTGGATGGTTGCCATTCTCGCGCTGGGACTTGCGAGTTGGTCGCTGGGCTTGTATCGTAGGGGTAGCGGAAGCAGCGCGCTGCCGTATCCCACTCAGGTTGGATCCGACTACGTGATTCGCACGCTATACGTCACGTACATGTCTGTTGTTATTGCGGCGTCGACGAGTGTGACGCTCGAGGCGATTTTGTGTTGGTTGGGGATTAAGAGGAATGGGCTTCCCGGCGTGAGTGTTCCGGCTCCCCCCCCTTTCTTTTTGTAGGTGGAAAGTGGCTAACAAAAAAGACAGAATAAATTACAGTCCTCGCTCACACGCCTTGTAATGCTTGTTACGCCCCTCGTCTGGCTCCGCAATGCCTTCTCTATCGCTCAACTCATCATTCTCTACCGCAACTCGCGCCGCTGGTCGCGCCGCACCACCGAGGCGCTGGCTTTCCTCTTCATCATCTTCGGCCAGCTCTGCGATCTCGCTATCCTTGCCTTGCTCCTGCTCGGTGCAAAGAGCTTTGGACGGAAAGACGAGGTGCAGTATGTCGGCAAGGAAGTGAGGTATAGTGAGAGTGTTGCGGGAAATAGGGATAGCGTTATGGCGGATAGGCATTACATTTCTAATAACGTGAATGCGACTCCGACTGGGGATGGCAGGTCGACTTTTGTGGATGCGAATGGAGTCGAGCGGAGGGAGCCGGCGTATGTGCCGCATGTTAGTGTTTAAAGTGGTGAGAGATGGGAAAGGGGGATAGGGGAGTGAATGATCCAGGTGTCAAATTGGCCGACCTATGATATTTTTCTTTGTTCAATTTTACAAGCATATGAGCGAGAATTGTAAGATAGTTAATGGGTAATGTCTATCTAAGTTTGCTGTTGGAGAAGACAGTTAAGTTGCGATGATCACGTGATATGAGACAATGAAGTTGCAAGTAAGAACCACGAAGTAAAGGAATCCTCATGACTGGTTTTCAGCATTGAACCGAACCCTGTCGACATTGCATGGCTTGCTTTCTATGATAATCATTGTACTCATTGCACACAGGCACTCTTACTCTTCTTCGGCAATTCATCTAACGTATAAGATATCCATTTCCGTAATCCTCTAGTTCTAAAACGTCCAATACTAAAGGACTAATTAATTACCATGTAATGCATCGCCATCACCAATCCGCACCTCACACTCATCAAGCACACACACACACACACACACACACACACACACACATGCACACACACACACACACATACATACACACGATNCACACACACACACACACACACACACACACACACATGCACACACACACACACACATACATACACACGATATTCCCAAAAACAAGACATCTAAACAAAATCATCAAGAGGCAGCAACAAAACCCTTCAACCAAAACTCTCCTTGCAATCAAGCTGATCAAAAAAAACTAACATAGAAAAAACATGCACGCGCAGTGCAGTGCGCGTCCGCCAGTGTAAATGCTTGCGGTGGGGGTATCTTAGTCAAAACATGATTTTTATCACCATCCAAACTGCAATCTCGCATTTTTGCAATCGCTTGTCAAACGCAGAAACAAGAAAGGAAAACGGGTGAAAAGAGAAGAAGGAGAAGAGAGGGAAAAGAAGAGAAATGAAACAACAGCTCATGAATACTCCTTCATGCCATCGTCACGAGCATGGAAGAACCCACTGCTAGAGAATCCTTCTTCCTTGGGCGTCGCCCACTCATCGGGCGACGCAGCCTCTCCTGTGGCAGAAGACTCAAGGGCCAAGTCCTCAGAGTACATGCTCTCAGCGTCGTGTCTCCAGTCGTGTGGTCGCTGGTGCTGGGAGTAGTAGGTGTTCTGATTGTGTGCCATGGCGCGTGGCGTAGAACAGCTCACGCGCTGGTCATCTTCAGAAGTCATAATGAGCATGTCTGGTGAGGGCGTGGGGTATGTCGGCCCGCTGCCAGCGACGAGCTTGTTTACCAGAGCTTGCAAGTTTGATACTTCAATTTGCAGTGCGTAAACACGGCGCTCGAGCGCAATTCGCGCGTTGCGCTCCACTTCCAACACTGCACGCATGTCCTGCAGCGCCTTGGCTTGTTCATTGTTACTAGCGGCCGGGAGAGTTGAAGTAGGAGAGCTCGGCGCATGCACAGGCTCTTCTACGTACTCGCTGCTGGTGCTCTGATGACGAAGATGAGACGGCTCTTGGTGGATGCTCGGTGCAGAGCGTGAGTGAGACCGCGAGGCAGAGACGGAGGTGCTTCGGTCTCTCGAGCGAAGGCTCCGGGGTGCGTTTTCAAGTATAATAGTCTGTCTATTGTTTCGGGATGAAAGGCGGCGAGTTAATGTTTCGAGATTAGAGTACTGGTTTTCAAGATGCATGAGCCGCTCTTCCATTGATAGTCGATTCGGATTTGGCACCGGAAGAGGTGCTACCGGTGAGATTTCTTGGCTGCCGGCTTGAGGGACGGGTTCGACATGTCGTGCCTGTTCTGGCTGTGGTTCTGCCGGCACCGGCCCGGACTCTCGGCCGTTCTTTAAATCACCGAAATTGAAATCAGAAACGGCTGCATAGGCGTCTCCTTCCTTTTCCTCTTGTTTTGACCGGTCCAGCCCTGCTGACGTGGGTGTTTGCGGATCATCTGCTTGCACAAGCGTGGCGCTCATTTCCTTGTATGAGTCCGCCTCTGGCTCCCGGATCATTGGCTCCTGCATCTGCACGCTGCGGAACGTCTCCACCGTCTTTGCTGTTGCTGGCCGACTGTAAACACTGCCAGACATGTTGCTCTCCCGCCAGTACTTGATTTCAGCGCTGCGTCTCCTTTCGGTCGAAGCAAGGTCCTTGGCCATGTCGCGAAGAGCATCTGCACTGCGTGACCTCCGCTTGTTGGCTCTTGGAGTGCCGTGCGAGGGGCTGGAGAGTGCAATACCAATTCGAGAAGGAGACATGTTGCCGTCCTCGATCCGCTCTTGCCAAGGCGCCAGCTTTGGTCGCGACTCGTCCATACTGTGACGCTGAGCGGCCAGGCCTGGAACATTGGGAAGCGTAGCTCTTCGGCGCCCCGGCCGATTGACATCAAAGGTGAGATACTCGTCCGGTGGACTTGCTGGCGGCGCATTCACGTTCATTGGGTACGGCAGGTGCTGGCCCAAGGGGTGCAATGGCTCCAGCTCTTTGACGGGCAAATCAGATATACGCGGTCCAACTGGTGACGGCGTTGGCCGTTGTTCTATTGGTGGTGTCGATCTTAACAAGCCGGGATCCTACATCGTGTTAGAAATAAGGCGTCGTCGCGTATTGCACACATTACTTACGCTATTATGATAGCTATGACCACGGCGGGTGGTCTCATCCTGTTGCTGCCGATGCTCTGGTTCGGCCGTCTTTTTACCGAACATTTTGCGAATGGCACTTCTGAGCCCACTTTTGCGCTTCCTCTGCGTCGCCTTTGCTGCTGCCGCCGCCGCTGCCGTCGCACTTTCGGGCGTTGACCGGAAAGGCGATGGAGATGGGGCTATGGTGGATGGGACTATGCTGTCGCGCTGTACAATGCTGATGGGTTGCAGATTGCGCGGCGATCTCAACGGAGCATGGTCGCGTGCTTCCTCCTCTTGCTGCGGCTGGTCTACAACGAGATTTGATCGCAATGGCATTGGATGGTCGGGAAGTGCCGGGGCAGGATGGGCTGGTCTTGGGGGAGTCGCCGACCGTTGGCGCTGCTCTTCCAGCGGTGCGACTGGCGGCTGGGGAGGATCACTCAAGGTGCCGTTTTCAGCAAATCTCTTCTCTTCCTCGTCATTGAGCGGCATGTCCTCGGTGATGGGGATTGGACCGCTGATCTTCAAGTTGCCCTTTCGGATTGCTTCTGCCTTCCAGCTGGCGCGGCGCAACAGCGCAGGCGAGGGTGCCGATGGACTCATATCGGCGACGACGAAGCCTTCTCGCTGGAGCATGTGGATGGGGGGAGGCGGCGATTGTGGATGAGCAATCGTCAAGTGGGGTGCCTCTGGAAATTGCAGTCGGGACAACAGCGACAGGGGTGCCTCAGCTCAAGTAGTGGCTCTTCCAGCGACCATCACCAAATATGCAAGGTGATGTGCATTCGAGAAGGGTTGTCGAAGGGGGCAAGCGCGGCAGAAGGAATTTGTGGTTTTGTTCCGTGGGGGAATAAAGAAAAAAAGCAAATGTGAAGCAAAAGCAAGGTGGGCGGAGGAATTAAGACGAGAAACGGGCGAGGGTGAAGGAAGGCCAAGGCGAGTGTATGGGTGCGTGGGTGGGTGGATAGACGGAAGGAGCGACGAGGTTAAACGAAACAAGCAGGCGTGCAGGCGTGCAGGCAGGCAGGCAGACAGGCAGGCAGGCAATGGGGCGTGTCGAGCCACCGAGGGCCGGGAGGGAGAGTTGGAGGAGAGCAAGAGAGGATGACGGGGCGGGGATGGGGGAGGGCGCGTGGAGGGCCTATGTATCCAAGAGAGGTGTGGTGGTGGACCTGGTCGGACCAGGGTGTGTTGTGTAGAGTGGGGAGGGTTTGTCGGCGGGCGGGCATGGCGGGTGCGGGCAGGCTGGAGGCTATTAAGGCAATGGCGTCGTTGCGAATCAAGCAGTATGGCCGGCAAGGCAGGCATGGGCTGGCCGATAGCCCAATAACGGGGCGTCGAGGCTGGCAGCTCTTGAGCGGCATGGAGCATGGAGCATGGAGCATGGGAGACAGGTGGTCGCCAACACATGCACTCGACGGCCTGCATGGTCGTTGTTGCGCCTGGCTGGCCATGGTTCCCGTATGCCACCTGCACCTCCGACCAGCCCGCCTGCAATCGCTAAATCCAGTGCCATGCACGCGCCCCGACGCCCTCTGCCTCTGTCCATCTGAAACGTCGGCCTTGGGTTCATTCATTCATTCCTCTCCACCCTGTTCCTTGCCTGCACCCGCATCCTGGCCACCTATCCACACGTCCTCGCTCGCTGCTCTCTGGCTGGCCTGCCTGCCTGCCTGCCTACACGCCCCAGACCCCGCGGCCACTACACCACATACGCACCACCACTACTAGACTACCTACCCAACCCGACCATCAATAATTGCCCCGTTTCCCGAACAAAGCCAGAACACAAGACACAAGCGCTGGCCACGCTCTAGGTGCATATTCTCCATGTACCTACGTCTCCTCGCGACCCACACCCCTTCGCCAACAAACCCCCTCCCTCCCCTCACCATCGTCCCTCGTGCTTCAAACACCATATCGGCCAAAGCCTGCCCAGGCTCGCCTGCCCATGTCCCGCTTCCTCAATCAAGACAGACACCTTTTTCGGCCACTCTTTTTCGTCCCTTTCCCCCAAACTCCGGCAAGGACGGAAAAAGGAAAACCCTCGCTATTACCTCCACCACCCCTGTTTGCCCTCTCCCATATGTGCATTAACGCGTTTGAGAGGGTACCGCGCTAAACCCCATCAGGCCCATCGAACACGCTGACACTAGGGCCGCGAACCGCTCTTCTTTGGCGCAACACACAGCAAAGTGCGAACCACACACACCCACCCCCCGCCCGCGCCAGCCTGCAGGCGCGCGCGCCCACATCCCATACGTTATACCGTCTATCGTGACTCTGCTTGGTACTCTACTGCAATCCCTTGGCGCCCATGTAAGAAAGGTACCCCCCCCCAAGTAGTATAAGCCGCAAGAGCAACGAAAGAGAGAAAAAAAAGAGACCTTTTGTGAACAGCCTTGCGTTGCTGCATTGGACCCTCTCTCTATTTTTCTTGCGTTGCCCTGAGCAAAAGATGGCCCTGCAACGTGGCAGAGAGCATGGCGCGGCCGTTGGACTTGAGCTCTCTTGTTCCCACCCCTCTTTTTTTGCTCCTCCCTTACCCCCACCTTCGTCTCGCACTGTGTTCGCATTTTTCCCGCGGCTTGTCTTTCGTTCTTCGGTCTTAGCTTGCGCTGCGCCATTGTATTGGATTCTATTGATTTCACGACTCGCACCGCCCATGACAGCCAACCCTCAAACCCGCTTCATCACACGCACACATTGGCCTTCCGGCACACCATGGAGAGTTCGGTGGCGGCGTCACCGAAAGCACATTACTCGCATGTTTTTCTCTCCTTCTGTCTCGATTGCCCTCTTTCTTTTCTTTTTTCTTCTTCTCTCGTCTCAGTGTTCCCGGGGCGGGCCTGTGCTCTTGCAACATACGATCCCTGTCCGCCGCCGTTCTTCTACTAACCCATACCTACTATGTATGCCGAGAGTGCCGACTGTTCCCACACTATAAGCGCGCAGCCTACGTATACATACATACACTTACTGTGCCTCATATAGAGAGCAATTGGGCCTTTTCGTCTCACTTGCAGTGGGGTCTCGTATGGTCCAACTTGGTTTCCCTCTGGGCAGTCCTCAGCCTTCCTTCGCCTTTTTTTTGACGCTGAACTACTGCAGCTAGAGTCATGGGCCTACCGCACAATCGCCTGCAGTGGCTTCGGTACTACCACTGAACCAAACTATACCAAGAGTCGTGGCCGCCACAGCGCTTGGACCCCCTTAGCCAATAATAACCCACACGAACCCCCCCCCCCCCATGTCTGGCTCTTTCTTCCCCACACCCACCTACTCTGTCCCACACACACGCACACTACCCTTTCACGATAACCGCACACTTTTCTAACAGCGTTTGTTTGTGATGCCGCCTTTCTCGCCTGTCGATCCGGAAGAATTCGTCACCGGAAATATCTCTCACAACGGCAACAGCCATGTTACAGCCTTTTGTTACTGCTGACCGAGTCAATTATCTCCCCCGTCGTCCCGTTTGGTGACATTACTTACCCCATTTAATCGCCGTAGACCTCCGTCACATTGGCGTACCTAAGATCAGCGTGATCTTCCAGATGCTGCATCCACGCTTTGAGGAACTTTGAACCCCTGCACACAAAAGATAGTGCCACACACGTTAGCAAACTCATGTTCCCTTTTTCTTGAAACTCACTCTTGTACAATGACGACGACCAAACTGTCACCCGCACCCTCGGAGCATCAAAATCGTGTTCCGACGGCCTGGGATGTAATCGATGACAGGGCATGGGACCGGTGGATATGCTGCTTGTGACAACACAGGGGAGCGTGTATCACGGCAGTTTCATCTTTTGGGGGCCCGCTCGGACTGCCGCTGCACTCGCACGCGGTACGCAGCGCCATTGCACACAGCCTCAAGTTTCAGGACCCCTCCCCCCCCCCCCCCCCCCAAAAAAAAGACGTTGGATGACGAGGCCGCAAAAGGATAAACAGGAAGGAAAGTGGGCTGCTGGGGTTATGGATTCGGCAATCCACAGTGTGTACACTTACTTGCTGATTGTCTCCGAATCTCCAATCACACAGAGATGCCGCTTTGGGCGTGTCATGGCCACTAATCCGGTAATCCTCATTAGCACATTATCACCACACAAGGCCTTCTGCAGCTGTCATTTTTCATGCGTGCCATATTAAACATGACCTGACATTGTCGCAATACGAGTCTTGACTTACCGTTGAGTCGTCTCTTCTCGCCCAGGAATCCCACTTCATGCTCTGCATTGCTCCGCACCGTGCTGAAAATGACAGCTTCTTTCTCTCTTCCTTGAAACCCGTCCACGGATCCCAGCTCCATGCCAGGATACTCTTCTTTGAGCATTCCAGCCAGCAATGCGAGCTAGCCACATCAGTACCTAAGCATTCCCCGCTTGTCCCTGCCTAGTGTGGACTCGGTGGGACTTTTCTCCGCCTACGAAAAAGTCGCTACAAGGGGGAAAGGGGACTGGCGGGCATATACGTACCTGCGCATTGTATGGCGTAACAACTGCAATGTCCTCAGGCCTCACCCCGGCACCCACCAGACTTCTGACGTGCATTCGAACCAGCGCCGCCTCGGCTTCGTTAGACTTGCTATCGCCAAGACTCATACCTTTGCCACCCTTCCCGATCACGCCCTCGTCTTCGACCTTTTCGGGAAAATCTCCGCCTTGGGTATCCCAGAAGACGAGCGGCTCCGTTGTGTCTTCTGTCTCCTGCACCTCGTACTTTAGGTCCTTAAGCAGTCGCGCCTTGACAAAATCTGCAGCCACAAGTTTTGAATCATAAAGTTCGTCGGACGGAAAGCGCATGATCTTCTCATGCATTCGGTATTGCGTCGTTAGCATACGCTTGATCGACGGGCCGTGCAAGGCCAGAAGTCGATCGAACAGTGTCGTCTCCAGTGTTATACCTTCTCCTTGCTTTAACATGGATCTATCCGCATTATCCTCTGCACCCTTGGTCTTCTTGTCCTTGCTCTTTTTGGCCGTCTTGGCCTCCTTGGAGTTCAGGGATTTGATCGTTGGCGGCAATTGTAAATGGTCTCCTGCAAGTACTAGTTTATTTGTCTTTGTCCACAGAAGAGGCACCCAGCATTGTGCTTCCAACGCCTGACTTGCCTCATCCACAATAACAACGTCAAACTCTTGCCCCTTGAGATGGAACCCACCAGCACCGTGTAGCGTGGCCAGCACTACCTTGCTGCCTGTGACCAGGTTGCTGACGCATCCCTTTTCTCGCTCTCGGAACTCTTGACGCAGCTCTTTCAGCTCAGTGTAGATCTGTCGTCGCTCCTTTGCATTACGCGTCTTGCGAATCGATGCCTGTTTTTCGTCCATTTCTTTGCGCACATCTTCTACCAATGCAGCTGCTTCTGAAGTCCGTGTGAGTACGTCTAGAGAGTGGCTGAGAACTGAGGGCAGTAGCCGCGCTGGATGTCCCAAGCGCACCATCGGTACCTTGTGAGAGGCTAGCCGCTCGACGATATTGTCTACCGATATGTTGGACGGACCACATACTAGCAGACGTAGTTTTTGCTTGAGCAACTGCAAAATCAACTCGATCAGCGTATGAGTCTTGCCTGTTCCCGGTGGTCCGTGAATGAGAGCGACCTCTCTCGAGGCTAACGCAAACCTAATCGCTTCTTTCTGGCTATCATTCAGGGAAGGATCGATCCACTCGAGCTTGTGTAGCGGATTCGAAGGATCATTAAGATCCGTTGGGAGTGGAGACGGCGACGCCTGTCCAAACAACACTCGCATGAAGGGAGAATAGTCCTGATCCCCTAGCTTCTGTAGCCTGCTCATAGTCTGGTTCATCCTACCCCATCATGAACATCCACGTCAGAATCTCAAAGCGCTCGTACACAAAGGGGGGAGGGGGCGGGAAACAATAGAAACGTACCGCTTGTATGTCACATCGTTGGCCAACTTGACTCTAAAACACACATCAGCCTCATCAATCGAGTCCAAATGCTTCGTCTTAAAACAGTAGTAAAAACCCACATCCACAACCTGCTACCTGCGTTGACATCATCGTCCTCCTCCTTTTCCAGCACAACCTCGACATTCTCCCGTCTCACCCTCAACACCACGCCCTCGGACCCCCTCTTCGCCGCCTCCCTCTTCTCCCCTTTCTTCGCACTCGCCCCAACTTGCTCCTGCACCGCCACAATATCCCCCACACGGATCCCGTGTTCAGGGATATCCGGGGCCGCGCCTTTATTTACGACTGCGCTGTCGAGTCCGAGCTCGAGCACGGTTTTGCCGCCCAACCCTGTGCGTATAGAGGTGATGTTAAGGTTTAGGATCGCGAGGCCTGCGCGCGCTAGCGCAGAGGGCGTGTGCGACGTGAGGAGCTCGTTGGTTTCTGAGAGCTCGGCTTCGAGTTCGGCGGAGAGCAGCGTCAGTTGCCTGCTCGCAAACGAAGGGATGTCGGTTGGCTGTGGCATTTTGTTTTGTTTCTTTTTTGGGTGGTTCTGGTTGGTTGTGGTGGGTTTAGCGGGCGCTGGGTGGGATGTGGTGGGATGTGGTGGGGTAGTTTATTTGGTGTGCTCAAGTATTACTGTAGCGCATGTCTTTTATGGGAGTCGCAAGATGCTTATGAGAATTTATCTAGGATGCTGGCATGTAGTTCTCAAGTACAGCTTTGCATTGTGTGAATGGGTGTGAAAATGAATGGTGGGAAGCGCGTCATCGTCATTGCCCATTCAGTGTCGCGTTCTGCGCTAGCCTATCTTAGTCTAGCCATTCCAGAGGTGTAAAGAGCGCGAGGTTTGCAAAGGCAGGACTCATGAGATGGCGAAATCAGTTCTTTAGAGCTCGTCTTTTAAAATTCATTGACCGAGATATCCTTCGAAACCAAATCTATTCGTTATGGGTTTCTGGTGTGTAACCCGGTACATATTATCTAGTCCTGTCCATTACAGATGCGGCATGTCAGTTCATTCGTCCTAAACAGTAGCCCGTGAAATTGTACAACCAGAACTTCTCTGGGGCATAAGAGCCAGTTCCATTGATTTTCGCCACTGGCAAGCTTTGTTGATCCTGCGTTAGCCATTTTTTGTCCAACTCCTCCGTGGATGCAAAGCCCATTATCTGAGACGATGGCCCCAGCAACCACCAATCACTGGCACTCAAACATCCATAATCCTCCATTGGCTCCCAACTGGTATAACTCCCATCAATGGTCTTGTTTGTTTCTATGCTCGCAATGACAATAAGGCCGATCATAAGACCCGTGAACAAAACGGTGTAGAGCCTGTACCATGTGCTGGATATGCACGGCAATATGGTGTTTGTCGTCTTGCCTCGCAAGAAGAACAAAGTGTAAGTGATGGCGGTTACACTGGTGAAAAGGAAGTAATACAAGCTGAGTAAGAAAGAAGTAGTGGTATAGTGTGTGACTCCACCACCTATACTTGGTAGAATGCAAAAGACCGCCAACACCCAAACCCCCCAAATTAGGCCCAGAAAGAAGAAGCGGAATGTACGGCTGCCCCACGAGGATTCGGGAGACCTAAAGCCGGCGGATTGGAACCTTGACACTAGTAATGGGTCTAGTGCAGTGCGAGATTCATCGACATTGATCTCACCATCTTTATCGACAGGCCTCGGTGAACTTCGCGAAGTCATCTCCCACGCAGAGTTGGCCCGTTGTCCATAATCCTGATAAACGTAGTCTGCTGTTAACCACGGGGCGGCGCATAGTCGCAAGAGTCCCAAGATCGCAAGCGGGAAGAATATCGTATCGACGCCGAATCCAACACGACCTACAAGCATTGTAGACCCAGAAATGGCTCCGATCAAAGTCATCAGAGCTGAGACTCCTTGTAGAGTCGTAATGACAGTCTTTAAGCTTGTCAATGAAAATGGCCTTGCGTGCGTAGTTTCCGGATATCGCAAGCAGTACTGCGCAGTCACAGAGGCCATGTGTTCACTGCCGTCCCATCCATTCGAGGTCCAGAATATCGCATTACTAGCCGCAAAATCTTGTCGGCTCCAATTTATAGCGCGAATTCGCCGGTCCGTAATGGCAGCATAGCGCCAAATGATAGTTGTGGGATTGTAAATACAGATGGCATCGTACCATTTGAGTTGACGGTCGGTGAGATACGATATTGGAGGTGCTCCTGAAGCCAGGTGCTGCAAAATGAGACAACTATATTAGTCCATGCACAAAGCTGTTTTTCCAAACACATCCATCGAGCAATACCTACAGCTATTAGTGGTGCGAAACAGAGTGTGAACAACGCGACCCATTCTGAAAAAGTAATGCATTTGCTATTGAAGTGCAAAGGTATGATGTCGATCTCGAAATACGTCATTAGGAATTGGGAAAGAATATATAAGAGTTGGACAGATGGTTTTCAGCAGGAGAGCTAAAGCAGCGAAGCAGCCATGTCCTTTGCCTATATGTAAGCGATGTCGAAAGGCATTGGGGCTACAGAGCTGAAAAAAGTGCTGTGCGCAGACACAACATCCTTGCTGGCCAGGAACAACGCGCTTCTTTCGTGTAGTATGTCAGCCTACGGGTGCGCGCAGGTGGGGCGTAGGAGCTCGGGTGGAGCCTGGTTCAAGACCATGGATCTACCATCAAACTTTGCCTATCATGTTGGCAAATGTTGAAAATGTACAACAGGAAATCTGTGTCTTTTTGAATGTGGGATCACGTCTTACACTTCCATCCAAGTGAGTCGGCAATACTTGGTGTGACCATTGTATGCAAGGCTGATGGATATAGGGGACATCCTGTTGTCCGCCTGAAGTGGATCAACCAATTGTCTCGTGTTTGTAGCCGATGGGGGCTGAAAGCTGGAACTCAGCCGCACAAGACCTTGCATTTACCCGGGAGCGTACGCAACACCACTATCGAGTCTGGATGCAGGACTGACTCGCTTGCGATAAGAGCTGATTAAGCGTTTCATGCGCAGATAGCAATTTCCAATTACTATTGGGCTGCCATGTTGTGATAGACGTGCTTCTGTCATGGTGTTGCTTGAGTATTTCGTCATAATCAACCCATTTAGTAACAGACAAAATGTATTGATGATCTGCACACCTACAGAATCCTGCGGCACAGCGGTCCGGCTTGTGGAGACTAGCTTTCATAGCCACCGTATGGCTCTGGTAGAAAGAAATCAACCCCTTTTTCCTACGGACTAATTGCGACGATGATTGGGCCCTTGAAATAGATCGAACCAATCCGAGTAGCATGCTTATCGATAAAACGTCCCAGATGGGTCGCCCCACGTGACTCGAGGGCACCATAGTAAGAACGACTTGCAATAGTTGAAAATAAACACTAATGTCCATTCTTTCTAAAACATATCCAGACGACTAGAGATTTTTCGGCTGATTTCTGCTCCGTTGGTGGCAGCAGCTAAAACCCACAATCGATATTGGATGTTCGCCCTTATCACAAGTGCTTATTACTCATTGGAAAAAGTGGCCAAGAAAATCAAAGCGACGGTATCAATCTCTGCCTTCCTCTTTTTATTTGCGGCCGTATAGAAATAGGAGGGAGCAAGTGGTCATCACCTGGGACCCCTTGAGTACGCTGTACCCAAAGAAGCTATATTTCTTCGGTGAGAAACATACCCCACAAGTCTTCTTGTGTTTCGCAGGAATCCCCATGCACGGCTAGTAGCAGCCGAAATCTCTTGCTCAATTGAACGCAGGTTCCTGTTGCCAAGGATGGCTGCTTACTCCATGGCTGTACTACGGACATCGTTCGTTAAAGGGTTGATCTTCCGTCATGTTGTCACATGTGGTATCAAGTTTTGCTCTATAGCGACAAAGAAAATGTACCGAGGCGCCTTTGTTAATTAACAATACTGGGGAATGTGTCCGCAGTCTAGTTTAGTGAGAGTATGGGGAAACCACCCCTGTTCGCTACCCCGCATTTTGAGCCACGCGGGACTACCCAAGCCAATCCGTAGAGGCAATACCTCCGCCATTAATGCATCGACAGATGACAACTGGCCAAGCTTCGGATCATCTACGAAAAACGGTTTGGGACTACACTTTGTTGACCGGGATAGCGACGCCGTACTATCCATCCCACTCCATACGTCATCACTCACTAAAGTGCATGAATCGCATTCTATCACACTTCTTCGACAAATTGCTCCTGTCCGGAAGGTGGAGAACACGGTGAGTTTACCAGAATGAATTTTTCCACCGTTCATTTTATTACCGTTGGCACTATTCGCCAGACTATATTTATGGTGTGCCAAATTCGTCCACTCAGTGATTGTCAGCCCCATGACCTACCAAGTAGTACGAGTAAGCGCCCCAAGCCATGTAATAATAGCCCAGTCCTCTTCTGGATAATCCCCCTAGTTGATGTGTAGCGACATCTCATCTGATAGGTTGTATTCATCGTTTCTACAAACCCTACTGCTCACGCGAGACTGATGGAGGGTACTTCACCCAATAGAGGCCGACCTGCACTCCAGAAACCAGGGAAGTATCTATCGGAGCAGGGTTACTGTTAAGATCATGGTAAATCTGGAAATCGTATCGAGAGCCCACAGTGAGTCCATCACATGGACATCGTCGATGTACCTTTTGCCCGAGGTTGGTGCCTGAGAAGGGACTTGCTTGTGAAATTGGATCCACGAAGTGTTTAAGTACCATCCTACTTAGCCATTGATGAAGAAGCCACAAAGCTTTTCAACTTCACTTTGTGCCATAGCAGGGCTTGCCGAAGAGAGTATCCCATCATGAAGTTTCTAGCGGCCCTAGCCCTCCTCCCATTGGCCTACGCGGCTCCAGCGACCCTCGCCAAGCGTGCAAATCCTACAGTGATTGCGCCTTTGCCCAAAGCCACTGTTGTCGGCGTCGATGCACTCGATGTCGAGTCTTTCAAAGGAATACCCTACGCAAAACCACCTATCAACCAGCTACGACTCAAGCCACCTCAACCATTGACAGCTGACCTTGGAATAGTCGATGGTACCGGCCAACCAAAAGCATGCCCCCAATTTCTCCTTAGTGTAGATGGTTCAAGCATTCCCTCTAATGTTCTCGGAAACATACTCAACATTCCCTTCTTCCAAACAGTCACCAACGCTGGAGAGGACTGTTTGACTATCAATGTGCAGCGGCCAGCCGGCACACAGCCTGATGCTAAATTACCGGTACTTTTCTGGATCTTTGGCGGTGGCTTCCAACTTGGCTCAACTCAAATGTACGATGGTACCAGCCTAGTCCGCGAATCTGTTGAGCAAGGCAAGCCCATTGTCTTCGTGGCTGTTAACTACCGTGTCGGAGGATTTGGCTTCTTGCCTGGAAAAGAAGTCCTCCAGGATGGCTCTGCTAATCTCGGATTACTCGATCAACGACTAGGATTGGAGTGGGTCCAAGACAACATTGCTGCCTTTGGTGGTGACCCAACCAAGGTCACAATCTGGGGAGAGAGTGCTGGCTCTATTTCAGTGATGGACCAGATGCTACTATACGATGGTGACAACACCTACAAAGGTAACCCTCTCTTCAGGGCTGGAATCATGAACTCCGGCTCCATTGTTCCTGCCGATCCCGTAGACTGTCCAAAGGGCCAAGCTGTCTATAACAAGGTAAGTTCTCCGCTCACCGAACGCATAATCTTGACGCTAATCATTTGAAAGGTCGTCGAGGAAGCCGGATGTAAGAGCGCAAGTGACACTCTAGCATGTCTCCGCACAACCCCATACACCAAGTTCCTCAATGCCGCCAACAGCGTCCCAAGTCTTGCATCTTACTCTACAGTAAATCTGTCCTATCTTCCACGTCCCGATGGAAAGACTCTTACAGACTCACCCGATGTTCTGGTGAGAGCCGGAAAGTACACCAAGATACCCTTCATCGCCGGTACCCAAGAAGATGAGGGAACATTATTCGGCATTTTCACTCTTAACATCACCACAACTAGCCAAGTCGCAAACTACCTATCTACCCAGTTCTTCAATAGCGCCACACAGCAACAAATCGAAGATCTAGTCAGCAGCTACCAGACAACCACCGAAGACGGATCACCCTTCCGCACCGGCTTGCTCAACAACTTCACACCCCAATTTAAGCGCATCTCCGCCATCATCGGCGACCTGACCTTCATCTTGACCCGCCGTCTCTTCTCCGAAATACACACCCAAGTAAACCCAGGCGTGCCTTCATGGTCCTACATCGCCACCTACGACTACGGCACCCCGCTCCTCGGCACGTTCCATGCTACAGATCTCATTCAAGTCTTTTTCGGCATTCTCCCCAACAACGCCCGAAAGACAATCAGAGGCTACTACTTCTCCTTCGTCCACAACCTCGACCCAAATGTCGGCAACAATTTCGACAACTGGCCGCAGTGGAGCCAGGGCAAGAAGTTGATTAATTTCGGGGCGAATAGCAATAGCTACACCGACGATACCTTTAGGTCGGATTCGTACGACGTGGTGAAGAAGAATGCTGATAGCTTCAAAGTTTGAAAGCTCGGCTTGGGGGGAATACCTGGGCTTTTTTTTGGTAGTGGTAGAAAAATTTCATTCAAAGTGTTTTTTTGTATATCTGCGCTTACATGTGTGTGATTGAAACTACTAGCTGCGTTTGGGGCGGGTATCTGTGCCCTCACTGCGCTTGTTTGACGTAACTGTTGTTGTTGTTGTTGTTGTTGTTGTTGTTGTTGTTGTTGTTGTTGTTGTCGGAAAGTCGTCGCATTAATCTTCTAGACTCTGCTGCCTCGGCACTATTTGAGCACACCACGCTGTCCTCGTCAGCATTATCCCCACTGGTGACAAGTCGAGAACGGGATGGGCTGTTCAGTTAGTTGCAGGCTGATACCCTGGACCGAAATGAAAATGATCCTTAGGATATTGCTACAATGATCATCATTTTTAGATTGATGACCATCCCGTTCGAGTTCAGACTTCAGCCCATATCTCAACATTTATTTAGTACTTCACGATAAAAGTGAAGCGTCAATGAACTTGGTTCTTCATGCCTTACTGGTCAGGATAACTAGCTGGACATTTTAAGGTTTCAGTATACTCCTTGAACGCAAAAGAAGGTGTTACGAGCCAGCTGTCTTCGCTTCGACCATGCAACACTGTCAAGCACAAAAATACAGCAAAAAAATATTGAAGCTCATACGAGCTCCGGCTTTGACTCAGCCGAGGTTTGAACTCGGGACCTTCAGTGGGCCTAACAGGTTGTTAGACTGACGTGATAACCAACTACACCACCGAGCCTTGTTCGATAAAGATTTTGAAATCTAGAAAATATATGACCGAGTTATCAAAAACAATGTTGACATGTAATGCCCTAACAGGCTCCTACGAGGCCTGCTAATTTGTGAAATTTTTGCATAACGCGGGGTTGCTGTAGCGGGTCCGCTTGAACAGCCCTGCTCCGCTGCCGAAGACTTCTCTTCTCCCGAGAGCTTTTGGTACAGGTGACAAGTTGAGGTCCCAGGTCTTGTCCGGCAGCTTGATACGTTAGAATAGTTCTGGAACTGTTTGTTCAATGCATTTCAAACGGCCGTGAAGTAGTTTGGCGCGTATACGCGGTTCTCTGTGATGGTAACAGCACCCATTCTTCGTCTGTGCAATGATTGGAGAATCGCGCCACACGTGTGATTCAAGTAGGTTGAAGTGCATCGTGTTTCAAGTCGGCACAAAGTGTTCCGTTGAAACGGCTGCTGCATGTGCAGGGTATTTTGAGATCTCCTTTGGTTCGTGCCATTTCCCACTACCCAAGATCGGCATAGTGGCTCCATAGCGCAATCCCAAGTACCGCTCGGAAACCTCCCGCTCGGAAACAGCGCCCATGTAAGCTTGAATAGAGTTTGGCGCTGCATTGCCATTATCGCAACTACCCGTGGGGACGTACCCGTCCTCTGGAATTATCAACAGTCTTGGTACAGCTGGGCGGATGCTTGAACGCGATATGAGCAACGAGAAGAAGAAGTGCTAGTGAAGCCCTGCGATACATATCGGCAAATAGCCTTCGGAAATACACAAGCGACCACTAGCAAGGATACACTTTGGTGGTGGCAAAATCTGCCAATGCAGGAGTTCGAAGGTCGAGACTCCGTGACAGAGGGGAATCGAGGCAACCCAGACAACCACTGCCGTCTCTTATTGCCTCTCTCCTTTCCTCGCCCCCACCGCACTACTTTCCCTTCTATAGGGCACGACACGTCTCCTGAACAATCGCAGCTAGGTCTGATACCAAGCCAGCGAGTCTTAATACCTAGTCTTAATACCTGAAGTATATCTCAAAATGGCGATGGAGCTGCAAGTGCGATCGACAGCAATGTAGGTGTGCGTCAGCCAAACCTAGGCACGCGTCAGTCTCCGCAGAGGGTTGCCCATTCACAAGAAGCAGCACCTCAGGCCTCGAAACCAGGCCCCACTGTGTGTCTGGAGAGGGAGCAAGTTCAGCGACCTCCCCATGGGCCAAGCATTTCACGTGTTGCAACTTAGTTGGATTTAAGCCACAAACGGAGTCGCTTGGCGCCACAACACAATAATACGCGAAGCAACTGTCACGTCTTGAAATCCGCCACTACGTTTCCGAGTCGTAACCCTGGTACTCCGCTCCACGCAGCTAAGACGCCAATTGTTGCGTTGGAGGCTTAGCCTTTTTTAAGCACATCGCCGAGCGATGTCAGTCTGGATCCCTTTGACCCTCAGACGAACACCCAGAAATTTAACCTCCTGTGCCTGAGGCAACGGCTATTGTTACCCGTTGCGGTAGGTGACCCTCCTAAACGCCTTGTCGCTAGAATCTCCGCTTCACATATACTTGGCAATTCAGCCTCGTGGAGGAGCGACAGGCTTGGAAACTCAGGCATTGCTGTTCAGCCCGCAATTTACAGGTGTCATGGCCTTGGGTTCAGCTTGGCAACAGCCATAGTTCTCCGTGATAAGTCATCGAACTTGACGTCTCCAAGGGCACTCTGCTTGTCGATTTCCATCAAGGACGACTACTATGCGATTACCATTCAGTGTTGAATCGAGTTGTTACTACCATCCCCACACTAAACAGTTAGACTATAGAAGCGTCTTACCAGTCTAATTTCAAGACTACCTATACTCCGCAGCGATCATTGAGGCCACCATCAATAGTGAGACCTTGGCCTTTGGTCAAGCCAAAGACCCTGGCTGTTGGCCCGCTTTGGGCGTTATCCCTGTGCATTGAACTCGCCAGCTAGCATGAATTCTACACTAGCCTTCCCTTACAAAGCTTCTAACCCAACATCAAACAGTCGAGGAGGCTTGGCAGTGCTGGTTGGAGAAGAAAAGCTCTGCCAGGTTGTGCTTGTAGGGCTTGGCACAGCTTCATTAAAGTTTCATACCGCTTTGAAGCTGGTTAACGTATCTTGGCAGAGGATGTGACAGTGCTCGTCCGTAGTCATTGTTGAAGTCGGGTATACACAGTATAAGAAGATGTTGAATCCACATTCTTCTGTTCTTCAGTCCGGTCACTCACTTTCACTTCTTCACATACTCTTCATTCACTATCCTCGCCGTGCGAAGTAATTTACTTACTACAATCACCTATTCTATATTTTTGTGAAACATCACTACCCGACTACTCCTATCTTTTACTCTTTAATCGAAAGATTCAAAAAACCTAAAACTCACAAACATGCTTGCTCAACACATCCTCGTTGCGCTCGTCGCCACCGTCGCTGCCGTCCCCCTTAACATCAACTTGGGAGCTTACTCGCCTGCCCTGGTAGTCGGTGATGGTGAAATCTCGCTGGGATCAACAGAATCAGCATCAGAATTGATGGCTACATTGGCTTCAGGAGCCGCCGCGAAGGCTGGAGGAGAGGGTGCAAAAGGTCAGCAAGAAAAGGTTCCCGCAGCTGGCGGCGAGCAACCTGCGGAACAACCAGCTGAAGGTGCAGCAGCCAAACGATCCAACCTCCGTCGCGCTATCAACGACATCATTGCCAAGCGTGCTCCCGTCGATTCCAAGATGGAAGCCGTTGAGGAGGCCATGCAGTGGATCAAGCGCGACCTTGCCGGCTTCAACGCTGCTCTCGGCTACGCCAAGGAGGCCCTCAAGGACCAGCCCAAGGTCGAGCTCGGTACCGAGAACGCCGGTGTTGGTATCATTGTCAACCCTGGTGTCAACGTCCCCGCTGGCTCTGCCGCTGCTGGTGGCTCGGGGAAGAAGGAGAAGCGCGAAGAAGTCGTCGAGGAGCAGGATGCACCCAAGATGACTCTTGTCGCCATCACCGAAGTTTAAGTGATATACTTATTACCTTGGCTTTTTCCTCCATCGGCACTCCTTTTTTTTCCCTCCCGCAATTGCGAGATTTACCGAATGCAAACCGGTAGTGGGATGACGTTGCAACGGACTTGAGCGCGGAGTTTTTTTGTTTTCTTTTCTTTTACCAGCGAGTATCGCCAGGTCTTATGTATACAACTGATCTGGAGATTGAGGAGTTTTTCATGGATGGTTATGTATGGATATTGATTGTAGAAGGGGGCAAAAAAACGACGCTTGGAATGTGAATGTGTTAGGGGATTAAAAATTTGAAATCTCAAATCTTTTGATGGACAAACTCCTTTCTTGCGAATTTGGCTTCAAACCGTGACGCATCTCCAGCTTCTTGGTACATCAACAAAATCACAGCATCAATTTTCGGATCTTCAATAGGTTGCCGATCCGAAAAACTCATATTAGGCACTGGTTGACAGATGCGACTGTTCGCCCAATTATGCGGTGGAGTCGCATACGTGCCCAGTCACTTACCGAATCTAGCAAAGCTGCAATCCCTGAGACGCGTTATTCGTCACCTTCCATCTTCGAATTAAGCTACAGAACCAAGTCGCAGCCAAGTCTCAGTAACGTCGTACCGGGTCTTGGCAGGCTGCCAACGATTCATGGTTCACCGCGGACCATGAAACGTACGCTTGGCAGAGATGCAAGATGCGAGTGGCGGAATGCGGTATTTTTTTTGTTCACAAGCAATAGTAAAATAGTTGTCAATATTAACGGAACCGGATATGGCAATTCCACAGATTTGGTTCACGGGTTGATAGCTGTCGGTGAATTCTAGCCACCTCAGGTGCTGTTACGAGTAAGGAACCTTCTGTCGCAACCTTACGTACTACTGACGCTGCCAGAACTTCCAACTCCTGCCCCTTTCCTTTTTTTCCGCACTCCCAACCACATTACCAACCACTTTTTGATCCATTTGGTCAAGCTTGTAATTTTTGAGGAAGAATGTCAATGGCAGGATAGGCGCAGCGCAGCAAAGGGCACCAATGAGGAGGTAACGCATCGTCTCTTGGTATGCCCTATTAATCGCTATGCGAACAGGTGAACCAGGTGGATAGGTGGCGTAATCTGCAGCCACTGTAATACTGCTGTAGATTGTTGTCCAGTCTGCTGCATTTGCTTCAGGGAGGTACTGCTGAAGCTTTGCAGGAATGTACGTTGACCAAATAGCGCCCGAGATAGCGGATCCAACAGCACCACCAACTTCAAGGAGCGTAAGCCACACGGTCGTTGCCGCTGCGACTTGTTGATGCGAAGCCGATGCTTGAACACCGAGCTGTACCGGGACGTTGAGAAAACCACCACCGATACCGACGACGATCTGAGTACCTACAAGTGTAGCCGTAGATGCGTCTTGCGTGCGGTAGGCCAACATAAGGCCCATTCCCAAGAGGTAGATGGCAGATCCGCAGGTGACATAGTACTTGTAATGACTTGTATACTTGATCATGAGCGAGACCACGACCGACGAGATTGTCGAACTGAAGCTGAATACTCGTGTGATATAGCTGGCAGCAGTGAGGGACTGGCCCTGAACGATCTGGAGATAAGAGTAGAAGTATGGAAAGACCGACATGTAGAATGCCACTGAGAAAGGCTCAGTAATGCTCAGTTGTCAAGTTGGCTGTGACTTACTGAAATAGAAAAACGCTATCAAGACACCCGTAATGATAGTTCGCTCCTTGAACAGTCCAGGTGGGAAGAATGCTATTGGTGCTAGCTTCTTGCTAGTCTCCCACAACGGAAACAAGAGTAGCAACACACCACCCACTACAAGCATAGCGATCATACTTGGGTTGGTCCACTTCCCGTCAGCATTTGGAGCTAGTGTAAGTGGCAATAAGATCAAAGAGATGGCAGCAGCAAATAGTAGCAGTCCACCAGCATCAAGATCAAACCAAATGTTCTTCAAGACTTGAAAGACGCTATTACCTCGAAACGGACTGGGGACTTCGAAACCCAACTTCTTCGCTCTCCTTTGGTTCGTGAAGAGGCTGACTGCCAATGGGATAAAACAAATGGGTAGAATGATGGCCCAGATGCCGTATCCCCATCGCCAAGTAGTGTTCTTAAGAATTGACTGTCCGATCTCCGGTCCAGCCCAGGTCGTCCATAGAAAGGGTAGATCGAACAGGGTTGAGAATAGTGCACGGTTCAACAAGTCCGTGGTATCAGCTACGAAGATCTGCTGTAAGACCTGCAATCCGTTGAAGCCGATAGACCAAAATATTTGTGCGCCAGCAAATGTTTGAACGCTATTGGAGGCGGCCTCCATGATGTAGCCGAGAGTGTACAGAGTGACGATGATAGTAAAGGACTCCAGTCGACCGAAAACATCAGCGATCTTTCCTGCTGGGGGTTTGATGACAGCTACACAATTTCGTTACTGGCTGCTCGAGGACGACACAAAACGATGAGCACTTACAGGCGACCACGCCCTGTACAACGGTGACTGTAGAAAGCAGAGAATGCGCAGAAAAGGCACTTGTTGCAAATGGTACTAAGGCACCCGTGACCTGGATCTCGAGGGAGGTGACATTGGCGATGAGGAGAAGGCTGGACAAAAGGTTAGTTTGATGACAGTATATCAAGAACAGCTAACTTACGAGACATAGGCGACGATGAGCGATGCCTTTGTCCACGCTTTGCTCACGGCCTCGATCCGCTTTACACCAGCCTGAGTGGTACCTTCACCCGAAGTTTCGCCTGGAAAAGTTTCATGGCCGTAATCCGCATCTTTGCCAAACTCTGGATTCTCAGTTCGATTCTGAAGCACTTGGCCATCAAGACCCTCATCAGGCCGCATCGAGTCTTTCATAATCGCATCCAACAAGAAAAAAAAGAGTCGAACCAGTGGTGAGAGAGAGGGCGCGTCGAAAACCGAGTTTTCGCGGAAACTCCCAATACAACAGTACGGCTGGGACGCTACTTTATCTGATCGACCCTGCGTTGCAACCCTGCTGATTCACCCGAACGGGATGACCGACAGCGGTGTGCTATTGGCAATTCATTTTACCGCCAAGCAGAGCGGTGACTTGGCCGACGAGACTGTCACCACGCGACCATGCCTCAACCCATCCCGCAAGTCTGTGCGATGACCACATGGCGCACCCATGTACCGTGTGTTGGAATTTTATAGTTCATCCACTAGTGATAAGGTCCATCTTATCTGATCTTCCTGGCTGGAGAGGGTTCTTGGCGTGAATGGTGGCGGCTTGGAACGCCGAGACTATGAGCAGGCTAGACTGGATGGTTTTTCTTGGGCCGCCCAAGAAAGTCGTGTTTCGGCCAGACCGAAATCAACTCTGTGTTTGTTAATGTTTTCTCACAGTAAGTACACTACAGCTGTCAGCGCTGAATGAGGTTACGTCAAGTGTCAAAACATGTGGTGTGAGGAGATACAAGACCAATGCAGTGACCTCCGAGCTCTTTAAACATTACCTTACGAGTGGGCATCCCATGACATGGCACTGTAGGACCCAAAAGTTCCCGAACAAACAACCAGCCGCCCACTCCTCGCAACATTACAGTATCGTGATCTGCCAAAGTCAAGGATCCAGGATCGTTGTTCAGCCGAATCATCCGAAGCGGGGTTGTCTTTCACGTGCCTAAAGCATGTCCTCGACAACACCATGCCCAGTCGAAAAAATTGACAATCCTTAAGTTAATGCTGATAGATTTAGCAATGTCAGAATGCTGATGATGTACGTATATGCTCATTAGGTTGGCCATAAGGGCCAGGCTTGCCGTATTGATGTACATGACAAACGAGATGGGACTGCTCTACCTCACCGCAGGACAACCCCCACAAGTAATCGCACCAAGTATCCTAATTACGGCTCCATATCCTTATCCTTTGCTGGGGCTTTCCCGTTTGTTTCACCAGCGATATCACTGTCTCGAGGACTTTTCTCTATCTCTCCTGCACTGGCGCCATTCTGGACACCTCCCTCGCTGTTCACAACCTCCTTCTTCAGCGCCAAATCTGGGTTCAACGCCTCAAGCTGCTGCCTTGTCTTGCTATTCATCTCTTCAAGACTGGGTACTACCCACTTTGAGCTTTCCCAAGGCTTGACTCCCATCAAGTACATTGTATCGATCTCCTCCAGAGTACGGCCTTGGCCCTCGATAACAAAAAAGTAGACGATGAGGCCGCCAAGTATATTGGTTCCAGCAAAGACGTAACCGTAGCGGAAGTCGATGGCACCGGTAATGAACGGGGTGAAGAAAGCCAACAAGAAATTCCAGAACCAATTTGATGCTGTTGACAACGCCATGGCTTTCGCGCGGTAACGGCTGGGATACAGCTCACCACAGATTGTCCAGCTAACCAACCATTAGCAGTGTGCATCCTAAAGAAGGAGAATATACTCACATCATCGGGCCCCAAGTCGTCGCAAATCCAAAGATGAAGAAACAGGCGAAGCATATCATAGCCGTCGCCGCGCTTTCCGTATTCTCTGGGTTCTCTCGGTCCAATGAAAAGTGGCCAACAGACGCAAAGATCAAGAAGCAAATAAACATCCAGCAGGAACCAGCAATGAGTGACTTGCGGCGGCCATAGTGTTCAACGATATACAAGCCGTAAAAGGTGACCCCGAAGTTTATACCATTCTACTAATGATTAGTCTGGACCTCGAAAAACTTCTTGGATCAGGAAGACTAACCAGGATCATCTGTGTTACGAACGAGTTCTTGATACCAGTGCCTGCAAAAACAGTGGTGCCGTAGTAGAAGCTTCAAAGCGTTAGTACAATCTCTACGAACAAGGGCAGATACTAACAAGTAATTGGCTCCTGTCAGTTGCTGGAACATCTGCAATCCCATACCAATCGCAATCCGATACGCCATCTTTGGCGCAGACCACATGCCGATCCATTCTTGAATGGGATTATTGGTGATTTTGCTCTCAGCTTCTAACTTCTCCCGCATCTCCTGGAGCTCCATTTGGATGGCGTAATTGTTTTCAGGTACACCATATACCTCTACCATTGTCTTAGTAGCTTTGTCCAATCTTCCATGGCGGAAATTGAAGCGGGGCGTTTCGTCGAACCATAAGATACCGAAGGCGAGAATAGCAGCGGGTACGAACGAAAGTCCCAGTGTGATTAGCCATGAAGCCTTTTTACCAGATTGATGCTTTTCAGCTGCGTAGTTGAAGACGGCAGCAAGGAAGATACCAAAGGTGATCATAAGCTGGTAGGTCGAGATGAGAGCGCCACGAATATGGCGCGGAGCCGTTTCCGCCTGCACGTCGTTAACCCCTGTTACATCTACCAACCACCACGACTACACATACCTGGTACATGGGCACGAGCAAACTCATGGCCCCGACTCCCAGACCAGCAACAAACCTGCCCATCATGATCTGGTACCATTTGTCCGTTGCAGTCATTTGTACTATGAAACCTACAGAGAGGATACCACACCAGGCAATGATACTAATCTTCCTACCAATCTTATCCGCGATTGGTGCAGCAATGAGCGCTCCGAAAAGTGTGCCGATTGACAGCAAACCGACAATGAGTCCCGACCTCACATTGGAGAAGTAATATTCACCATTGCGGTGTCTCTGACCGAAGCGACGTCGGAAGTCGACCATCCCCAGGAAGCCAGAGATTTGACCAGTGTCAAAACTGCGCAGCCATTGATGTTAGCCAAAAAGCGAAGTAGCGCAGCAATAGAAGAAGGGAAGTGACAGGATGGCATAGTGAAGAAGAGAGAGAGAGAGGTGTATCCATACCCAAAAACAAATCCTCCCATCGACACTAATACCCCCATTCCCAATCCCGCCCTCGTCAAACGAGGCAACGGCGTATTATCATATCCAGCATGCTCACCCACCCACCGCGACGACTTCTCCAACGGTCCGCTGCTTGTCAACCCCTTGATCTTCTCCTTGATCTTGTTCATTACTATTCCCTTCTGTCAAATCTCTTTCTTACGATTAAGTAGTAGTAGTAGTAGATCTGAGTACAGAGCCCAAAAAGAATTTAGGCATTACAAGGCATCTTGCGGCTCTTCTACATTGCGTAACCCCCCCGCCTTATATACCTGAGCCCTACGCAGGCAACCCATTTGCCAGCTCGGAATCCGGGATTCTAATCCGCCCTTGTCTCTGCTGACTGCATGTTTATTCATTTTCTTTCCCCGCTTCCTGACCCCTCGGTGGCCACGAGACTGGGTGTTGGCTGGGGTGCGATGGCGATGGCGATGGCGACGTGTGTGTGGGGCGGAAGGGTGCGGATGGTACTGTAGTAATACTGCTGATTCGGTGCATCATGTGGCTTCGAAGAACCGTTCTTGAATCGTTACCGTTGGGGTGGTGTGATCGTGGGTTTGGAGGTTCTGTGTTGGATCTGGGGAACGCGAGGAGAGCGAGAGATGAATAGTAAACAAACAATTATATCTTCACTTGTCTTCGCATTCTCCCATCACATATATCAAATGCTACAAGAACTCTATACTAACCACATAAACCCAATACAGTAACTATCTACTATTGTACAACCCCCGTTCCTCCGCCCCTCCACCACCCCTCCTAATCAACCATCCAAACCACAACCAATCACCCAACAATTGACGTCACAACCTGCTGACACGCCCCCAATCAAAAAGCTACACACTTGTAAAGCTTATCCACCGAAGCATTTTACCCTTGACCAACCTTCTAGAAGCCCGTTAAGCGGGTACGTAGCGTGACACAACCGGGCGGGCGGCGTATCCGCTCGCTTCCGGTTCGTACGTGCACACATGGTAGCGAAAGGGTTCTTAAGTATCACGACACCCAGATGACGGCATAGCTCGTGACACGGTGTAGAGGGAGGCATGGGGATTGGGCAACGGGATGGCGAGGAAGGAGTGTGGAGTGAGATTTTGGGCCTGGGAGACGAAGAAGAGGGGGGTTTTGGGGATGGGGTGGGATCGAGTGCGGATATGGAGGTTTGGGGAGGTAGGTTGATAGGAGGGGGATGTGATATTCTTGTCCGGGATTCGTCCAGAGGTCTCGACTGGTTTACGCAATGGCGGCGTCTTTGATAGTCTTGTCCTGGGGGTGGAGATGGTGCAAGAAGAAGTTATGCAGTCTGCAATGCATGTCATGACTCCAGAGCTAGGAGCTTCATTGTACTATTCGTTTGATTTGACGGGTTAATGCTTTCCAGTGGTATCCATCCGAGTCTATGGCAACGTATAACCACCATCGATAACTAAATTTGCACCCGCTATGTCAATAGTTAGCTTTCACATGTCTGAACTAATCCCCAACACAGCATACTGGGAAAACAAAAACAGGGGAGAAAATGATGGGAAAAACAACTTACTCATATAACTACTTGCATCACTCGCCAAAAAGACATACGCCCCCTTCAATTCCCCGGGATCACACAGCCTTCCCGCAGGAACCATACTCAACCACTTCTCCCTCCACTCCCTCGGATGCACATCCAGCATATCCGTATCTATGAACCCAGGAGATACACAATTGACACGCGCGAAATCCACCCACTCGACACTCAGACACCGCGCAAGCTGCACGACAGCCGCTTTGGATGCATTGTACGCGGCCTGTTTCTGTGGCACATTGACCAAGATGGCGGAGACGCTGGCGGTGAAAATGACGTTGCCGTGGCCCTGGGCTTTGAAGATGACGCCAGCGGCTTGTGCAGTGTAAAAGGCGCCGTCGAGATTAATGGACATGATGTGGCGCCATTGTTCCTCGGTGTAGTCTTCAGCCGGACGATGATTCGCGATGCCCGCATTCGCAACGACGATGTCTAAGCCGCCAAAGTCTTTTGCGATGGTGTTGATGACACTGGTTATTTCGTCTTTGTTCTCGACAGAGGCCTTATAGGCTTTTACTGTTGCGCCGGTGCTGGAGGCGATGCGCGCGGCGATGGCATCGGCGTCTTTGGTGCTCGAGTAGAGGATGGCGACGTTGGCGCCTGCTTCGGCGAGGGCTTGGGAGGCTGCAAGACCGATGCCCCGGACGCCGCCTGTTACGGCAGCGGTTTTGCCCTTGAGGGAGAAGAGGGAGTGCACGGGGGCGTCGGTGTTGGATGGTTTGGCGAGAGGCATTGTGGATGGTTGAGATCAATCGCGATGTGAATGTGCAAAGTTACACTGAGGGGTAAGAAAAGTATCCATGATAAGTTTTCCCTTATCGATGGATCAACATTTCGAAGTGGGTATACCTGCTCTTCTTTGAATCCATACTGGCTTCAAGTGCGTTGGCATAGGACTAGGGAGTGCGTCAGGGACTCACCCCGCATCTGATTGACGGACGCCATCGACTCCAGCCCCCCCACATTTGCGTCTCACAAACCCCGAATCCTGGCCTTTTGTACAGAATTCAACAAAATTAGGATATTTGAACTCGAAAAGCTGCACTAGTCAATCTGAGCAGATGACATGTCATGAACTGGAAAAACACTTCAGCGTTTGTCTGTTGGTCACCTCTTCAGGGATCACGTAATCTGTTTTTTTTTCGAAGAAAAGAGTAAGACTGGAGGAAATGCTCATATTTGACTACCCTAGGGCATCGCATGATGCTAGGCGTATACACAACAGAGAAAGAAGGGGCGTTCGATAAGCACAATATGGAGGTGGTTCGAGCCTTGCTAATACGAGCTCCATATCTTTCTCGTTCGGAATTGCCTGTTGAGGAAGTTCCGCCTCACTCCAGCCTGACGAATATTTTGTACTAGTAAACGCACTGGATATGTTCGAGTTTGCTGCCCTTTCATTAATATCGATGTTCGAAATGAAATCAGTAGCGAAGTGTCACAGCGATGGAACTCTATGCGGAGACGTAGCCTTAAGGTTATTTAGAGAGCAAGTTCAATATGGTTGTACATGGCAGCAACGAAAAAGACCAGCCCATACCAGCTCTAACCGTTGGACCAGAGAACAATATGGGCATATTGAGCATGAAACAAATGTTCCTAGACAAGAGGATATGAAGCATAGTCTAAGCTGGAGCAGGCATTCATGGCAGCATTCAGGTGAGCTGCCCCTAGATTGAGTTTATCCCAGAATGCATTGTACAGTCAGTGTAAAGTCAGAGTATGTTGTCTGGTGAAGTCATGCCAAGGTGGATACAGGGGGTACTATGCACCAGGAAGGTTGAGCGATAGAGAGGAGTAGCCTCAACATTGCAGCACCTAATAAACCGAGTCCCGGGTAGCCGGTCCTATTTTCTACCGCCATTTGATTACATGCCATCAGCTACCCGTTCACCGTCAGCTGATAAGGTAGAGGCATGTGTGCCGCCAACATCTGTCTTGGCTGGGGCGCTGCCCTACGATTGCTCATCCCAAGTGAAGTCGGACGGGCCAGAAAGCGGAGTCGCGATCAAAACACCAATAAGCGAGTCACCATCTTTTGAATCCGTGATCGCATCATAGTGTTGGGCAAGCGCTCCTATATCGCTGCTCTGGGCTGCTTCTACACAGTAAATGCCGCACGCGCGCTTCGGCGGCTTGGATGCATTGCTTGGCCCGAGACTTGGGCTGTGATCGACGAAGCTGTTGGCTAACCCGAGTCAGATTTTTGTGTGTCAACGGCGTCCTGCTATACTGTTCGTATAGGAAATGCGTTGGGGTCTTTTTGCAAGGTTCGTATTCGGGCAGTGACATGGCACATCGGGCCTTTCGTCGGACACACTTATGGCAGGCTTAGTTGCGGTAGAGGTGGGCATGTTCAAGGCTGTTGGTGCTGTTCATATGCGTTTGGAATTTGGCTTGAGGGCGGTGGCAGTGTTGTAATGAAGTTTGGGATCGATTGGTAGTGTTGCGGGGTTGAATTCAGGGTTCACTGACTAGCAAGTCAGGGTGTTCTGGGAGACGAGTCATTCTCTTTAAAATCACGACACTGATGATCAGCATTCAGGGCCTGTTCTCAGATGGGAAATCATTTTACAAGTTTGATGAACTCTGTAAGGTAAATTTGAATGCTGATTGTTGCATTACGTACAGTCATGCCCCCAAACGCCCTGACGCCTGCTTCCATGCATAGTAAAAAGCTTAACCGCATCCCTCATGCCTTTGCTTGCGACTTCTGCCATTTAACAACACGTTTCCTAATGTCTGCTGCCGTTTGTTGCATAGGATTGAGTTTGAGGTCTCTCGCCATCTTAGCGTAGTCGTCACCGTACTTATTGACCAATCGCTCGACCCATTCTTGTTCTCGCTGGCTCTGGCCTCTGGGTGCTTTTCTCGCGCCATTCATGGCTGCCTCTTCCAACTGCTTGATGACCGGGTTCTCCGGTTCGTCCTCTCTGTGTTCAGGCACCATTGCAAATCCGTTCCACTCCATTTCCTCGCCGTCCTCGATCTCGACTAGCGGGTCGTTGAGTGGGTTGTCTTTCTTCTCGAGCGTGCCGACGACTCGAAGAATGGCACCAGTCTCGGGATCGCGCTCGACTTCAATCTCCTCTGTGGGAATGTTCTCGGGCTTCTTTGCTTTGGAGACAATATTCAGAGCATTTGCGGTGCTGCCGGCAGCTGTGTCGGCGCGCGATGATTTTTCATCGTTAAGGCCAAGGAGTGCAATGGTCTTTTCTGTGCCGCCAGTGGCATGATTGAGACGCGCCGTGAGGCCGAGACGGCGATAGTTCTGCGATAGTGTTTCTTTCTGGTTCCTGGGCAGTGGTTAGATTCCAGGATGATGTTGAGTGCAGGGGCGCATAGTACCAGTGCTTCGCTATGATGGGGTTCTGCAGGATTTTCTTCTTGGAGGGCCCCTTTTGGCGCTTCTTGGGGATTGAAGACTTGTTCTTCTTCTTCTGGAGCTCGCGACCCATGTCTGCTAGATTGGAACGTGGTTGGGGGTATGCGGGGAGTGGTTTTGTTGGAGGGTCACGTCGCGAGTCGCATGTTCCAAAAGTTTTGGCGAACTTTCTGCGGCCTCGGCGCTAGTCTTATCGATAGGCGGACCCCCGAAACACGCCTGAGGCCACTGTACAGTTGCGCCCATGTGTATACTCTGAGCGACCCTTAGCTCACCTATTCAACTTTCTACCACCCCATATTCCGGTATTGACATCCGTCCACGTGCCGCCATGGTGTCGCGTCGCAACAAGACTCTTCTGTCCCTGGCAATCTTCCTTGGAGTGCTCGCTTGGAACGTGGCCGCTGCAGCAGTCAAGGGCGAGACAGGCACCCCAGTAGAGAACCTGACAGTTCACGAGATTGAGGAACAGTTGCAGGTACGACATTCACCCCATACGCTAACCCCCTCACCGTGTACCGAGAGCCATCATGGTGCATCTCATCAAAATTTTGACAAGCAACGACACCCTCGTGTCGCATCCTCAGGCCAGCGCTGATACGCGTCATTAGGAATGTCCCCTCGTGCAAGCTCTCAACCAGCACAAGGTGGCATCCAACCCCACCACTTCTTCCCTCACCGCCCAGATCTTTGCCTTTCTCTTCCCTGGAAGCCCTGCAGTCAATTCCCTGCTGGCAACTCTTTACATTTCTGGTCCACCCAACTTCCTCCTTGCGCTATGTCCGCCCAACATCGATCCCTCGTCTCTGTCCGTCATGGTGGCATTCGCTGTAGGTGGCCTGCTGGGTGACACGCTTTTCCACCTGCTGCCAGAGATATTCCTCGGTGAAGACGAACCCGAGTCCGTCAAGTTCGTCATGGTGGAGCCTAACAAAAACCTGCTGCTGGGCGTTGCCATCATGGTAGGCTTCATCACATTCGTGGCCATGGACAAAGGACTGCGCATCGCGACTGGAGGTGCAGGTGGACACGACCATTCGCATGGGCACTCGCATGAAAAGGTGGATGCTACTGCCAAGGCAACAGGAGTCGACGTCGACGGATCAAAAGACGCAGTCCGCGCTCGCAAGGGTGCTGTAGACAGCAAAACTGCCAAAGCAAACGTGCCACCAGAGGCGGAGAAGGAGATCAACGCCAGCGTCAAGCTTGGTGGCTACCTCAATCTCATTCCAGACTTTACCCACAACATCACCGATGGTCTTGCCCTTAGCTCTTCTTTCTACGCATCACCCACAATCGGCGCTACAACTACTGTAGCCGTCTTCTTCCACGAAATTCCCCACGAAGTCGGCGATTTTGCACTCCTGATTCAATCTGGCTTCAGCAAGCGCGCGGCCATGGGCGCTCAATTTGTAACCGCTGTGGGCGCCTTCCTGGGAACCTGCATTGGTATTGCTGTTCAAGAATTTGGCGGAAACTCTAGCTCTGCTGTCTCTACTGGCCCGGGCCTTATGGGGACAAGTCTTCAATGGGGAGACATGTTGCTGCCCTTCACTGCCGGCACCTTCTTATATGTTGGCACTGTTGCTGTCATTCCTGAGTTGTTAGAGACTGGCCCCAACAAGGGTCAGGAATTGAGGAAGACCCTGTTGCAGTTCTCTGCAATGTTCGCTGGCGCGGGCATCATGCTTTTGTAAGTCTCACCATTTCCAACGATGCCAACCTGAAACTCACACCGACCTGCCCAGGATATCTTGGGACTAGTCTTACAGATGTATACAAGTGCTTGGCACCCGAGAGATCATCAAACTCTAAATTCCCGATCCGAATTTTGCACGATGTGTCTTCCAGGGTGTGCGTCTCACATTTCCCAACATGTATGTATGCACCATGGCTCGCCGGCGAGATAGAGGTGCTGCTTATGCAACCCGTACAATCCGTAGATACATTTTCACTACATCTCACATCATATCATCATAACGTCGGTGTCTTGCGACATCAAGCCAAGCCTAAGACGTCTCACACATACATAGCATGAACCTGGTCGAGTCTCTCGGACGCTTGTGTGGGCGATTTTGTGTCTTTGCTCGCAACAGGTGCAGCCATCACTTGGCTTGAGCCTGAAATGTCGTCAACCTAATCCAAGATCAAGACAAAAAAATTAAACATAAGCTCCGTGGATGCACCAGATGCGCCACAGGCAATTCGGGCATTTTTACGGCCTTGATCAGAACTCTACTCAGCAGTGAGTGAGGTCAGCTCCAAGGGTGCCTAGTCTCGCCCGTCAGCACCATTCACTTTGGAGACCAATGCGCTACAGCCAGTGCGTTAAGCCAGTGCGTTACCCCGGATTACATGCCGTCCGTGTTTTCTGCTCGAGTCGAATCAAATCTCCCCCTGTGGCAGCACATGCGGCCACACTAACTTTGTACAAATGCCAAGCACCTTGGGTAAGATGACATTTCATACTTGTTTGGGTAAGGTAAATCATGTCGAAGCCACTTCCTGCGTCGCACTTAGCGAACAAGCCAGGCTCTAGCACAAACTGTACATTAGCGCCGCCGCCTTACCGCTCCAACGGGCACGAGCTGGTTGCTTACTAGCCGCAGCTTCCTATCGTGCCTATGGGCCGCATGGCGGTTATGCCACTGTCAGATTTATATCGGCCCTCTTCGTGCCGCGATCGTCGTCTTGTTGTTCTCATCCCTTCTCCCTCTTCGCCTTAGAGGTTGCAATTCCACTGGTGTAGCACAGCAAATACAAAGTACTCCAGTTCAGGCAAACGACAGGCAAACTATTTAGCATTTCACCCTCTCACATTTCAGCACCCTCGTCTACATGAGGAGCTCATGCTATAAAAGAGCAAGGAGATAAAGACACCATTCTCGATCAGAACGATATGCGTCTCGCTACCGGACCAAACCTCAAATACACACCCGTTTACCCACCGTTCCTCCCGACCCTCCTCATCTGCTGTTGCATTCTATTCTTCTTCTACCACCTCGTTCCCTCCTTCACCACCGCAACCGACGACATCGCCACTCTCCTCGTCGACAACCTCAACCTGCGCCCCTCAGGAAGCAATGCCTGCACAAAGGAAATCGGCACCGCACAATGCTGCAGCCTCTTCCTTGAAGCCACGCCCTGCCTAGACGAATGCAGAAAGCTCCATGTCGACCGCGAAACACTATCGCTCACTCTTGCATATGATAATTGCGCAAGCCAATGCTTGGCTGAGTATCACTCTTCTTGTCCCAGCAGCATCGCCAGATAGAGCATCACGTATGGAAAGTTAGGAAACACACAACTGCTTCGCCCACGGGGAATCAATCAAACCCTGCTTATGTCGGCCTTATGAAAAAAAATATAATACGTCACAACTCATTTAGGCCTCCCTATATACAACTCACAAACGCACACACTCCCTCTCGGCAAATGAAAGTACGGAGGGGGAAAGGGGGCGGTGCAAAAATAGTGGGGGGACGCTTGCGCCGCACCGCCAAGACTGCGGCGCAACGCAAGCCCCCGGTTAGCTCGGCACATTCCCGTGTGGCTCGTGGCTGGGCAGCGTTGGGGAACAGGTATTATTAGCCAAGGGGAAGGGGTGTTGCCGGGGAGACTGAGGGATGGAAGATGAGGGTTGGGGATGGATGGGTATCGGAACTGTGGGTTAGATTGAGGATGGGTGGGGAAAATGAGAGGGGGTTTGGGAACAATGGGAACAATGGGAGGGGGGATTTAATGGATTTCTTTGAGTAAGGGAAAGTACACACTTGGGGTGTGGGGTCATAGATATGGGTTAGAACAAGGATCATCTCTATGACGAAATTGAAAAAGTTTAAAAAATGGTTTTTGTATGCGAGAGTTGGCATTGCTGGTATCCTTTATTTGAATGGGCGTGGGAAAGGATTGTGCATATCTTCTCATATGTGCGTTCTTTGAAGCGAAGCGAATTATTTTGGTCTATATGCTTGGAGGTCGTTGGTGGATAGGAGATGTCCCGGAGATGGTTGTTGGAGTATTCAGCGCTTTGTAGTTGTGGACAAGTGGAGGAATTTTGTTTTGGGATAGTCCAAGGTTGATATCACGAGCAGTCTTTTGAGGTCAGAAGCAAATGGGAGTTTGGAGTTATGTGCTGTACTATGATAATGGTAGTGGGGTCAGGTTGCTAGGGTGAAGGCATGAGGTTATTTTGCTTGTGCAATGGACAGAGGGATATCAGCGATTCCACTAAGACCAATGGGTATTGGGTAAGTAGATCGGACGAGCTCATAGGTAGTAGTTAGACTGGGGTGTTAGGTGTTGTGAAGTAGTGAGATCGATTGGCAACTACACTTCTCACTCACTGCTGAGATCGATCAGTAGCTTTGACTCTCAATCGCCTCCGAAATCGCTTGAAACCTTTTCTTCTCTCACTCATGGGGTTTTTTAGGCGCACACATCTCTCTTGAACTGCGGGGTCTGATTGAAAGCCATCCCTCACTACTTAAGACGGAACAGTGGCTTTTCCTCTTTCTCTCACGAACAACTGTGCCCAGTCTCCAATTCCCGGCTTTCTTCTATTAACTGCAACAAGCTCTTCCACCACCAACACCACCACCACCGCCACCACCAACGATACTACAGCGACAAAAACATGGCTCCGTCAACGCCAGCCCCTGTCAGTTCTACCGTCCCATCGACACCAAATATACCACACCCGCCTTTTCATTGCAAGAAATGTAGAAGTCTCTTAGCTGATCCAGATAAGCAAAGAAAAGGCGAAGGGTACTTTAAAAACTGTAAAAAGTGCCGTGAAAAAGTTACAACATCCCGTCAGCGACGGAGGGATGAAGGGATTAAGAGAAAAGCGACTGATACGGCGCCCAATATACCCAATCAAAAGCCGCGTCTACATAAGCCTAGTAAGAGAGGAGACGATTCTCAGACTACTCCTCCCAATGGCCCATCGGAATACCGATCGTCAGAAAGTTCTTCTAAATCAATTGAGCAGGAAGTAGATATGGCGAGTCAGCTTATCATGAACGATTCAGCACCCGGAATACGAAAATGTTCAGTGTGCTCAGAATCGATCCCAATCCTAGATTTTCCCCAACTTAGCTGCACTCATATACCAGACGTATGCCATAATTGCCTTCTTCAATGGATAGATCAAGAAATTGCTGCAACTCAGGATATCCAGAAGATACGATGTCCAAGCGATTGCGCACGTTTAATCACTTATCAAGATATACAAAAGTATACCTCAGCTAAGGAATTTAATCGCTATAACGAATTATCCCTACGCAGCTTTCTTAGTACCCAGGAAGACTTTGTATATTGTATGGCGCCAGGATGCTCTTCAGGACAGATACACGATACTTCTACATTAGGCGAACAAGGCCCGATATTCCGATGTGTCGGTTGTGGATATCGGATGTGCACTGCACATACGCCCATTGTACCATTTCACGAGAACGAGACTTGTGCAGAGTATGACAAACGTATCGAGACTGAAAAAGAAGAAGAAGAAGCGGCCAGTGTTGCGCTGCTTAAAGAGAAAGCACAGAAATGTCCGGGGTGCGGATCTCAGATTGAAAAAACGACGGGATGCGACCGCATGACTTGTAAGATTCTGAAAAACCCTGGATGAACTACTACATGTATATGCTAAACTTCAATAGGCAAGTGCGGGTTCGAATTCTGCTACGTTTGCCGTGCACCATATGCTGGTCCGCAGGGTATCCGCGCGTTGGGTAATTCAGCTCATCGGGAAGACTGCCAGTATCACACTGCCAGGCTCCTTGCCCATGAAGAAACAGTTTTCGAGCTTTGAAGATTATCTGAAGCTTAAATTGTGGAGCCGAGGGAACAATTTGCACAGGGACATCTATTCGGCATTTGGTGTACATGGTAGCCTTTCTCTTTGATCGAGTTACTCTTCGGATAATTCCGAAGATTAACTCTTACCTTTGGCTACACTAGGTTCTTTAATATGTCAATGCATCAAGGCTGACAAAAGCATATCTTGGAATTAGTGGTATTTTGGGGATGGAGAGTAATTCAAAATGTGTAAGGACCAAGCAAAAAAACATATATCCTCACCTTTGTGCCTTTGTTGCGTTGCACACAATGCAACATATCTCATTGTACTGACCCAAGGTCGCTCCCAACACCCTTTGTTCGGTTTTCAACTACAAAAAATACTGGCAAATACAATTTGCAAACTTTCGAGATTGCTGATACTCTCTGGATAGAAATAGTGAAGCTGACCACCGTAGACTCATCGCACAGACCATGACCAGAAAAAACAGAAACAATCCGCATGTTCCTCCCTGGGTGACAGCTATACCATATTTCAAACACGCAGCAAAAGCCTTCAAAGACGCACATAGACCACATTGGACTCCCAGTATGTGATTCTGTAATAAACACAACTCTTCACTAACGATCTGAAGTTCAATTACGTAACACGATAGAGACAATATGGGCTGGCGACACACTCACGCGCGATTACTATTCAGCACGCAAGGGTAAAACAAGATTGTATGGTTTGCCTCCAGGCCGCGACATAATACCACAAAATCCCTACAACGAGCAGGACATTGCTCACGCAAGAGCCAATAAGACTCTACCACCACGACGTGATGCAGGAGGAAATCCGATCCCCCCTGTGCCAGCTGCACCTCCACTACCTCCACCACGACCAAGGAATAACTACCCCTACGACTTTTGGCCTCGAGAACCTTGGCATCCCGATCCAATTGATCCAGCACGAGATATGACGATGGAATTTCTCGCACAGAACGACTATGTCTTTCTCGAGACTGCACCTAACCAGTGGCCGGTAAGAGATGAATCAAACTTCCGCGGAGCGAAGTGGTTGGGAAACGGATCATATGGCTGCGCGGGATTATGGTGCCAGGTAAAACCAACGAATACAATTGAAGGAGTGAGCTATTATGTGCCGTACCTTGGGATAGTGAATACATGCTAACACGTACGGTCCTAGAGATTCGTCATTAAGGAAGCTCGAATGAGTAAAGGGGATTGGCGAGATCCTATTAAGTGGCGCGACCAAGTCCCGCAAGAAATCCGAATCCACCAACTCGTCGACAGCAATCGCGCCAATGCTAGTGATAACCATGATACAATCATTGAACACTACGGGTACCGACTGATGATGCGTCAGCGCAGATACCGCATTTACCTCGCCTACTACCAAGGTGGAAATCTTCACTCTGCACTAAGCGGAAGCATGCCCAATCAAGAATTGGTGGACCTATACACATCGCCACGCATAGACCCAACCAAAAGGCGTGAAGGCTACAACTGGGACGCTGAACTACGCTGTTACAGAGACCCAGAAAACAATCTACCCACTATACTACCCGAGCGACTGATCTGGGAGATTATTGATTCCCTCACCAAAGCATGCCAGATTCTGCATTTCGGGCAAGCAGACTATGAAGTCGTGGCTCCAGGAGCAAAAAGAATCACACACCGCGACATCAAACCCGACAACATTTTTATTGAAACTATGATGGACAACGACGAATTTCCAAGATTCATTCTTGGAGACCTTGGGCTCTCGTTCTTCTCGCACGGCAAAGACGAAGATAACGGCGTGCCACATGGCTCCCGCGCTCCACCTGACAACCCGGACCAATACACCTGGTCACACGAGTGCTTCGACCACCGCTACGCGCCCGAGGTGTACGAGAAAACACAAGAGTCGAACCCGCACCCGATAGGTGAAAAAACAGATGTCTGGCAAATTGGGGCTGTCCTCTTCTGGCTCCTAACCAACGGCTTCGCGAATTCCTCTCGCGGTCCCAAAGCACCATTGTACGATATCCCCACCTACATCTCGCAGGCTGAGCGTTTCCCGCGAATAGATAGGTTCAAGCAAACAGATAGGTTTGACGATGAGATGTATCCGACGCTGTTGAGGTATGCGCCTAAGTTTAGGAATCTTTGTGCGCGCTGTGTGAATTGGGATCCGGATAATCGGCCGGGGCTGATGGAAGTAAGAGAGGATTTACGGCAGATTTTGGATGAGGATCCGGAGATGAGTGCGGATAGGGATTATGGGCCGTTGAGGCCGCAGGAAGATAAGGAGTTTAGGCTTGGGGCGCATTTTCCCTGTTATCCCCAGGTAGGTTTGTAGAAATTGAAGGTGGTCAAGTGGTTATGTTCTTTGGTAATGTTTGGTTAGATAGGGTAGAGTGTGGAAAGCTTTATGGGAAATGATCTGTATGATAGTGTACGATGAGTTGTTGGACGACTTGTCTCTGCCGCACATGTGTGTTTCTGCCAGAGTTGACAAAAATGATGTTTTCTGCTTCACCGCTTATAGAGTTCTTAACATGTACTTGTACCCATCAGCAAATTTTAGAGCAAGAAGGATGTAAAGATGTGCGAGTATGTCTTATTTGGTCGGTCGATCAAATAATTAACAGCCATGTGCTTGCAGACTTCGTAGACAATGGTGCCATCGCATCACAGTTTGAATTTGGTCCCTACCAGCTTCTCACTCAAATCCCAAAGCTTCTCGGCTTGATCTGGATCAGTTGCGTGTGGCATTGCTTCTATCATTTGACAGTCATCGAGGAAGATTCCTTTCTCTTCTATTCAGACATCAGCGCTTAGTTTCTCATTGAGAAAACCTAGGAAGGCTACATACCGTTCAGAGCTGGGTCCAGCGCTGCAACCAACACTGTAGCCGCGCCTTGATCAAGATTCTTCGAGAATGGACTCGCTTTCTCGACTGCCGCTATCTCTTCAGAACCAAGATCACGACTAATGTTGGTCCATATCGCTATTCATGTAAGAAAAACTTCCGGATTATTGCAAAAGTAAATACGTACTCCCTGGATGAACTGCATAGCTTCTTATACCTTTTCCACCGAGCTTTTTGTTGATGCTTACGGAAAACAAAATGTTCGCAGTCTTTGATTGACCATATGCTGCAAATCCTTGGTATCCATTGCTGCCTTGAATCTTGGCAAACGCAGGGAAAGATGGCGTGTATCGCTCTTCCTCTGGCAGCTCTTCGTTGCTTTTCTCTAAATTGTAATCTGAAAAACGAATGGCGCTCAGGCGATGACCAAGTGATGAGACATTGACAACACGTGTTGCTCCCGGAATGGACGATGCAGCCGACTTTAGAAGTTGGGGTACGAGAAGGGTGGTGAATAGAAAGTGACCAATATGATTGGCACCAAACTGTGCTTCGATGCCCTCCACAGTTTTCCGACGAGTCTTGGTCACAAGGCCGGCATTGTTAATGATTAAGTCCAGACGATCGGTCAACTCTGAAACGTGTTTTGCCGCCTTCCTAATGGAGTCTTGCGACATCAAATCGAGAACCACAATTTTAGTTGCAGTCCCGGGGTAGGCATCTTGCACGGCCTTTCGTACTTGCTCAAGCTTCGATTCGGTACGTGAGGCGAGTATCAAAAGGGCGGGTGCTTGAGAAGCGATCGAAAGAGCAATTGAAGACCCAATACTTTCTGGTGATACACCGGTAATCAGTACTAGCAACAGTGGAGTTAGTTACCCATATCATCATGAAATTCAAGCAAAACTACCTTTCTTTCCACGAATCTGATCTGCAAAGGCTTTGGAAACCTCTAGCCCGCCTGTTTCTTTGTTCCATTCCGGATGTGTTAAAGTCGTCATGACGGATGCCGCACAACCTCCTGAGCCTTCATAAAAGCACAAATATCTTTCTTGAGGTACGTAAATTATCTGAATATGGTGTACTACGTCAACCGGTGTACACGATGTATCAGATTCGTGTTACATTGCACTTAAATGCCGAACCGAGGTTCTGAGCTGCGATCTTCACTTGTTATCTGCTCAGATCACCTGAGCCCTGCATACACCATGCCAGCAATTATATTTTCCCAGCCATTCAGCGTTTTTTGGACCCATAAATCTCCAGAATAAGCGTAGCTAGGTTAATCACAAACTCTGTCGACATTTCTGAAGACTGCAACCTAGATCTCAGACCTCAAAGATGACTTTACTAACGCCAGGGATGCGTTTTAGTAAGTATAGTAGAGGATGATCACAGACATAGTGTAGAGTTGCTTGGCATTGTAGTAGTAGTTTAAAGGTAGGGGTTTTGCGCCTCGTTCTGATAGTAAGGATTGTGTGGACTAGGACTGCTGGAAAGCATGTAGTGGATGCGGGGAAAGCCAGCGGGGAAGCTGGTGACGATGTGGGGCATGTACATCGCCTGGTTCGTAGACGGATCTACGTACCCGTGCGTGCGTATCATTTAGGCTCATATCAACGGAATCAACATACCGCGAATGAACCTGCAGAGTGACGTGCCGTGCCCCATGCTCGTGTGGGTGTGCAGGTCACCGGAGGCATGTCGCCTGCCTGCCTGAATCCAGGTATCAAGCTCACAGATCGGCAGATAGTAAGCCTTCGGGAAGTGGTGGTCGTTTTGCCCCACGCTTTTGGGGATGAGGCTTACTTCCACATCGAGTACCGCAATCAGTCTTGTCGTATTCTTTCATTATTACATTCTGGGCGTGGCATTTCTTTTCATTCTAAACGCCAGTCCGTACAAAAGTAGACGAAAACAAACCACCGAAAATGGCTTCTTCAGACACAGATGGCAAGGGAAACCAAGTCAATAGTACTGTCCCAAAAACAGGCATCAAAGTAATCATTGTCGGTGCAGGTACATGCTAGCCAAGGATTCAAAACTTGTCCACTTTCTGAAAATTTCAATAGGTTTTGGTGGCCTCTCCACGGCCATAGAATGCATCCATCATGGTCACACACCCGTAATCTATGAATCTTTCCCCTCTCTCAAGGTTCTTGGCGACATCATTACTTTCGGACCTAATGGGGGTCGCATCTTCGCACGATGGAGTGACGGCCGCGTGGCACGTGAAATGCGCAAGGTCTCCATCGACTTGACCAATTATGGTTTCAATATCCACAAGTGGGACACCGGCGAGATAGTAATCAACCAAAAGACGCCGCCGCGCAATGACGAAGCGCCCAACTTCAACGGGCATAGGGGGGAACTTCATGAAATTGTTTTTGAATATGCAAAGGAGATTGGTGTAGAAATCAACTTGGGACAGAAGATTGAACATTACTGGGAGAATGAGAAGGAAGCTGGCGTTGTGCTCGCGGATGGAACGAGAGTGGCTGGCGACGTTGTAGTGGCAAGTGATGGTGTCAGAAGCAAAGCCAGGACGCTAGTGCTCGGATACGAGGACAAACCGAAGAGTAGTGGTTATGCGGTTTGGAGAGCGTGGTTTTCGAACAAAGACATGATTGCGGATCCGGAGACTAAGCAATTTTGCGAGAATGGTGATACATTCAATGGCTGGATTGGTAGGTCGTTGTTCTTTGCAACCATTGATCTAAGCGCACTATGAGTGGTGACAACTGACAAGCACATTAGGCCCAGACGTACATTTTCTCTTCAGTACCATAAAGAATGGCTTGGACTGCTGCTGGGTTTTGACCCACCGCGACTCGCATGACATCAAGGAGTCCTGGTCATTCCCTGGCTATCTCAAAGACGTGCGTACGGTCCTTGACGGCTGGGACCCTATGTGCTGGAAAATCGTCTCTAAAACGCCGGAAGAGAAATTGGTAGACTGGAAGCTTGTTTACCGGGACCCACTGCCCAATTGGGTCTCTGGATACGGATCTGCACCTGGTCATGGTCGCATATGTCTACTAGGAGATGCCGCCCACCCATTTTTGCCAACGAGTGCACAGGGCGCAACCCAGGCATTAGAAGACAGCGTTACAATTGCAGTGCTGCTGAGGAAGGCTGGTAAAGGGAATGTAAAAGGAGCGTTGAGAGCATACCAAGACGTGCGATATGAACGTGTGAAAGCGGTGCAGAAGACGGGGGAGACTACTAGAGACATGTGGCACAAGACGGATTGGGAGAAGGTGAAGAAAGATCCTACTCTCATACAGCTTCCAAGGGAGGATTGGGTGTTCCTACATGATGCGCAGAAGCATGCGGAGGAGTTAGGAGACGAGGCAATCAAGAAAGCTGCGAGCGTGGCTACATAGATTGTGTCTAAGCCTGTCGAACAAACTCATCGGTAACAAGATACTAGATTCTTCTATAATCTTTATTCTCATTAATGCAACGAATGCAAGTATCCTCGCATACACTTTCTATTCATCCCAAGTTGCACATTATAGAGAAGGGCTTTTTCCCAAAGCTCATGAACCTGTTGTGTGTATTTTTTTAGAAAAGAAAATAAGCAGAAAATTCCTTCCTCAATCAAGACAGAGACGATACATCTACATATTCAGAAACAGACTCATGGACTGTTTTACGACCCATCAATACTCTTAGTCACGCTTCCCCACGCTAACGACTTCCTGATGTACGGCTTCGTTCTTCTCACTATCGCTCCGTCCAATCTTCTCATCTCTGCCTTGTACATAATGACCAACGCATACATACTTTCTGAACTTGCGGGCTGGAAGTCTTGCTTCAAACATCTCATCGACCTCTTCGAGAGTGCGGTCCTTGATTTCTGGTAGATAAAAGTAGATCCATAAAACTGTGATAAAGCAAGATGGTCCCCAGATCCAACCTGGTCAGGAAGTTAGTACTTCTATAGAAGGGATTTGTAGTAACAAGGCAAGGAAATCGGGAAAGGGAACTGACCATATTCTGGCCCCCAATTGAGAGATTCAGGATTGATAAAATAGGGTGCCGTAAAAGTGGTGAGCCACGCTGCGGCAAAGGCGACGGCAGATGCAACACCGAATGTATATGACCGCAAGCGCTGTGATGGGATTTCACCGCCAGCAAGCCAGGAGTAAGCCGCAATCATGCCGTTGTATCCGCAAATGTACACGACCGAAACTCCGACAATTATCTTGCCTCTGTTAGTACACAAAGCGAGAATAAATTCTAAACTCAACCACAACGTACCTTTCCGGTGTGAGTGGTGCGAGGATTGACGTGGTAAACAGCTGCGATGATCATCTGGGTGATACCGCAAATCGACAAACCGACCATGAGGAAAACACGCCGCCGTCCAACTTTGGAGATGATACAGCTGTTGACTGTTACCGCAACAATACCGACGGCAATCAAGATGCATGTGTTCATGAAAGGGCTGCCAACATTTGCCATCTGCATCGAAGTCAGTATTTACGTGAGATTGAAACCTTTGCAGCTTACCTGGAAGAAGTATGTGCCATACGCAATTACAAACATGGCACCGGATGCAGCTTGAGTAGATACTGCCGCAATAGATAGCAACGTGCGTCTACGGTCGACTGGGTTCCTCCAGATATCCATGAAACTTGTATTGGCATTGACAGCCTTTTCGGCATCGATGGCTGCCTTCATCTCGGCAACTTCGCCGGGTACGCTCGCTGGATTTGGACGCATCCAAAGCAGCGATTTCTCAGCTTGCTGATTCTTCCCAACCAAAACGAGCCAACGTGGTGACTCGGGGATGAAGAACAAACCAATGGACATGAGGAATGGAACGATGAATACCACCCCTAATGGGATGAGGTACGCTTTCCGGCCATTCATGTCGTGTGTTGCGTTGTCGACCACAGTGCCGACAAGGGTACCTATCGAAACCCATATTTGATATACCGATATGAGAAGGCCACGGTATTGGGCTGGTGCAGACTCCTATTGCAGCATTAAGTAATCCAACCATGGCGGCGAGTAGGGTTCCATTTATAGCCTTACCTGGATGTACAACTGCGAGAATGTCATGTACCAACCATTCGCAAGTCCGATCAGCAGCCTGCCACTATACAATCCTGCGGTGTTTGTTGTAGTCATCATGATAATGTTACTGGCACAGCAAAGCGCACTGGCTAGCCACAAACAATGTCGTCTTCCTAACTTCTTCGCCCCAACTCCTGCAAATCCTGAGCTTATGAACGCACCCAAAGTCATCAGAGAGGACATAAGCTGCTGTCGTTCAGTTGATATATTCCAGCCGGCCGGACTGGCGGGATCAGGATGTCCAAAGATTTCGAGGAAGCCACGCATAGCTTGCAGTCCGCCGATGGCGCCAAAGTCAACGCCGTATTGAAAAGTTGACATCGAGACAAGGGTGCACGCTGCGACGCACTTCCAATTTGACAGCAGACTGCTGTCGAGTTCCGGCATTGTGATTACTATTTCAGAAGCTCCACGTAGAAAGGAGGAGAAGTTGATGGGAAAGACAAAGACAGGTAGTCAGGGGGATCAGGTTGTTGACAACTTTTCATACGCAGGTGTGTAGGGACCTCCACAATCCGACTGAGGACTCGTGTCTGGATGCAATTAGGCAGATCGACACCGGTGGGCTAATCCCGACGTGCAGTATTTGCCGACAGTGGTCATGAAGCATATGTACCCCGCTTCACCGTAGCCATGTTTTGAGCTTAGAATGGGATGTTCAGGCTGCAGTTTGCTTCGTTAGGCCAATGAAATTTCCTCCTCGTTCTCACATATTGCACGTTTATGCCTAAGCGAATGCTGGATATTTTGGATGCAGAAAGAAACAATCAAAAATCGCATTAGCTTTATCAGTGCTTTATCATTCACTCATGCATCGTCTGCCCTGTCTTGTGTCTCAATCTTTGCTCGGCATCTTTGCTCATTTCCGCAAGGTCAGCAGCTTGGCTAAAGCTTTTGTGGAATTTGTGTTAGA